TCTATAGAAAAATCACTGACACTTTTTTGTGCCTGTTTGGGGGGGTGGGGGGAGAAAAGGGTTGCATAAAACATTTTCAGGTTAGATTCACTTAATCTTTTACTGGAGAAGGAATCTATTTTGTTCTGTAGTTATTACTTCTTTAGACATACACCTGAAATAATTAGAAGGATGCAGATATATTCAAACATAAGAAAAGAAGGATACTTTTGGGTTTTCCCATTAGTGTAGTATTTGTGTTTGGAGGCCATAACGTAGCAATCCTCCAGCCCTTTAATTTGCAGCAGTTGTGGTCATAGAATGTTAGGCTCTTCTAGCTTAGAGCTTTGCTATAGTGAAATGTATGTGACTTTATGTAAAACAACATGGCCCACTAGGTATCATAGGGCTCATGCTGGTATAGTGAAACATGTACATATAAGCATGTATGGTTGAAATATGGAACATAATTCAGTTTGACAGGTCTCTTGCAAGAGGGCTTTATCTTTCTGAGGTGGAAATATTGCAAACCTCTAGAATACTATTTTTTGTTTCACCAATTCTGAGCTCTTGAGGGAAAGGAATCCACCCTGGGATGTTGAACTAAGATAAAATTCTTAGTTGTTCTACGGTTTCTGAGATGATGACAAAATTAGTAATGAGGTTAAAGGCATTCTGGTATACTGAGACTGCATTTTTTGTGGCTTTCATACCACAACATGCTGCAGAGATACTAGCTTTTGTAAAAATGATCCATACAGTTTTGTGTCCAATACAAATATAATAGTCCGAAGAAGTAGGCAGCTCAAAGGGGAAAACTGCATTTATCCTGCATATTCAGTAAAGATTGATGATTTCACAGCTAAACGTTTATTTGCCTGCCATTTCCCCTACCATCACTGTAAGGTGTCTAACTATGGATGTCATCCCATATCACAGCCTTTTCTTGACTATGACAAATTTCATAAAACCTTTTCTGTAACAAGATATGCAGTCTATATAGCTGAAGAACCAGTATAAATTTAAATGCATTGCAGTTTGTGGCCTGTGTGTTTCTTTAAAAATAATAAATTACCTAAATTGCAATATGAATTAATACAGTCAAATAGAAACCAAACTCAGTTTTTAGTCTGTTGAGATTTTTTAACAATTTAAGCATGCTGTTTGAAGATCATATCACAGTAAGACACAGCTTTGATTCCCTGCCTCCCTCTTTCCTGCTATATATTGCACTGTCACGTGTTGAGTTCAGTGCATATTATTAAGCTTTATGAAAGTTCTGTTTAATTTAAATATGAATTAAACAAACACACGTACAGTGAGTTTATTGCCTGTAATATCATAAATTTGTAGGTACCCATGAGACACATTGCAGGCATTTCTTGGAGATGACAAAATAATACCATTTTAGGTTTTTTGCGATGAGAGAAAGCTACACATAGAGAGAGATAGCATACTTGTTGGAGTGGCCTAAGTCAACTAGTTACTAGCCTTTTTAATTTGCATAATGCTTTCAGGAGCCATAAGCAAATGAGAACTGAAAGGTAAAATCATTCTTATTAGCATAATTATGAAATTCCTGAATTTTCAAATGCTGTTAAGCTGATATTTGGACTGGAGAATAGTGAACTCCAGTCGAAGCAAATCAAAACAATTTAAATATTTCCCAAAGTTAAGCATCTAAATCGTGTGAACAGACATGAGGGTCCTTTTTTAATGTTTGTTATATTTGAAATTTAACCATTTGTTATTTAACCTGTTCCACAAATTGTGTTTAAAATGTGCAAGACAATGTGTGCTGTTTCAGAGTAACACACACACACACACACACACAGGAAAATACACGTGGAACCAATGGTATTGAGACCAAGAAATTAACCTGCTCATTCTTTAACCTCTTTCACAGAGGAATATATTGGATCATAATGGGGGGCGGGGTCAAAGAAGAGAAAGATGCTGATGGAACCAACTTAATTATGACTTACAGCACAATCCTATGCATGTTGACTTAAAAAGTTGGTTCCCTTTAGTTCAATGTGCATAGGATTGCTGTGGAACTCCCTTCCCTGGGAGTGTATATACATCAGTGTTTGGTCTCCAGCCTCCTAGAAAGCTTCAAGCCTTCTCTACTCCCATACTTCTCTCTTCTGCTTGGGTATATTTCCCTGAAGGCCTGTTTACCATAGGAGTTTGATGATTGTTTAAAAAATCTAATGTTTTGTGGTGATTATTTTCTGGGCCTTGTATCCTAACTAGGTTGCTCTGAATGGAAGGGCTCCTTCCATGTTGGATTAGGATCTGGGAGACCAGGTAAAATTGGAAGGAAGAAAGGTAAAATGGAAGGGAAGGCTGGGTCTGTGGAGCATGGCCAACAGTTGTTGAGCTGAGATGTAATATATTGGTTGAAATAAATAACTAATTGAAATAAATAATTGGCTGCAAGGCATGAGGCCACCTCTTTCCACCCATATGCCAAAATTTAAAGACAAAATAATTGTCTTACTGTGTTTTATATGCATATTGTATTTCAAACAACTTTGACCAGATCTGAAAATTATCACATTAAAAACAGATTGTTGATCCATCTTGTGCCTAAACATGAGCTGGATTTCTATTCTAACGTCAGCAGATCTGTTTTATAATCACACCAGCAAACAGTAATTCTTATTCCCAAGAGCAGTAGTATATGGTGCCTCTTTTGAGCTGGCTAGGGGAAACCTGAACTGTTGAGAAATCATTTGGGCTAATGCACACTCCCAATACTGGATTTGTTTGGGCTTTGGGGAAAATGCAGTATGAATAAAGAAAGAGGAGATGTATGACTATACTAAAGGCCTAAGAAAGCTCAGCAAAAGTTGGAAATTCCATTATCATAAAAACTGATATTTGCAGACATTTTAAAACAAAACTGATTCAAGTTGAAGCTGCATGCAGATACCATATAGACAGATGTTCTTTGCTTTATTGTGTATAGATTGTGCAGTCTGGGCCTACATGCATTGATCACTAAGCAGATGCATTCCCATGTAAACAGTATCCAGTGTGTGGACTGCAGGTGCATGTGTGGGGTGTTGGAATAGCCAGCCCAATCCTAAATGTCTGCCGTGTATTTAATATTCTTTATTTAAATATTTCCACTGCCCTTCCGCAGAGCTTCTAGGGCAAACTGATACAATTCAAATAAAGCATAAACAACAAACTTTTAAAAAAACCATTAATATTGTTAAAAGACTGGGAAAATGAAAACATTGTTGCCTGGCACCTGGTGATAAGAGGGGCGTAGTCGAAAGCATTTGTGAATGAACAGCTTCCATGGTCAAATAACTGGAAACTTTAATTTTATGGAAGCTGAATATAAATGGACACCCACACTCATTAAGGATCCCCTCCCAAATAATTAGAGGTTCAAACAGAATTTTTGTCTCAGTCTGTACTTGTTTTGTAGAACAACTCTACTTTCGAGTTAACTCCTTTTTACTTATTTTGACAATTGAAATTTTTCAAGATGGCAAAAAGCCTAAAATAACTACTGTATCTTAGGCAACTGTAATGCATCAGTAACAATTGTTTGTCCTTCAGGCAAGATAGCATTGTGCAAATGTAAAGCTTGGAGCATTGCAGCTTGACAGCATTCATTCCAAATAGGCAGCATACTATCTTGTGCTATATTCTGTGCTACAGATAAATGGCAGAACTATTCTACCACCTTTTCTAATTCCTCTGCTTTTAATTGAATGCTAAATCTTTTTAGTGGTTTTCTTGGATTCTTGACAGTGAAAGTTGATAGATATTGTTTGCACTTAGCATTTACCGCACTTTTAAACATGTTCATTCCATTACAGTCATTCTCCAATTTCTCTTCACAACAATCCTGTGGGCTAGGCCACATGTTTTCCCTGTGGCTGATCAGGAACTAAAACTGTAAAACTGCAATTTGCATAAAGCCAGGCACTAAGTCCATGGCTGAGTGGGATTCAAGGTCTCCCATGGCACCCAAACGTAGAACATAAGAAGAGCCCTGTTAAATGAGACCAAAGGCCCATCTAGTTCTGCCTCCTCTTCTCACTAGACAACCACATGCCTTTGGGAAGATGGCCAGGAGGGCTTGAATACAACAACAAACTTCCCACTTGTGCTTTCCAGCTACTGGTATTCAGTAGCATACAGCCTCCAAAACATGAGATATCATACAGTCATCATGAATGATCTTCTTGCAGTCCATGGGACTCTCAAGAGTCTCCTCCAGCACCATAATTCAAAAGCATCAATTCTTCGGCAGTCAGCTTTCTTTATGGTCCAGCTCTCACCTCCATACATTACTACTGGGAAAACCATAGCTTTAACTATATTAATAGCAGTAATTTTTCCTATAATTTGTCTTACCAGAAAACAGGCAAAGGGGTATTCATTGCAAAGCATCTTTATACAACATATTATAGAGCCAGTCAACACTATTTCCCCTTCCTCACCTTTCAGCGCAGGATGTTGAGATATGCAAGAACTAGAAATACTGTTCTAGGGCCACCTGCAGCATCATTGACTCTTGTGCACTCAACAATCGGTGCCTTGCATAGTGTTCCTCTTTTGTTTTGACCTATCCAGGTGAGTCAATCTCACATAGATGCTTCCAAAATCTACACAAGCAAACACAGCATATTGAGTGACCAATCAGCACCTAGCTGCCCTAACTTTGTGTTTTGAATATGCAGGACTTAAAAAAACAATCCCACAGGAAGTGAAAAGGTGAGGAACAACCTTCCATTTCATTTCAGTAGTCAAAGACTTTTGGAGTTAGTTTGAATTATATTGCTTTTCAATAGTATTTAGCAAGACTATCCACCTCTGTGATGGCTTATTCTAAGCTGTATTTATTGTTTGCTCAGAGCTAGTCTGTTAGTCTGTGGGGAAAACCTATGTGTCTTGTCCAGCTGTATATGGCACATAGCCAAACTTATGTTCAGTCAAATACATGTAGTGGGGGAAATAGACTTCCAGACGTCAATCAGTTTGAGTTAATGTGCTTCTTGTATAATTTTTAGAAGTGTTTTAATTTTTATGAATCCCTGTTTACTATTGTGTACTTGGAACTAAAATTTAGATATTATCACCCACCCACCCTCCAAGCATGTGTGCGCTAAATTATTTTCTATTTAATATATCTTGCCTCATAACCTCTTGTTTCTTATTTGGGTGTTCAGTACTAATACACTGTATTCTGGTGCTCCCCTGTTTAGAACTTCCCTGCAAAGTGTGAATCCCTGGAATGGCAGGGCAATGGGAGTGGGTTTCCACTCTCCCCATACTGTGTTAGTTGCGTATGGGCAACTAACACAGCTGTATGCAGCTGTATAGCTGTATGCAGCTATAGTGTTTGTTGTATTCCTTCTGGAAATAATGAGAGCAGTCCAACTAAAGTTGAGCACCTATACGTCCCATTTATTTTGGTGAGAGAATCAAGCCTATGGATAAGCATCTTCAGTTAATACTAGTTTGGTTTAACTGCTCTCTTCACTTTGGCTAAGTTGGGTCAATAGTTCTAGTATTTCACTACAATTATCTTAGTACTTGAGAGTGCACATTATATAGGAGACTAATGGTTTGCTGGTGAGCAGTACACCAGAGGTGAGGAACCTGTGACCTAGGTACTGTTAGACGGCAGCTCAAATCAGCCCCAACCAGCTTCGCCGACTGTTATAGATGATGGGAACTGTAGTCCAGAAACATCTGGAAGGCCAGAGGTTCTCCACACCTGCAAAAAACCAAATATCCACAGTCAAATACAGAAGTGATGCTTCTTGCATTTACTCAGTACACACTTGTAGTGGTGCGTGAAAGAGTTGAGTGTCCCTTTACCAGCTTATCCTGTATTTATTCCAACATTCTTCACCCATGATATTATTTAGTATTATTTATTAAATTTATATACCACCCATTTCACTGGCTAACTTTTCTGTGTTATAAAACCAGGCACAGTGAATTGAACTTTTAAAATAACCTTCTGGTTATTTAACATAGTTAATAAGGTTTTTTTTTTCTTTCATACCGAGTTGTACATATTAACCTGAACATCTCTAAGCAAAGCTCAAGTATTTAAATGGGGGGGGGGGCAGGGAACAACCTACCTATGTCTTGATTTCCAGGAAGACTGGGATGCAAACCCATTGCTGTGAGAAGGAAAATGAGGTTAAATTATAGGTCATGCGTGAAGATGTTTATGCAAATCTGTTTTCTTGTATCTATATAAGGAGTCCAGGAGACAGTTAAAACTGCAACTAGGCTAAAGTGTTTCTGCTACTGTGAAGGAGTGGGTGGAATTCAATCCATTGCAGCCAGCGTACTTACCTATATGTCATGACACAGCAGCATTCCAGTGGGCATTGTAGGTCACAAAAAAAGATGGCTGACCCCACTCACATATTTAAATATACCGTATTTTTCGCTCTATAAGACGCACCAGACCATAAGACGCACCTAGTTTTTGGAGGAGGAAAACAAGAAAAAAAATATTCTGAATCTCAGAAGCTAGAACAACAAGAGGGATTGCTGCTTTCACTTGCTATTCTGGCTTCTGGAATAGCTGCGCAGCCTGCATTTGCTCCATAAGACGCACACACATTTCCCCTTACTTTTTAGGAGGAAAAAGTGAGTCTTATAGAGCAAAAAATACGGTACTTCACAGTGTACAGAAAAAGAGACAGATTACAAAGTGAAGTTTTAAGAACCATTATCATGCCGAGCCTCATCTGGATTGGGGCCATGGTACGTGGGTAGAGGGGTGAGGGTTCTTCCTGCTGTCAGAGTCCCAACAAAAACCATACTCCTGCTTTGCAATTTGTCTTGGGAGAAAAATATTCTGTTTGCACCAAGTGTGGCAGAAATAGTTGCTTCATACTGCACAGGGATATAAGGAGCCTTTGGCCATCCATATGTTGTTGGATTTAGATTTGGTGGACAGAGTGCCTGAAGAACTATGGATGGAGGCTCGTAACATATGGTTACCAGATTTTTTTTAATGAATCCGGGAACACTTTTTTTTTTTTTTGAAGCAGAGTAGCAACAGGGAGTCGGTAGTGGGGATGGTGAGGCAAAAGACCCTGAGCCCAAGCACACATGCATATTTTATAAAGGTGCAAAGGCCTTCTTTTGCACCCTGTGAAACGTAAATGCACAGAGTTTTTTTAAAAAACTGGGCAACAGCACGCCGCCTGCCCATGACTCCCGAGCCTTCCCCAATCTCCTTCCCCCTTCCCCCTTTGTTTTGACAGATCAGGGGAGGCTCGAAGGTCACAGGCGGGCGGCCGTTGCCCAGGAAGGGCCAGTCTGGTAGTGCAGTTGGCTCTGGCTGGCTTCAGGAGCTGCTTGCTGCTCACTGCCGTGGCACAGGGAAAATGGTGGGCGCCACAGCAGTGAGCAGCTCCTGAAGCCAGCAGAGCCAACTGCTAAGACTGCTGCTGCCATGTTTCCCGGGGACAGATTTGCAAATCTGGGGACATTCCGGGGATGGAATTTGTCCAGGGACAGATTTGCAAATCTGGGGACTGTCCCCGGAAACTGGGGACGTCTGGTAACCCTATTGTAACATTATACAGGAGGCAGCAACGAAAACCATCCCAGTGAAAAGGAATGCAAGAAAGCAAAGTGGCTGTCCAATGAGGCCTTACAAATAGCGGGGGAGAGAAGGCAAGCAAAATGTGAGGGCGATAGTGAAAGATACAGGAAATCGAATGTAGATTTCTAAAAAATAGCAAGGAGAGGCAAGAGGGCCTTCTTAAATGAGCAATGCAAAGAAATAGAGGAAAACAACAGAATGGGAAAAACTAGAGATCTGTTCAAGAAAATTAGAGATATGAAAGGAACATTTCGTACAAAGATTACCATAATAAAGGACAAAAGTGGAAAGGACCTAACAGAAGCAGAAGACATCAAGAAGAGGTGGCAAGAACACACAGAAGAATTATACCGGAAAGATATGGAGGTCTCGTACACCCCAGGTAGTGTGGTTGCTGGCCTTGAGCCAGACATTCTGGAGAGTGAAGTCAAATGGGCCTTAGAAAGCACTGCTAATAACAAAGCCAGTGGAAGTGATGATATGCCAGCTGAACTATTTAAAATTTTAAAAGATGATGCTGTTAAGGTGCTACTCTCAATATGCCAGCAAGTTTGGAAAACTCAGCAGTGGCCAGAGGATTGGAGAAGATCAGTCTACATCCCAATCCCAAAGAAGGGCAGTGCCAAAGAATGCTCCAACTACCGCACAATTGCACTCATTTCACAAGCTAGCAAGGTTATGCAGGCGTCTTTGAATTTCATTGTTCCTGCCAACCTAGCAGTTCGAAAGCACGTCAAAGTGCAAGTAGATAAATAGGTACCGCTCCAGCGGGAAGGTAAACGGCGTTTCCGTGTGCTGCTCTAGTTCGCCAGAAGCGGCTTAGTCATGCTGGCCACATGACCCGGAAGCTGTACACCTGCTCCCTCAGCCAATAAAGCAAGATGAGCGCTGCAACCCCAGAGTCGGCCATGACTGGATCTAATGGTCAGGGGTCCCTTTACCTTTACCTAATCCTCCCTCAGTTACTTTGATTCCCCAAACTAGTTTCAGAGTGCCTGCTCTCTCTCTCCCCCCACCCACTACTTCCCTCCTTTCAGATCCCTTCCCTGGAGCTTTGGCTGAACCCCCTTAGTCCTCCAATACTGTCTCTAAGCTTCAGTTTAAGGAACTTCATTTGTACTTACTCTTCTTATTATTTCCCCTTCTCTGTCTTCAGCTGTCTCCCCAACTGGGGATACCGTAAAGCACTATGTACATTGCTAGTGCTATAGAAATCAAAGTGGGTCTGTAGAGATTTCTGTTCTTTTACCTGATATGCTATTGAGTAAGCTGGTTTGTGGTTTCCCTGTGTTCTGGTGTTGTGCTGCATCGAGCAGGAAATATGTGCCCTCATTCGTTCATTTATTTTGGTCGTTTACTGCAGTTTCTTGGGGCAATTCACATTTGATCATTTTCTCATGTTTTATCATTAAGAAGTCTCCTTCTGCCTGTATTGGCCTCTGGGGTCATGAGGAGTGCACAAGGTAAGGTGAATGCTGGAAGTGTTTTCCAGCCACGGTTGCTTGTATTGGCAGCCAGTAAAATGGAGTCTGCTCTGCTTCTCCAGTGGACCATGGTGGACAAAGAGAAACTTGCTTAGTAAGAGAATGTGCAGAATCAAGTATCTAAATGGGCCTCAGAAGATAGGCAAATCCAGAGCAGAGGTCTATATTTTCCTACTTTCTAAGGCCAAACTAGAATTACTTGCTCAGAGGATGTTTGGAATCAAGCTTCTCTTTGTCTGTAATCCTTCTTGGCTCCAGGTTTAGGAGAGCCCTTGGGCAAGAACTCCCATAGTCCTTTCAACACCATTAGTCTCTTTTTCACTGCAGCAGCTCCAGGGAGCTATTGTCATCAGGTCCCTTGTGGGGGGTGACCCCCTTGACACATGACTATGCCATACCCGCCAACATTTCTCTGATGAAAATAGGGATGTCTCATTTCATAATGATAACTTTACCATTTATACCCCACACATCTTACTGGGTTGCCCTAGCCACTCTGGGCAGCTTCCAGCATATATAAAAACATAATAAATCATTAAACATTTTTTAAAAACCTCCCTATACAGGATTGTCTTTAGACATCTCGGGGGGCTGATAATTCCATGCCCCCAAAATTTCTCCAATGAAAATAGGGACACCCTAAGGAAAAGATGGACATTCTAGGATCAAATCAGAAACTGGGGCGGATTCTCTAAATCAGGGACATCCCTGGAAATTAGGGACACTGCTGTGCTGACCCTTGATTGGTGACCCTGCCTGGTTCCCTGGAAGACCAGAGCAGGCTCTTACTGGCTTCCAAAGCAAGCCAAATGAGGAAGCTTTACTTGTCTGTTTGTTGATTGGTGTCAAACCCAACCGGTCATAATGGACTTCTCAAGCATCACTTCCTACAACATGGTTGCTATGGTGTTGCTTAGAGAGGCGTTTAGTGTCATGGATCAAGAAGGGAGGACCTTCTTATCATGCTTCCAGGAAAGTGTAGTGGAAGATGGGTAAGGACTTAAAATCGTTCCCTTACTCTCTGAAACTCTAGCTTAAGTCAATGGCCCATGCTATATGTTCCCTGTATACAAAAGCTGTGGTGCAGGAATTGGATGCTGATACAGCACACACAGTCAAGATAGCTGCACTTCAGGGTAATGAGGAAAGGAAAGAAGATACTGGTTCACCCTCTAATAGGAATGAGCGTAAGTTGTGTATTTGAGGGGGTTGATGGTCAGAGTATTGCTGCCTAAGGCAAAGGACAAAATGGCAGTTCCCCTCCCCATTCCACTTAAGAGAAGCAATGGAACCTCAGTTCATCACTAACAACGGGATGGTGTACTCCACAACAACTGAGGTAGCATGCTAGTTTAGGGGGTGCAAGGACATGTTGTACAGCATATACAGCTCTGTCCTCCAACAGAAAAGAATGGCCAGGGGGGCTCAGAAGGAACAGCCAAGGGGCTGCTTTCACCACCATCTGCCCCCTGAGGTAGTCACCTCACTTTGCCTAATGGTAGGGCCAGCCCTGGTTGTGTTTGATATTTTATTTATTTTTCTGCTCTGTGAACTTGGTGTCCGTATCCCAAAGATTAACCTAGTGTCCGTGGCTATGGAAACACTCTGATATTCCTGTAGCAGAAGCAGGAAAAACCCATCTTACTGACAGCAGTGTGGAGAAAGATAAAATAAGCAACAAATGAACTGTTGCCAATGGTTTTCAGACTCACCCGACTGTCCCCTTTACGGTTTACATGCGGCACAAGTAGCCTGAGAAATCAGCTGGGCTTACTCCCAGGCAAGAATTGATAGGACTGAAGTTTTAGAGATACTTCTGGCTTTTCTGGTGGTGTTTTAAAACTACAAACTGAACATTATAGATGAAACTCTCATCTAACTTCTTTCCAAGATTTCTCAGTCCTTTTTCTTTTACAGTTCACACTGCTACAAGCTATGGTCAGTAACTGCCAGTTCCTATTATCTTCAGGAAGATGGCTCCTTACACTTGAGATAAAGCCTTTAGTCTGTGGTGATTTATCTGGAAAAGACTATGTAAGAATAATAAAAAAGAGCAACCATAATTATGATTAGGCCCATAGTGACTGAAAAATATCATTATTTGTAAACTAACACTACTTAATGACAGATAATATTATTTTTAGAAACAAAGAAAATATCCATTTAGAAATAACAAGAAGCATAAAAGCTACTTCAGATTACTTTTTCTGCTACTCATTATCAGTTGCTGGTGTTTTCCATATTCTTTTTTAAAAAACCCTATAAAGGCAAAATGTAAAGATTCAGATTCGCAATATTGTGTGAATGATATAAGGATATTGACTTTTAAGCAAACTCCAGTCCTAACCCTGGCTCTACTAGCTGGCCTGGGGAGCAGTTTGGGATGAATTGGAGGCACCTCTCTCCATGCATGGAAGAGCTTCACTGGTGAATGAGCACATCTGCTTAATAATAATAAGAATAATGATATGACTGTAAGCATAGATCTGTTGCTGGTGGGTTTTTGACCAGCCATCAGTAGGCCCTAACACTGGGCCTGATTCTGGGGGTGGGGCATGATAGTGGTGGCTTTAGATGCACTGGATCTAAGCCCCTTCGTTCCTCAGAGAAGCCCCAGAATAGCCTCCCTCTTCGTATGCTTGTGTAACTAATTCTACCCCCTATCTAAGGGGAGGAATACATTTAGTCCTCTCCTGCCCTGGCCAGCAGAAGTTGGCAGAGCTTTGGAAGAGGCAGTTAATTCACCAGTTCCACCCCATCCCACATAAAATTATGTTGTAAATCCGTTCCACCTCCCCAGTTGTTTGTCAGATATAGTTATGGCAAATGCCACACTAATTTCTGAGCATCACATGCCACAAAGCCCTGGTCCAGTGCCACTGCATGATGCCCAGAACCACAGAGTTGGTCTGCTCTAAGTAAAACATGTCTGATTACCGCGTATAAAGAAGTCCCCCTTTCACATTTTAAAATTGTTTTAAACTCACAATTCTGGGTGCGGTAGTCACTGAGGGGAAGAGTTGCATTAATTATTTTTATCTTGCCATCTGTGAGTGTCTGATGCAAGAGGGCACCAGGGTCATGATGACTGTGAAGAAATTCATTGTCAACCAACATGGATGCCTTCTAGTGCTGGGAAGGATGCCTCTAGGCCCTGATGGGCGCTAAACAATATCTGCATTCCTGTATCCAGGCCTTTTTGTGTAAAAATAGTTTGACATTTTTCTAATGGCCCCCACTGTGATGAAGACTGTGGATTGCAACACCTATGCGTGCCTGGGTGCAGCTTGCTGGTTCAAGGCTGGCCCATGGCATCCAGAAACAGCCTAAAGTTTCCCTAGTTCAGGTTGGGGTTCTAACGGGGTGGGGGCAGTACTACATGGCAGGGTTTGTTTTTAGCCTGGTTATTCAACTTCCTATTGCAACCGAGGAGGTTGTCACCCTGGATTTGGATATGTCAGTCCTTGGTGGATTTATTGGGGTGTTGAGTATTCACCCTCCCTATGTTATCACTCCTTTCTTTTCATTGCCTATTGCCTAGAAGGAGCATTTCTTTCTTTTTTTTTTTTTTAATAATTTTTTATTAAGGTTTTAAACAACAACAAAAAAAGAAAAACAACACACACAAAAAACAATACAAAACTTAACAATAAAAACAGAACATAACAATTAAAAACAAACTCTCTTTTCCATTTCCAATTTTAGATTACTTATTTTCTGGACTTCCTCATACCTCCTTTTTTTGTATTCCAATCCACATTATTTGTCCAGCAGTTTCTTTTCCACTTTTTTAATCCCAATCTTTAATTTACTAAAATGTTAAAATATTTAACTTCAACTTTTTTTAAACCTAATCCTTACTCTTAATGTCATATAGCTTTAAATTTTTCCCTTTTATTATCAGATTTCCATTTCTTTAAACATCTTTAATCTTAACCTTTAATCTTAATCTATCCTTAACTTTAACCTGTACAGCTGGAAACCACTTATTTTCAATCCAACATCACTCTAACATTCCTTAATTTTGCAGTGTTTCTGAAGATAGTCTTTGAATTTCTTCCAGTCTTCCTCCATCGACTCTTCTCCCTGGTCACGGATTCTGCCAGTCATTTCCGCCAATTCCATATAGTCCATAAGTTTCATCTGCCATTCCTCCAGCGTGGGAAGTTCTTGTGTCTTCCAATACTTTGCAATGAGTATTCTTGCTGCTGTTGTTGCATACATAAAGAAAGTTCTATCCTTTTTTTAACACCATTTGGCCCACTATGCCCAGGAGAAAGGCCTCTGGTTTCTTGGGGAAGGTATACTTAAATACCTTTTTTAATTCATTATATATCATTTCCCAGAAAACCTTAATCTTTGGGCACATCCACCAAAGGTGAAAAAATGTACCTTCAGTTTCTTTACATTTCCAACATTTGTTATCGGGCAAGTGATAGATTTTCGCAAGCTTGACTGGGGTTATGTACCACCTGTATATCATTTTCATAATATTCTCTCTTAAGGCATTACATGCCGTAAATTTCATGCCTGTGGTCCATAACTGTTCCCAGTCAGCAAACATAATGTTATGTCCAACGTCCTGTGCCCATTTAATCATAGCCGATTTTACCGTTTCATCCTGAGTATTCCATTTCAGCAGCAAGTTATACATTCTTGACAGATTCTTAGTTTTGGGTTCTAACAATTCTGTTTCTAATTTGGATCTTTCCACCTGGAAGCCAATTTTCCTGTCCAATTTAAATGCCTCCATTATCTGATAATAATGAAGCCAGTCTCGCACTTTGTTTTTAGTTTTTCAAAACTCTGCAATTTCAGTCTATCTCCGTCTTGTTCCAAAATTTCCCAATATTTCGGCCATTTGACCTCCATATTGACCTTTTTCAAGGCTTTCGCTTCCATTGGTGACAGCCACCTTGGGGTTTTATTTTCTAACAAATCCTTATATCTTGACCAAACATTAAATAGCGCTTTCCTGACAATGTGGTTTTTAAATGCTTTATGTGCTTTGACCTTATCATACCATAAATATGCATGCCATCCAAATACATTATTGAAACCTTCCAAGTCCAAAATGTCAGTGTTTTCAAGAAGTAGCCATTCTTTCAACCAGCAAAAGGCTGCTGATTCATAATAAAGTTTGAGGTCTGGCAGGGCAAATCCACCTCTTTCCTTTGCATCTGTTAGTATTTTAAATTTTATTCTAGGCTTCTTGCCCTGCCAGACAAATTTAGAGATATCTTTCTGCCACCTCTTGAAACAATCCATTTTGTCCACGATCTGCAAAGTTTGAAACAAGAACAACATTCTAGGCAATACATTCATTTTTATCGCAGCAATACGGCCTAGCAGTGAAAGCTTCAAATTTGACCAAATTTCTAAATCTTTTTTCACTTCTGACCAACATTTTTCATAATTATCTTTAAATAAATTCCCATTTTTTGCTGTCATGTTAATCCCCAGGTATTAGAAGGAGCATTTCTAACTCTGTGGTAATAATATTGGGAGGAAGATCCTTTCTATCTTAATAAAAGCAACCCCAAGCACTCTGGCATGCAGTCGATTTTCCATTTTTTGCTAAACCTGGAAGAAAAGAGCACTTTAAGGACAGTATCTTTCTTGTTCAGAAAGGTGCTTAATAACGCTTGCATAGAACAAGTTCATATTAACCTCCTTGCCGACAAGACCTTTCCCTGATGGATGAAATGAAGCATTGTGCGATGGCAGCTGCCAGTCTTGTTATCTCTCCCCTACCATCGCCCCCCCCCCCGCATAGTTTTCCCAGCCTTTAAAACCAGGCCAGGGAGAAGAGTGGATTGCAATTCAACATAGCACAGCACTGTCTGTTCCCAGCTAGTCAGTGCAGTGTTAGCCTTGTTTCCTGTGATCAGGCAAGACGTAGCCATGGTGCTGCCTCTGGAAAAAGAAATGACTAGGCTGATTTGATATTTGTGATGTAGTAAAGCTTTTAAAAAGAAAGCAAGAAAGGGAGCCAAAATGTCGATTAATCAGAGTCTGCAGTGCTGTATGTAAGTGAACTGCCATAGGTACTTCTTAAACCCAGGCAGTGACGTGGGAGATCCTCTTGGCTGTGACTATTGGATGGCTTCAAAGTGCTGGTTGCAGCCCTTTCCCAAACATCTTGGGCCCTGCAGACATTACAGAATGTCTTCGCTATATCACCGCTTCCCTCTGATTGTGGGATTGAAGTCTCTTTCGTATGCCATCTTTCCCTAAAGTGAGAACAGTTTGGGCACAGAGAAGAGCTTCATCAGTAGAATCCTTTGCCTGGAGAGACTTACCAGCCCATTTCCCTCTATTCCTTTCTCCATTGAAAATACAGTATTTACATTCTCAAGGATTTTCCTAGTGTCTGAATTGTTGGACATTTAATCTTTTTGGTTGCTGTTTCTTTTCCTTTTCGTTAGGATTGTTTACACACACACACACACACACACACACACACACACATATACCACCCTCCAGGTATTTTACCTGTTTTAATTGTGGTACGAAGCACCATTTTGTAACTTGCTTCATGTACTACTTATTGGAACAGGACAACACCTAACAAATAAAGTAAAGGTAAAGGGACCCCTGACCATTAGGTCCAGTCATGACCGACTCTGGGGTTGCGGCGCTCATCTTGCTCCATTGGCCAAGGGAGCCGGCGTACATCCTCCGGGTCATGTGGCCAGCATGACTGAGCCACTTCTGGCGAACCAGAGCAGCGCATGGAAACGCCGTTTACCTTCCCGCTGGAGCGGTACCTATTTATCTACTTGCACTTTGACGTGCTTTCGAACTGCTAGGTTGGCAGGAGCAGGGACTGAGCAACGGGAGCTCACCCCATCGCGGGGATTCGAACCGCCAACCTTCTGATCGGCAAGTCCTAGGCTCTGTGGTTTAACCCACAGCGCCACCCGTGTCCCTTACCTACAAATAAATGCATGCAAATTATGGAGTGGCCACTTAGGATTTCATGGGGTGGCAGCTGCGTCCTTGTGGGGAACCAGCCCTCTCTGGTGAGCAGCCATGCAGCAAAGCTGACTTTATTGCTCCTTTTTCTACCCACACATTTCCATGTACTGTAGTTTCCATGCATGGTCAGACTAGTTTTCATCACAAGGCTACTCATGCTGAACTAGGCTACCCAATCAACTGGAAGGGAGGGGGCACATGCCTACCTGGCCTCTGGTCCAGTTGCCAGAATTTGATCCCAGAAATGGTTGTTAAAATGCAAGAGAGAAAGGAGAAATCAGATTTAAATAATGTCCTGAAGTGAGGCATTATTATTTTCATTCAGTGTGCATGATGAACATGAGAAGAGTCCTTAGATCAGACCAAAGGCCTACATAGTCCAGCATCTTAGAGCTGAGCAAATGCCTTTTCCCATAGATAGACGTGCCATGCACCAAGGTGGCAACCTCTCAGCACTAGGACAGAATTACTAGATCTTGGAGAGAATGTCAAATCCATAAGAAAGGGGTCAGTTCCAGAGCTCTGTTGTTAAAACGTTAGTGATCAGAGAATACAAATAGGCTGTTTATGTGAATTTAAAAAAAGATAATCATGAGAAGCAGCCTCTGCAGTGGCAAGCAAAATAAGAACCCATCACCAATCTTTAGCTATCTGCCAAGAATTATCATTATTATATATTAAATTTGTATACCGCCCTTCATCTGAAGATCACAGGGCGGTTCACAACATAAAGAAGTGCCAAAGTTGCTTGTAAAGGCTGTTTCTCAAATGAAGCATGACCTACAAGATCATAGCTCAGCTGCTGCTTGTGTCTACTCCCATTCACACTGTGTGAAACCCAGTTTTTCAAATGTGCAGTTGAATTGTGAATTCAAGAAGGCAGATTTGCCTTCTCTAATTTTTCAAAGGGGACAATTTTTTTAATTGCCCTTGCTTTTGCTGCTATTGACTGATGTTCTGAAGAAGAAAGGGGGGAAGCAATGCCAGCCAGTTGTCCTTCTCTGCTTTTCATTCACCCCCATCCCATCTTTTCTGGGCTGGCCTGAAAATTTGGGGAAGCGGCTTCTTTGCCATGACCACCCTCTCCATGCTTCCGCAGCCTCTCAGGAGTGCCATTTGGCTACCAGTAGATCAGGTCAACTTTGTAGCATGCCAACTGTTTGCCTTGCTTGCTGCTACTTGGTTTTGAACTTACCTTCATTCAAGCAAACCTAGTCCATTTATAAGGCTGCTTGTTGCAACCCTTTGGGCTCCTCAATTTTGTAATTTGTTACACAAAGTGGAATTTCCTACTATATTATGATCATTATAGGAGTGGAAAATATGCACAAAACACAATGTATAGGCAGTATCTAACACCAAGAAGACAAACTATGATAGCCAATGGTAGATGCTGGAGGTGCAGATTACAGAATGCAGACTCTGCCACTGACAGTTATCTGCATCAAAGATAGCTAAGTTGACAGGATGTGGTGTTCTTAAGGAGGTTCTGCTAGAAATAAAGCATGTGTCCCTATGCTCTCGTTGGGGCAACTTTTTTTGTTCACCTTGGCACTTGGTGGCTCATGATGACATCCGTTATTAACTCAGATCTCAGGAGAAGCTCCGTTCCATATTCTGTTGCTCACACAAGTAAAATCAGAAAGTGCAAGGAGTCTAGCTTTTTCCATCAGAACCCCAATACTGTGGAATGTCCTTTTTGAGGAGATCCACCAGACTACTTCCTTGATGTCATTCCACTAACAAATAATAACTTCCTTGTTACTCCTAGTGACTGAGCAGAATTCATGCTGCCGCTCAGGTTACTATTTGGGAGTATTATCATTTATAGCGGTTATCATTAATTTCAGTTGATTTTAAAATTACTCCATGAAGAGCTGTTTTTAAAACTTATCCTGTGAAAGGCTCCAGGCAGAGAGTGTGATTTATAGATAGACTTATTTTATAGTGCCAGATGCCCACCCAAAAATATGCTGTGCTTGCATTCATAAAAAGGGTGCAGGCCGATGTGCTGCAAAGTTTATTTTCTTCTAGCAGCAAAGCTACTGGAGAGGGTAGCAGGAGTGTTTGCTTGGCTCTGTTCTATAGCCGTGCCCAAGATAACTCTGTTCCTTCCCAGGTGCCATAGATGGCTGCTGCCTCTGCCTGTTTTGTTGTGCCTGTGATACAACTGCCCACCAGAAATCTAGCTAGACAAGATTCTGTATGCATTAAGGATCAGGAAGATCAGGAACACATGTGAATAGGTGCTGAACGAAGGAGGAACAGTTAGTTAATCAATTCACTAATTTCATAAAATGTATATATATACCAGTTGAGGAAAATATTCTTTGTCTTTAATAAATTATTGAAAACTGCTTTTTTTATCTCTTGCACTTCCCGTTTGATGTTAATTTTTACACACACACACACACAAAATTGGGTACAGTGGTGCCCCGCAAGACGAATGCCTCGCAAGACGAAAAACTCGCTAGACGAAAGGGTTTTGCGTTTTTTGAGTCGTTCCGCAAGACGAATTTCCCTATGGGCTTGCTTCGCAAGATGAAACGTCTTGCGAGTTTGTTTCCTTTTTCTTAAAGCCGCTAAGCCGTTAATAGCCATTAATAGCCGCTAAGCCGCTAATAGCCGTGCTTCGCAAGACGAAAAAACCGCAAGACGAAGAGACTCGCGGAACGGATTAATTTCGTCTTGCGAGGCACCACTGTACTTTCATCCTTATGTAGATTACTTCATTGATTTTTTAACTCTTTGCCCTTCTTTCTCCCTTTCCCAGTTGCAGGCAGAGGCCTGATGTTTTTATTTCTGTAGCGTGCCAAGCATATACTAGGCATTTTATAAATGAAAATAATTGCGATAAGCAATTTTGATATCACAAAGCACCATCTGAATGCTAAATACTAAAGTTGTTTTCTGGGTACCTGCTGTCTCCTTTTTCTACATTTCTGTGTTTCACCTCAAAAGCAGGAATGATCAAGAGAAAGAACTCAAAATACGAACTCCCCTGTTTTAGAACAAGGCAGTCCCCATTTAAGTTGGCAAATTCCCTTTCAGTCTTGTCTAACTCAAGGTCAAACTCTTTCTGTGGAGCTGTGCCCATGAAATGACATATCCATGGCCAAAGAGAGGTTGCCCATAAATCCGAGTGGATGGGGACTTTCCTGAGCTATAAGTTCAGGTCTGCCTAAATGTAGAGAATGTGAATTCTTTGTGCTCTGCTACCAGTTTTGACTCCATTCTACTCTTTCTATGCATCCTGATCCTAAGCAAATTTCTTAAATAGCATATATTCTGTGACTGGTATAGTTTGCAAATTCAGGAGTTTTCCTTCCCACGGGCCTAGCCATATGCCCATGCCTGGAAGCCGATGGGATAAGCGGAAATTGCTTTTCAACAACAATGATAGTGGCAGCATATTACCTTGCCCATAGATCTCCTCAAATTTCTTTCATAAGGATTTGGCAGCAGTAAATACCAATAAAAGGGAGCAGGGGAATTAGGATTGGGTCAAAGTTGATTCTTCACACTTCCATAAGATTTCCCCGTATCTCATGCAGAGTTTTCTTATTCCTCTTAAATGAAAGTTTTGATTTGCAGTTTTTACAGAACTATGGGATCATTACAGGGAAGAGCTGCAGAAGGAGGCTCTAGAAAATAAAATTAGAGAAAAGAAGGGATGTAATATATTATTGTGGGATGGGGAGGAATGGAATATAATCTTCTCAAGTAGAAGCAAGACTATATTTCATGTTCTGTATTTCTAATTCAGACATGAGTGAGCAGGTAGTTTTAGTGTAGAAATTTTCCCTGCTGTTTCCTCCATGAATAATAACTTTGTTCTTGCTTCCTGATTAGATGTTCCAGATAAATAATAATGGCAGCTATTATACCTATGAATATCTGACAGTATTATATTTCTCAAAATGTCAAATAAGGAGGCAAGAACAAAGTTATACTTCAGTGGAAAATTCACAGTATGAACCTGTTCAGACCTAGGAGGACTGAGTGATTCTTTTTAAACAACAAAAGAAGTGGAATTCTTAAAATGCATCTTTTTCTGCATTCCAACAGAGAATGAAATATGAGGGCAATATTCTGCTTATGTCATGTTATGTGGGGCATTTTCATTCAACCACATGGAATAGAAAAATATTCAATGAATGTACATAAATTGAAAATGTTATTTTGAGCTCAGATTTTTATTAGAAGCAAGCATCCACGATTCAGCTGAATGATAGAAAATAATAAAAGATAAGAGAGCTTTTAAAGAACAAGAACATACTTATGAGTAACATAAATAGCAGTTCTATGAATGAAATCCAAATGGTGTCTTTGTGCTTATGAAAGGGCTTTTGACCTGGCACGTGTTTTTGCTAACAGAAGAATGGAGGAATTTTATGCAAGTTTTGCCTTCAACCCCCAGCATCCTGGGCTTTAGTACCCAGCAGACAGACCGGAGTGAAGCCCACAGGCTCAGTCCGGTCTGCCCACAGGGTAACCTGCCCACGATTGGACAGTTTGTGGGCAGGCTACAATTTGTGGGCAGGCTGGGAAGAAAAGGAGGGATCGCAGGTGAGAGCTGGGAGGGACTGTTATCCTCTGTAGGTGGTGGAGGCTGAGTATCATCATCATCATCATCATCATCACCACCACCACCATCTGGGTGGGAGGCTAGGACTACTGATCAATGTCAACTAACATGAAGTAATTTTTAGTGAATTATGAGACTAAATTCCAAATGAATATGCATAGGATTTGGCTGTGTGGCTTAGATCTTATGTTCACTATAGCCTTACTAGGTAGTATACAAACAAGTGGCTTTTTCATAAGCTTCCATTACCTGACCAGTAACCAAAGGGGTTTGGTATACATAGGCAGGTGTATTACATTTCTCTGTTGCACACAAAATCCAAATGGAGTGAATGTGACTCACCCATAAATGGAAGCCACTGATGTTAAACTAGCAGAGCACTGAGAATCATATGACACCAAAAGTGGGACAGTTTTATTTTGTAGTGAGAAAGCCACCTCCAGTGCTTGCGGAGTTCTAGAGTTTCAAATATCCTAATGAATTCCAACTCATCAGTTTCTTGCTGAAGACTAAGCTAGTAGCACCTATCTATAGCGAAAGGCAGAGATTCAAATCTGACTTACATGCTGATTTTTCTTCATTGCCAATGTTAACAAAAAGTGATTTTAGTCTTAATTTTTCTTTGGGAAGGTATGGAAAAGTGATTGGGCATCAGATACAACATTTCTACAAGGTGATTTGTTTGGTAGATGAACGAATGAAAATTGCTTGTTCCTGGTTGATATGTGGAGTAGCTTTTAAAATGCAGAGTGACACAAAGTCTGGGGGAGGGACCCTGGAAGTAGTAAGATGTTTCAACAGTGGGAGCTTTCCCATTGTCCATTATTGCAGAATAGCAGAAATGGGGAATGTGTTGCACTCCAGATTTTGTTGGAAACCAACACTCTCTAGCTCCAACCAGCATGGCCAGTGTTCAGGTATGGTAGGAGCTGTTCAGCAACACCTGGAGTTCACAGCTTCTGTGTCTCTGCAGTATAGTTTTGTCTGAACATTTACCAACTTTACAGTCTAGGATCAATTGCACCTGTCTAGGATCAATATGCCACTTTTTAGCCTCTCTTATACTTACGGGTGTTAATGACTTTTGGTTTGCTTATTTAGTTACTTACCATATATTGTATCTTACCCTTCTTCCAAAATGGAGCACAGAGTGCAGCAACAATCATAAAAGGCCATAAAATAAAATACCAAAAACTGACAAGGCAAGATACTGCTGAGGGTGGGGTGGGCAGGCTGGTAATGTTGAAAAGCGAGTCTACATACCATTCTATGGGATTGCATGTAGTCACAGGCTACTGTAGGCCAGCATATGGGGTAGGCAAGAGAATAAATATTGTCACCTTCACTAGCTGAAGGGAGATGCAATTCCATTTGAAGCAGAAAAAACACAACTTGTAAACTGTGGCAGTGCATATAAACTGGAATGGAGAAAGTCCTAAAGAAGCACTTTAAAATGTCAGCTTTCACCAACCTGGTGCCCTCCAGATGTTTTGGACTACCATGCTGGGGGTGATGGGAGTTGTGATACAAAACATCTGGAGGGTATCAGCCTGGCAAAGGCTGGGAAATGTGATCTTGGTCTAAGGTACATTTTGCTAAGGAGGTATCACAATACACGATAAACAGTTCCAGAGTTTGGATAAATGACAGCATTAATTACCTTGATAGATGCTGAGCCGGAGGGATTTGAGAGGGGAGACTACCGCAGCAGGAAATCCTAGGCTGCCTTACTTAACAGCATCCACATTACAAGCAAACAGCAGACTTGGTTCAAGCAAAGACTTTTAAGTCTCATTTCAGTGAGATACATTTAAATGCGGCCAACTTTCCCATTTAATGACACTTGCAGCATAATCTTATACATGTGCACTCTGATACGATTCCTATGGAATTCGGTGTCTCTTTGCTCATTACTACAGTTTCCCCCTAAAAGCTTCACCTATGCTGTACCTTGCATGCTGTAAGGCTTACAATAACTGAATAATAGACTGCTACTAGTTATTATTATACTTGTATTTCATATGGAGGAGGTGGGTAGAGCCTGGAATATGCCCATGTTCCTTCAATGAGTTCATAGCTAACTGGAGGTTTGAACTGGAGTCTTTGCAGTTCACACCAAATGTCCTTTAATGCTTCTGCAGCTGTTACTCAGCTGCCTCGTCAAATCTATGCCTAAGTAAACCAATGTGACATTCCCTGGTATTGTGGGAGCCCTTATAGTATATAACATGCAGACTTGAGCTGAAGTGGCATTTATTTTACATGATTTTCTGTGTCCATTTTGCAAGTGGAAAACCTCTTATTACTTGATCAGATAAAGGTGCAGCTTCATTCACAGCAGAAACAGTGGCATCAAACTGTAGTGTTGCATCAATTACAGTATTTATAACAAATGTGTATGCTTACTGGGGTAGGTATTGTGAGAATATACAGTACATTATAGTGAAATCTATAAAATAATAAAGCAAGTTGAATTTAGATTATTTTTATTTTTATTAAATTGGTATACCACCCTTCATCCGAAGATCACACGGCACCTCATAACAGAAAAATACAAAACAAGAACACAAAAAAACAAAAGAAAAAACAAACCAATAACCCCTCTCCCACAAACACCTTTAAAAGGTCATAGAATGTTTAATTAGCCAAAGGTCTGATTATAGAGAAACTTTTTGCTTGGTGCCTAAAGATACGTAAGGAAGCTGCCAGGCAAGCCTCCCTGGGGTGAACATTCTACAAATGGGGAGCCACTGCGGAAAAGGCCTGTTCTTGTGTTGCCACCCTCTAGGCTTCTCAAGGATGGGACATACAAAGAAGGGCCTCAGATGATGATCACAGGATCCAGGTTGGTTTAGAAACAGAGTGGTGGGCCTTGAGATCCTCAAAGAGCTAAAGCAAAATTCATTGACATGGAAGATAATACATGGTTTTATAACATACACACACCACAAAACACACACATTGCAGGTGAAGATACAGTGCAAATTGTGATACGTATCTTCCAATAAAATCTGGATGATGGCATTTTATAACAGAACAGGCATTGTGGATTCTTAGAACTGGATTACTTTCAAAGGTTCTCCCTAGTAATACAATACTATTAGCAGTACAACAGTAGTACAGATACTTTTTTTCATGCTCTTTTCTTGAATAGCATGAGCTTGGCATACTTGCAGATAATAGCTAAATTGTATAGAAACCAATAGTAGTCATGGATTTATGGCTAGAAAATGGGTGACAAGATCCATAGATTTTTAACAAGGCCTCATCAACCTTGTTAAGTTCTCCCACCCCCACAAAACACAACCAACTACCAACAGAATGGAGGGACCATTTACATGGCATGGTTTTATTTAATAACTTTGCAGTAAATACCTGCTTTTGTATTATATGTTCTTGTATCTCAAAAGCCAGTGGAAAGACAAGTAGCTTTGGCCCTTAAGAGGGGATGTCTCAAATTTAATAATATAATTTATGTAGTATTTAAACAGCAAGGATAGCACGTCCCTTAAATGTCATGTCATATTTCTTTTGATTTTTTGGGGAGGGGGAGTGCTATAAAACTTACAATACTCTTTGATTATATACAGTAATAGAGTGGGTAGGTGAACCAGAGACTACAACATTCAGGCTATCCTATCACTGAGTGTAGTAAAAATATCAATATTGTGCTATGTCAATAGCCTCACAGTGCACCAACAAGGCTCTTTCCATCCTTATGTAGGACACAAATTACTTTGCCTAACAGCTTACTAGCTTCCCCTCGTCATATCTTATTAAATTATTGTGTCTCTGGTTTCAAAATTGCTTTGTTGTTTTAGTGGATGGTGCTAGATATTTTCAAAAGAATGATCTAGTGGTTTTTGTCTGAAATGCTTCTCAGTCCAGTGATATTCCATAAACAAACTATAGACTATTCATTATGAACTTTCAAATAAGAGTTGATATTTATAAAATTGATGGCTTATGGGTGGTATATATTTGGAGTGTGGTAACCTCACAGGAACTGTCTGATGTGTCTTTGTGATGTTCTGTATGATCAGTTACATTGCATCTGTATTGCATGTAGCTATAATTCTGAGATCTCTATATCTGTGAGTCTTGATATCCAACCTGGTTAGCCTTCCACTGACCTCTGTTTCCAGATAACTCTGTTCTGATCTATATTTCTGAGCCATGGGTCTGTTAAAGCAGTGCGATAGCAAGGCCATTGTCTCACTCCAGCACTTCTAAGCATTTTTCCTTTCGTCCCCACTGTGTGACATCTGCAATTCTACTTGTAAATGAGTTCTATAAAATATTAATGAACATATCAGATTGTCATGCCAGACATTCAACTTCTATTTGCAGTATTCTGCAAAGCCGCTTTGTAAAAAATGAAGTAAAAAATGAAATGGGGCACCAATTCTCTCTCTCTCTCTCTCTCCCTCTCTATATATACATGATAGAACTACAATTGTCTATGGGGCACATTCATTTTTTATTTTTTTTGTCCTCCTGTCATTTCTTACGAATTTTATTTCGGAAGTGTTATAGTATTCTTGGACTACATATAGTAATGGGTTGGGTTTGTGAACCAAAGACCCGGATTATGGAACTTCCTCCCAAATGACATTTGGCTATCTTCTGCGTTGTCCTCATTTAGATGCAAGGTGAAAATCCCTGTTCCTGGGTTAGAGGGAGCGGCCTCTGGGTGCACATTGCAGTTCCCTTCTCCTCCTCCAACAATTAAATATATTTAAGAGGTCAGTAAAGTATGGTCTTACTTAACTGTATACTTAATCTAAATCGAGGCGCTTCCATGCGGTACCCTGCAGCGCCCCCTAGGTTTGACGCCCAGTGCGATGGAACTGATCACACTGTCCTAAATCCGTCTCTGAAATACGTGTCTCTATGATAGCAGCTCCTAGTAGCAAGCTTCTTTTTAATTATTTTTCTGGTTCTGTAAGGAGCAAATAGGTTGAATGGAAAATAGTCTAAAAGAAAATCTAGCCAATAATTAATAATTAATAGAAGTATGGTAATTCTTTTCATTACGGCTAACAATATATTCTTTCCACATATTCAAAATGTTAATCCTGTTTTCTCTGCAGATTATTTATGCAAAATAGTGCTTGATTATTGCAAAAGCCAGATCCCTTTGCTTTTGACAATGCAAAGTGATGTTTTTCTTTCTGTCAAGGTTTGTTGCTAAAAATAATTAAATTACTACTTACTCCCCTTTCCTAACCTTTGGTTTTAAAAAATCAAAATTTTAAAAATGCACTTATTTCTTTGGGCTAATGTAACAGAAGTTTCAACCACTTATTTTAAGAAATTTTGGTAACTTGATCAAATGCTAGAGGAAGCTTCTAGTATCAAGTCAAATCCTCTCCTGCTAAAAACATCAATGCAACAAATTTCCCAGTTAATTAATTAATATTGCAGGAATTGCATGTCTCTCAGCTAAAAGTGAATTAAAGCTAGTCAGTTTGAAAGAGAGCTGTAAGTGAACAGAGGTAGAAACACATTACTTTTGCTCTAGTCAAAAAGGTTTTGCAGGTTTTTTAAACTAAACACCTGAAAGTTAGATGAGCAGAGCTCCCTCTTTTAAAATGCTCAAGCTCCTGAGAAAAACAAATTATTATTGGTCTTGGAGCCTAACTACTCTGATCTTATATTATGTGGTTAATTTCTGTTTCCTGTTTATAGTTCACTGTGGGTATTCCATCGTAATAACTATAATCAGTGTGTTTACAGAATCGTATGACTCTTTTGGTGTTTTGTTTCCAAAGGAATAGCCGGATTAGAAATGAAATGTATGAAATATAAATAGTTACAATTCAATTAGAGCCAGAATGTATGCAAAATAAGTAGTGTGATCCTTTACCATGGCAGTGATAGGTGATAAAATAATGGACTTGGAAATGCTAATTAACATCTGCAGTTGGAAAGGAAACCACTGGCTGTATTCAGGCCCAAAGGGATAGAGTTGAACTTCTTGATGAATGGAAACTGAGCTGACAGGCTGCTGGTAGCAGACAAAAGCTTTTATTTAATATTAATGAAAGTTAATGGCATATAATCACTATTATCTTAGTGGGTTTTTTATCATCCTTAGTATGTGAGTATGGGACTTAGTTTGTATAGAACTAACGTAATTATTTTTGCAATTATTTTAATATACAAGGAAGCAACTGCTTTCCATGCAGTTGCTAGCATGTACTTCACTGGCTTACCTTAGTGTCTGAATTCCCAAAGGTGATTATTCTCTTGAGTTAAATGTCAATTCATATTCTTGAACAACCTCTTAAGTGTCTTTTGTATTTGGATGCAATTGCAAGAATTCAGAGTCCAGAGACTCTGTAGCATATTAGTGGTGCTGCAAATGTTTTCAGGCACAATTTGCCTCTCTTAGAAAATTGTACTGTCATTAGCAGTTGGGTAAAAGTGCAGTTTGACCTCTTCAAGACTGAACCTTTAATGTGAATTGCAGCATTGTCTGTTTCTAGGCTAAGAGATTTGTGTTCTTTCTGCCGTATCTTCAGAGCACGCTAGTGCAATAGGCTAGTGTGGAGACACCAGCTTGGCCAAGATCATTCAGGGACATCCAAAGCAAGTGCTTTATCGACTGTAGTATCATGGTCTCTCTTTCATTTCTGAAAACTACTTGGGCAATTGATTAAATTGCATAGGAAAATTATGAAATTGTCCCAGACTGAAAAACTGTTCTCTCAGTCAGTGTCCAGTCATCATTTCTTGGAAGCTGGTCCAAACCTATACAATCTTGTATGTTATGAAAGGAAACATCGAGTTTTATTTGAGAAATAACATAAAGAGACCATAGTACTTGCATTTGGCAGTTTATCTAGCTGTTCATTTAGTTCTTCAAACAGTGCTGTAACTGAGGCAGACTGTGGAAAGACCATGTCTCTTCTGGAAAAAGTATCTCTTAGCTTCTTTCAGTTCCATTTATTGAAGCTCCTTGTGTTTCTTGCTGCCTACTTGGTATTTGTAGCCGGGCATTGCTGTGTCACATATAGTTGTGTTATTTATTTAAAATATTTTAATTTTATATTTCTGTTAAAATATCCAAAGCAGTTCATAAAGGCAATGTATCAGAAAATAACAGTGTAATACAATTTGAAACAGCAGCACCAGCAAAGGAAACAGCTGAAAATCAGAGTGCTCTGACAAATGCCCTTTAAACATTGTTCCCTGTCCCTGATATCCAGTTTCAGTTCTTCAGTTCTGACTCGTGAAGAGAAGGTGAAAAAGTGAGGCGGAATGGCTGGCGCGGCGGTATCTTAAACCGCAAACCACGCCCCCACCAAGCCGCCCGGTTGGGCGCTTACCTGTGGGTGTGGTGCGCCAGCCAGGTGAGTGGGGCAGGGGGCATAACGCCCCCTGCGTGACGCAGAAATCACGTCCCGCCCACAACACCTCCCCTCCGGGAGGAGGAGAGGCCTTTCAGTTCTTCAGATGAAATGCAGTGGTGGGAGGGTGGTGGCTCTACCCTACCACATGGGATGTTACTGTTCCTTCCCTAGTGATCAGAGTTGCAGTCCAACAACATCTGGAGTGCTACAAAGTACCATCTTTGGCATGCCAAAAATCTGCAAAGACTAAGCAATTCTGGGACTTGCAGTTCTTTAAAGAGTATGTTACATAGACATGTATCTTCAGACCTTTAGAAGTAGGGCAAGTGAATATGGTGTGAGGTCTTTTGTGGGGGGCGAGGCACAAGAGAAAGCACTAAAGTCTCCCGTTTTGTCCTTTGGTCCCAGTCTGCACTGAAGGATCCCGTGGCTGCTACTTTTTAACATTTTAAAAATGAGGTGGTGGAGGAACTGTTTAAAATTGCATTATGCTTTGTATACAGCTACTACTTGGAAGATGTAAAATGATAATATGAAATGAGAAAAAAACAAGACAAAAATACATTTTCATGGCATTTGCATATGAAATGATGTCTGAGTTTAGGAAAATGCCACCTGGGCATAAAGAAACCTTCACTGTGCATTACATTATAACTTAGCAGCACATTGTAAAAAGGTAAAGGGACCCCTGACCATTAGGTCCAGTCAAATAAACAGGTGGGCTCATTTCTTCTGAGTCAAATGTTGATGGATGTGTTCTGATAACATGGCCGGTTTGGGTAGTTTCACATGGCTCCCCAACTATGAAATACCCACCCTGATGAGGTTTACCAACATGGTTTGTTTTTAGTTACCAGACTAAAACCTTCCTGTTTGTTTTTATCTTTTTTTCCTGCAACATGTTTGCTGATGTTTTCTTTGGATGTTGCATTTTAATTTTTGTCCTGATATCCTTATACAGAACTGGATTGATGTGTTTGTATGAATGTATGTATCTCTCTATCTAAAGATATATTTAAATATACTACCTGACAACTTTATTTTTTATATAAAAATACTTACATAAGGGTTAGGCTAAAGCTTTATCTGTGGTTTCCTTTTTGTAAATGGTTTGGTTGGTCATTCTATGCCAGCCTTCCCCAAACTGGTGCCCTTACATTAAATATAATATTTTATTTAATATTGTTGCATGCCATCCCTATCTCTGAGCAGTGCAAGATTCCAGGCACTTACCCAGGGTCCAGTTTCATCCGAATGAGGGACAGCAGAGACTGTAGTGTCTTTAGGATAAATGGTTTATTCACATATATCTACAACCTGAGCCTACGATGGGGGAGCTCATATCATTAGCACCCCAGAAGGTCTTGCTTCTCCCATAGTCACAGCCTTGGATTCAAGTAGAAATCAAGCATGTCTCCCATTCTCAGGCTTCTGCCTGCTTCTAACCCACCTCTCTCTCACACCTGCCCTGGACTTTGTTCTTCTCACTACCAGCCAGCAGAGGAAGGCCCTCCCCATTTGCCCCCCCACAACTTCCTTTCTTATACTAATGACCCATACTTATACTAAAGGTCAGTTACCAAGAAGCTGGCTTGGCTAATTCAGCAATGGAGTCCTCCATTAGATTGTAACCCTTGCTGGATTGAGGAATTAGAAGGGACTCAGACATACAGCCTAACCCTCCCCCTCCAACTCACAACACTATGTATTATATTTTTAGATATACATATAGAATGTTTTCTTCTCCCACCTGAAAGCCAGAATAGGCTGTTGCTGCCTATGGCAAACCTGGATTTGTAATATATGAAATGGCTCATCGTCTGATGAGGATGACTGCTCAATGTATTTTTTCCACCAATAGTCATGACTAAGCACCCTTTTTATAGGCAGTGCTTATGACATCAGATTACTTTGCTCTCCCTCACCTCTCAATCCTCCAGAATCACTTGTGCTGATGACACGCTTTTCCCCAGCAACATGACAGAGTTTCACAGGCTCTACTCTCTCTAAAGATACTAGCAGGAAATGTGGGAGTGTTTTTGCAGCAAGGTGATTATTAGCTTGGCCTCTGGAGCTTAAATGAGCAGGTATCACTGTAGCAACGAGTTTGGAGGTATAACAGTAGCCATTCCATTCTGACTTACATAATGCTCACATAGAAATGCTTAAGAGTTTCCTTGGTGGACATTTCTCTCTCATATCTAAGGATAGACTAGTGGTCTAGATATTTGCTGCACAGGAATATTTTGTGGAATAGGATGCAGGCCTAAACGCTAGTGAAGAGGAAGTATTGAATGAAGCAGGGAGTGGATAAGAGCAGCTACAAACCACTTTAGTTTCCAATAGTGCTATCCCCGCCCCCCCAGTATCGCAGACCTGGAGGATATTATTGCTTTATTTAAGTATAGAGAACAGTTGCAGACCCTCCAAGTGTTCCTATATTCCAGGGACATCCCTGAGTTCTGATTTGATTCTGCAATGTCCCTATTTTCATTGGAGAAATATTAGAGGGTATGGAGTTATCCAACTCCTGAGTCATCTGAAGGCAATCGTGTATAGGGAAGGTTTTTTTAATGTTTAATGTTTAATTATGTTATTATATATATTGGAAGCTGCCCAGAGTGGCTGGGGCAACCCAGTAAGATTTGTGGGATATAAATAGTAAGATTATCATTGTGGAATGGAATGTCTCTATTTTCACTGGAGAAATGTTGGAGGGTATGCAGTTGTAATCCAACAACTGGAGGGCTACAGGTGAAATGCACTGAAAAAATACAATTATTTCTGCTAGAGAAATTATGTTATTAGAACATAATTGTAATTGTGGAAGAAAATAATGTAGCTTCTCCAGAGACTGAGCTATGTATTGCTGCGACTGGGGCATAGAGCCCATTTAATAGACTTTCATATCAGCAGAAGAAAATGATTGGATATTGCTGTATAGGCAGCCAATGGTTACAAATAATGTCAATGGTCCAAAAATGCTCTTGGTTTTATGCTTTTGGGGGGGGGTATGTTTCTAAATCAGGGGAAGGAACTTCAGGCCCACCAGCTGATCCATTTTTTCCCTGAAACCACACACAGGTGTTAGTCAGGTGATGTCACTCCAATGAGCGGGTGATGTTAGCTGTGATGGGTGGGGCAAGCAGATCCCTGCAGAAAGCAGGCTTGAGCCACCTGCTCATCAGCTAATAGCTGGTGCTTTTAATCCTACCAGGTTTGGCTGTGTGTGCTAGTTCCCTGCATTCACACAATCAACACCTACAGACAGCAGGAGTGACCTCCATGTACAACAGCTGATGCATGGAGAAGTCAACCCTGCTCACTTTGACCACAGGAGGTTCCAAGTGCCCAACAGCCAGCTAGCTGTGGAGCATTTGGGAACCGCTATGCAATGTGTTTTCACAGGTAGGCAATACATAGTGTAAGTCATAAAGATATGTAGTTGACAAGTGATTTCCCTGCTCACCTGTCAAAGTTAGCCCATGCAGTGTGGAGCCAAAAAGATTCCCCACCCCTGTTCTACATATAAACACAACTGGAACATGCCACATGTTCCCTAAACAGCTTACAAAACATGGCAAAAATATGCATTTCTCATGCCTTGAAATATCTGGCATTTATTTTCTTCTCTCAATTACTGTGTCACTTGTAATATTACCTTAACTTATGTTACTTGAAAGTATGTTGCACTGATTTAGGATTGGAAAGAAATATGCTTTTATGTGTTTTTTCTAACTGCAACTTTGTAATTTATAGAGCCGTAAATAGCATTTTATTCATTATGCCATAATATTTTTAAAAAATATTTTTAAAGTTTCTGTTAAATCTTCCAGCCTAACTAACTCAGGCAGGCTTATAACAAATTTAAAGCTACCTAATTTGTTCAATTTATATTTTCCTTTTGTCTCCACAGGATTGAAAAAACGTACAAGGAAGGCCTTTGGAATACGGAAGAAAGAAAAGGACACTGATTCCACGTAAGTATTATTTATGTTTAAACAAGTACCGGTATTTCTGTATTGCCATATGAAATATATCAAGGCGAAATAGACTATGGAGTATAGCACATCATGTAAAATTAAAAATAAAATATGAATTCTGTGTAAGTATTAATTTATAGAAGAATTTCTATACCACCATATCATAAAATATATCAATGCAGTGTACACTAGAAAACATCATTTAACTGATTAATATGGATAATCAGTTCAGGTGACTGACTCATCAAAAATTAGACAACTGCAAAGGCCTGTCAGCACAAGAAATATTCAAGAGATGCGTGGAAGTCAAAACCAAGGAAACCTGCTGAATCGCAGCTGGGGGAGCGTTTCACACCATGGCTGTGGTGATTCTAAATGCCTGACCTAGTTGAAGCCAATCGGGACTGTGCAGCATGAGGGACAACTAACAGTGTTCCTCTTGATGATCTCGGTGATTGGACTGGAATAAAAAGGCTCAGGTGGTCCTTAGGTTTGTAGAGTGGAAGAGCAAGGGAGCTAATGCTGAATGGTTAACAAGATTACACCATTAACTCATGAAATCTGCATTTTGACATGCACAATGGAAAACCAGCAAAGCAGTATCAAGTAATGCATACTTTAAAATACATAGCAACCTTACACCTGCATGAGTGAGACAGCTGTCTGATATTGTGAGAATGACAGACAATTTTGTGTGTTTCAAGTCATGGACGTTTTATAGGTGGCCTATATTTTGCCCCTTTAAAAAAGTCTTAGTGGCTATGCTTCATTCCTCAGAAACATAGTTCTCTGAAAGCCTAGGAGTAGGCTGAAACTTTCTTGTTCTAATTGCATAGTATATCTATACATGAGCCTTGACAGTAGGCAAAGGACATCTCTTAGAAAGAGAAAACATTCTGACACTTTTTGTCTATGCAGAATTGTCCTGGCTTTTCAGCTATACTTCAGTGTCATGGTGATTGTTCACCAGCTGAGGTTTAGAACATAATGGGATTGGTGAATAGCTTTTGATGTTAAGCTGTTTTGTAACATGCGATGCTTAACCTTTCTGGATGATTGGGGGGGGGTTGAACTATTTCAAGTGTTTTCCTGCCCTCTATTTCTATAGCATTTTTAGGGGGCGGGAGGTACAAATTGAACTATTTCCCCCTGCCCTGAAAACAGAGTGGGAAAGGGGTGTCCTGGCTCCCAGTTGCTCAAGAACTGGAAAGAGGATTCTTTCCAAAAGCTTTAATGTTTAGATTGCTGTATACATATGCAAATCTTCAGCTTAAGCCATAATAGGCAATACACACTATTATTCCTAGGTACAGCTACACAAAAGGTTTGGACAGTTGATCTGACACTAACACACCCCCTTGCTGTCTTTTATATAGGATTGGGACATGCTCAACTTAGTGCAGCAAAAATTTCTGCTCTTCGGCAATCAATCTCTCACTACACCCAGTAGGCAGAATAATCTGTTCCTACCCCTTTAGCTCCTCCTGGAGGACAGGGGAGGTGTCTTTGCCTCCCCCCCCCCCCGAGAGCTGGGTGGGGCTGGCAGAGGCAAGGCTACTCTTCATGTCTGAAAGCACCAGTTTAAGTGGAGCAATAGGCACCGTGAAAGATTCAGGGAAAGGCTCTGGTGGCTGTGGAGAGGAAAGCATGGCTTGTGGATCTTGTTGTGGAAATGGGTGAGGCAAAAGAGCAGGTTGAATTCTCTATCCCACTTGAGCCCTTTCCTGGGTCCTTGGCAAACCATCCATCTGTATTGTTCTGACTCAGCCAGCCCATGATGGGGGGGGGGGAGAGAGAGAGAGATTGGCCATACTGTCTTTGTCCCTGTGATTATTGCAGGTCAGTTTGTCAGTTTCTTGGGTGGTTTGGGGATTTGTTTATGCCAAATTCTTTTAGTGACCTGGGTGAAAGTGAACAACAACGTTAGTTCCCAATAACCTATTTACAATCTGCCCCAAGTGTAGGGAGAAACAGTTGTTGCTTCACCTTTAAAGGTGTGTGCCTCTACTGCAGCCCTAGCCTGTGAATGGGTTGCTTAGCAACAGGTAAAGGAGGTTGCTGCAACTACAGATTCATTTAAGCTGACAGAGAATCCACCTTCAGTGCCTGAAGTTGATCAATGCTACAGCTCCATTTCTGGAACATGTGATATAATAAGGATAATGGTTCTCCTGAACAAGGGACAGATTCCTCACCACTAACTAAAACTAGCCTTTGTCCCATCTGAGATTAGAATCTTTGACTTTCTCAGCAAGTTTGAGTTCTGGCACTTCTCTGATTAAACATATGCCTTATTTACCTAAAAAATGTAATGCATGTGCACAACAAACCCTTTGCAAGCATGGATGATACCCAATGTTCGTCATTCTCAAACTAGACCCACTGAAAACCAACAGGCCTAAGAAACTTGTCCATTGATTTTCAGTGGGCCTAAACCTGAGAATGATGAACATTGGATATCACTTTATAAGTTCAACTCCACCGCTGTATGTCTATGCAGTAGCAAATTATTGTTTGCTGCCATTTAATAGTGATCATGGCAAAAAATACAGGGCAAATTGATTATTTTTTTATTTATGACATTTTGAAAATTAAATGTTTGGATTTGTATTCTTCTAAGCAGGGTTAACTTGAGCAACAATCCCTAAAACGTAAGAGACAATTATTTATATTTCCACTATAAGACTATTAGTGGAATGTTTGTTGTTCATATGAAACATTAGGTGAAAGGGGAGCAGGACCAACTGAACAAAGAACATCAAGAAGGGAGCAGGCAGAATTGTGTGTTTTAAATTATTACTCACTGATGTGTCTGTCTAACAACAAAGCTTATACCAGCTCATACCTAAGAACCGCCCCTCCCCTGCAAGCTTCAGTGTTGATAGCGTGCAACAATGGCAAAGAGACAACAAAAACTGTTTTAAATATTTTTCTATTTTTCTCTAGAGGCAATTGTTGAGATAACAACTAACCTTCTACATTGCATCAAGCTGAATGCCCGACATAATCTTTAATAATTTAAGTTTCCCTTTTTATGGGCACTCTGGGAGCACTAATGGTATAGCTTTATAGTATCATAAAGTGGAAGTGTGTAATTATAATGGGCTGGTCGAAAATACAATTTTGAAACACGTAATTTAGCAGAGACATTAACTGCTGAAGACCCTTGTGCTGTTTTCCTGTTCAGGCATTATGGGTTTTTCTTTATGTTTCAATATGGATCTCCAACTATGCAGACTTACAGAAGTGAAATGAGCCTTTTCTAAACCTCTGTTGTTAAGAAACTGTAGGGGTCTTGTGTTGTCAGTACTACTACTCTTCATATATGTCACACAATCTTCATTGTGTTCAGCCTGACAAATAGCCTTCTGCCGGCAAGCTGTTATTTATTTCATAGATAGAAATTTGAGGAAAAGGGAGAAGCATTCTTTGGGTTGCATCTTAAGAGTATGTAGAGAGGGTTTGGTGTTGTTTATACCAGCCCCTATGCCTTATGTACCTGACCCTGGCTCCTCCATTTCTGACTTTTGTAAGTTTACTGCGAAGATCAGAAGGGAGGTTATAAACACATTCAGCAGAACATGCGCCTAATCTAACCCAGAACAGAAACTCTGAAGGTCAGAAGTGGAGCTGACAAGGACAGGGTTCCATGTTCAATGAGAGAAGATTCATTATTTATTAAAGTATTTTTACTCTACTCTTCAGTCGACCAGGCTTCCAGAGATAAATTAAAACCAGTGATAAAACATTTAAAAAGTAAAAATTATGCATGTGGTCTTTAAGAGAGCTGTTCAAGAAAAGTGACCATATAATAGCAGTTTGCTTCATATCATCATCATCACCACCATCACCACAAGGCAGTTTCTTGAGGTGATCTCTGAGAGGGGGAGAAAGGGCCTAGAACAGCTGGTGAGGCAGCAGGTAGACATGGCTGTGGTGGTAGTTTGCCTCACTGGCTGCCTCTTCTTCTGTTCAAAGTCAACTAATCTATGTCGATTTGATTAAAAAACAGTCCCACATTGTGTCTCAACTCAAGTCGCCTTCATGTGTGAATTGCATAACTGAGCATGATAGGATGAATGGAGCAGTGGCACTGCCTCACTGCCTCAACCCTGAGGTCATGCAGCTCCTTCGCCCTTTCAGTATGTTAGGTGTGGACATATTTCCATATGTTATGGGACCCCAGTCACATAGGGTTTCGGAACACGTGGGAGGTTTGTGCATGAAGATGTCTAGAGGGACTGAGGCACAGAAGGCTTGAAGAGCAGCATAGCTTCAAGGTGGAGGATAGTGGCATGGCCCTACAGCACTTTCTATGCCCCTTTTATATGATTCATGTGTGAAAGAGTCAATATTGGCTGATTGGTTTGCAGTGCAGAACTCCAACCTTTAAAAATAATGAGGAGAAAGTATTTCCAAAAATTTAATGCAGGAGGTTTGATGTTTTATAGTCATGGTACATATTTTTACTTTCTTACAGAGGATCACCAGACAGGGATGGAACTGTAAGTATTTAAAGGAAATTATATATTGAATTAGTCTTAACTTTAAATTAGATGTGTCTAATGGAAAATGCTTCCCCCATCCTGTGAATCGTCATAAGCAATTTTGAACCCTTTGCCCTATTTCTATTTTAATATAGTTAATAATATTAAAATGATCAATGTTGATACACTGTCTGATGTGCATTGGCTTATATCCAGTGTCTAAGGCCCTTCTCTCAAAACTTTTTTGGTCAAAGGATTATCAAGTGAGATAAATTTTCTAATAATAGTCATAAATACAATGAATAAAGACAAAAAATTACATGAAAGATGAAGAAACATTTAATACCTGCAAATATTTTAAATTGGTTAAAAATAACAATTCAGGAAGCCTTCCTGTAGAGAATAGAAATAGGAGAAGGGTTGCTGTTGAGTTACTGTTGCTTTTATTTATGGTTTTAGGTTTTCTGTCTCTGCTAGAACTGGACTTTAGAAGGAAATGTACCACATCAGCTATTAGGCTTTAAGTTTGCAATGAAGAATGTTGGGCTCAGATATGGATTTTACTTCACTTTTTATTGATTCCTGACTTTAAAACTCCCATTTAAATTTATCTTGTGAAGACTTTAAGGAAAATTGGAGCATTTGTTAGTCTTCACCAGATTTTCAGCAGTGGAATGGAAACACTACCAGCCATAAACAATGTCATTTCTCTCCTAAAATTAAAGGAATTGGAGTAGTAAGGGCCTTTCCAGATGATCATTATTTTGCATAATAAATGAGCTGTTGTTTCATTGGTCTTGATTCAGATGTCTTCCTTAAAGAAAATGCATCTGTGTCTGGAATAGCGCATTGTCCAAGCATGTACTATGTCAGTGGGGAAATTGGGTTCTTCCCTACTTAGCATGTCCCTTGCTATTTCGCGAGTGCTTTGCAAGGATGCATTGCATGAGTGCCACGACCACAGATAGAGAGCCATTAGTGATGAGTGCTGACTTCCCTGCCTGTGATCATGTTTCTTCATATTTCTGGTGTTTATTGTGCTGTATCTTCACAAACAGTGGCAAAACAAACGAAGGCTGCTTTTTCTTTTCTTCCTCCTGCAGCAATGCTCTATTGCAAATCCCCTTTTCCATTTATTTACGTAGTTCTTAGAAGGCTATGCCATTCCTTCTCCAATACAGGACTGGACATGTCCTGTAGGTTTTTATTTTTATTTTTTAAGGGCTGAGCATCTGTCCCCTATACAGCAGAAATGTATAGGGGGGGAAGAATGGGGGTGAGAGAACTATACAACTTTAAATGGGGTGAAATATCATACTAGTGGTGCTGGATAGAGGCTAGCCCAATCGTATCTTGATAAATAACTTCAAGGGGTTGGTGGGGCTTTGTCTTCTGGAAAGGCCCTACTAATTTTTTCTTTCTTTCAACTTCTGTCTATTTAAATTTCTGACCCAAGATCCTTAATCCTAAACATATTTACTTGCAAGTAAATATTAATGATTTCAGAAGAACTGAACATCCAAGTAGATGTGCTTAGGGTCACAGCTGTAGATTGAAAAAAGCCTGCATCCACACATCCTTCTGCATCCCCATTGTGTTTTGTCAAGCGCTTTTAGCTTAAAGATTCAAAAAGCAGACCACATTTGGAACTCTATACCGTTTTTAATGGTTCAGCCAAGGCTCTGTTCAGCAGAAGAAAAACAACGCTGTTCACTTTCCCGACTTGCACGTTGATTCAACCCGCAGTCCCCGTCTGTGTTGCACACTTAAAGAAGTAACTGGTGCACTGCCCCTTCAGGCACTTCACATACCCGAGATCATGTAGAGAGTCCCCACATGCCCCCCTGTTGTCTTGAAGGAGAGAAGTCTTCCTAATGCCCCCATGAGCTGGAATTCCTGAGCATGCAGGGTTCCAGCTCATAGAAACAGCCTGCACACATTCAGCAGTCTTTCTCCTTCATTCCTGTCCCCAACAGATCAACAATGTGGGACTGGAAGAGGGATGATATGATATGGAGGGAAATACTTGGTGTAAAAAGGGAGGAAGGGAACACAGAAACCCCGTGCAAGAAACAATCTCCTCACTTGTTCACCACCACCCAGTTAAATTTAGCACCGAAGTGATGAACGAAAGGCAGAAGAGGAGACTTTTTTTTGCAGATATGGGCCATATTTGCACTATACATTTAAAGCAGTATCATACCACTTTAAACGGTCAAGAATCCTGTGAACTGTGGTTTGGAAAGGGTGCTGAGTTGTTAGTAGAATCCTATTCCCCTCACAGAACTACAGTTCCCAGGGAGGCATTCAGTGTAGTGCTATGGCTATCATTCCAGCTTGCCAGATGGCACAACCCCCCTCTCCCCAGCTCTGTATGCTATTCTAGGGGTTCTCCTGACACACACGCCTGAGCCTGTTTGGAGACACTCAGGAGGAGAAGAGGAAATCCCCATTGCACTAGTGGGAGTCCTTGTGTGGGCTTCCATTAGCAGGACTAGTTAGTTGAATCCTGCCTGTAAAGTGGCTTAACTCCCTCTTCCCATAGAACTCTGGGACTGTAGCTCTCTGAGGGATGCTGGGGTCTCCTAGTAACTCCTAGTAACTCTCATCCTCTGTGAGGCAAGCTGAGCTGCTGAGCAACTTTTTTTCCTTGGTGTTGACCACGAATGATAAAGGGCTCTCTCTGTCCATGCTGGTTCATGCACTGTCACCACCTCGGTGTGTTCATTGTGACACACTAGTGCTTTCCCAAGATTTTTCATTTAAGGCCTTCACTTCTACGTTTGTTGATGATGTTCCTCATGTAGCATTTTGCTTTTCGGAGGCTATGAGAACAATGCTAACTTCATTTCTCATTTAGTACCAAAAAATTACATTCTCTTTAAAATTGTACACAATCCCTTCTCACGTTAAGATTAAGAGAAGGTGCTTACTTTGTGAAACATGAACCTGAAGAATTTATTGTGCTGTATTTAGTATAATGTAGCCTTATTTTTATGCTGACTTTGGAATTATGCGCTTGCAATTTTTAATCAGACTAATAAAGAAGAAGAAGCTAAATGACCAGAATTTTAAAGTATGCTTGAAAACTGTTCATGTTATTGGCCTGTTTTTTAATTACTTTGTAGACTAGAGGTCATAAAAGACTGTAGGTGATGATCAATAGGAAAAGAGCTGGCACTTAGAGAACGATCATATTCCGTAGAACTCTTCAAGACTTACTTAATACCAAAACGCTGCTAACCTTTTTCTTGCACAAAACCAGGATGAAAACACTCACTGAGTCACTTCTTGTAGGTATGTGTTCAGTTACAAAAGAAATGCTGAGTTATATTACAAGACTCTAAGGGCCCACTGCAATGGCTGCCACATTAAATAAAGCATGTTCTGCAGAATTGTATGAGGACATAGTTCTGAAATGCATGAAAATTTTATGTCTTGTAAACATCTTACTCAAAGGAAATAAGGGGAAAACATTTAGTATTAGAGATAATTGTCCATGCCACTCAGTTATAAGAGAACCAGTTTCTGCTGAATAGAGACCTATCATATGTTCCAAAATAGTCTGCTGACAGCAGCATTTACATTTGGCAAGTAATGCCTTTGAAAAGTGCATTCTGAGCTTGCTTACTCCATGTAGATTCATGTGTTTAAAAAAACCAAACCACCCAATACTTTAACCCTTTTTCTATAAAAAAACAAAATCCATTCCAGCCACCCAGCCCTCATCCTCATGATCCACCCTCCAATAACAAAGCAGAGTGTGCACAGGAAGGAGGAAAATCAGTTTCGGTAAGGACATGAATATTGGTTTAAAGCTTCCCGGGGGTTGGTTGGAACAATGTGTAAGCCTGGCCAAAAAAAGTTTGCATGTACAAATGTATGTTTGGCATTGTTTATGCATCACTTACTTCAATGTATTTTTTTACTCCAGGTGCTCTGCATAGGATGCCCAACCACATATGTTTTTGCCCCTGTGATTCTGATGTGTTTCTGTGTGTCCATAGATGTCTAATTATGTTTAGGTACTCACAATGGTTTCCTAATATTCAGTAGTATTTGGATCATTTGTGATGGATACAGGTAACTAGAAATAGAAATGGATTACCTCGTGTGCCAGGCTCACCTTGAAAACTACATTCATAAGATAAATAATACAGGACTGCGTTCATAATATGCATTAGGAAGTAGATAATTTCATGGATAATTTCACACGTATCATGCAAAAATGGAATATTTTATAGGACATTCCTTGAATGTTGAAGGTAACAGCTGGTTGAAATGAAATATTTGATTGATATCTGAACAACTATATGATTATTTTGTAGCTTTCCTCCTCCTCATTAGTCTACTATGTATTGTATACTTCTCCAGGTTTTGTAAATGGCTCAAGACTATGGGAAGAATTCAGCATTGCTCTAAGGAGTTGATTCCATCACTACAAGCATTTCACCCTCTTCTCTCCCCACACCCCTGTACACTGTTTTGAGGGGTTCCCTGGTGCCCCCCAGCCAATTTGGGATTGCACGGAGAGGGAGGAGTGGGATCATGGAAGACCTTCTGCTCATTTCCACTAGCAGGACTCATTAGTTGAATCTGGCCCACTATTTGATCACCTGACCGCTTTGGTTTCGAAGGCTTCAGAAATGAAGTACAGCATATTAAAGTAATTGTAACATAGGAGGCTGCCATATACCAGATCATATTATTAATTTCCATTTAATCCAGTATTGTATAATCTGACTAGTAGCTGCTGTCCAGGTTCTCAGGTCTTGCTACTTGACCAATGCCAGAGGTTGAACCTGAGACCTTCTGCATGCAAATCACATGCTTTCCCACCAAGTTGTAGCTCTATCCTCATTTGTCTTGCCCATAAGCCGTAATATCTTGCAGCATGGTGGTCTTTCCTTGCAATTCCTGCTCCTGGCTTATCAGGTTTGAAAAATTCAAGAGTTCAAACACTGGAAATTACTTTCTCAAAGAAGATTGAGAGGCTGGCATTCTCTTTCTAGAGATTGATTAGCAGGGAGCCAGAACCCACTCTAGTTAAGAGACCATCCCAAATTGAAAACTCATGACTTTGTCATATCTTCTAAGAAACTAGTGCATGTTGCTGTTCTCCCCTTTTTAATATAAAACTTATCATTTTTAACTGTGTATTACAGAAGAGAACCAATGGTGCTCCAAATGGGTTTTATTCAGAGATTGACTGGGAAAGATATGTAAGTAAGAGTAATCACCTGGCATTCATACCTTCCCAAGAACATTTCTTATTACAAGAATTTTCTGAGAACTTGCCTCTCTGTTTTGTGTGTGTGTGTTCACTGTGTTTCTTGATTACTTCTTTCACACTTTAGTACATCTCATAATCACAGCACAAAGCGGATAACAATATTTGAATATTCAGGATTTCACTGACATGTCCAGCTGCCCAGCTATCCAATTGGGATCTTAAATTTGGCCCACGTAGAAATATATTTTTCTCACAGTTTATTTATGACCTTCAAACTGCTGAGCAAGTGAGAGTTCACCTTCCTTCTAAGCCCACCAGCACATGCATAGAATTTAGAAGAGAGGTAGAGTCTTTCCTCACTTGTGCATAGCTTTAGATTGCCAGGAAACATTCTCACTATCTTATTCAAACTAGGCAGGCATGAAACATCAGTTTTATTACACACACACCCGTCACCTGCGCCTGTCAGAAGGCTAAAGGAAGATGTGGCGCCTTTTCTTCCACAGCAGTTTGGAGAAGGTTAGAAATACCAGTCGTTCTCTTGCTGTTTCTTACCTTCTTCAAACTTGTATTCAAGTGATCTAAGACTCTGCCTCTGACAAACAGATGGAACATGAAACACTACAGAGTTTCCCCTCCATAGTTATGTAGTTTGGACAAAAGAGAAAACTACAGCTTCTTTCTTTTTCTAGATTACCATGCAGATTGCCATCAAATTTGGAGCAAAATTGAGAGTTGTATCACACCTGTTTCAGGTTTCAGTCTCTGCTGGTTTGGGGAATTGCAACTAGAGCTAGACAAGGATATGATATTGGAGTAATTTGAATGAATTAAACCAGCAACAATTTGAATTATTTAATGAAAATAGTGCATTCATATAGATGTGGATGTGAGTTTACTTTACTCTGGAACAGAGATACATAAAAAAACCCTCAAAGGTTTTTGCTTCCTTTTTGTACTCATACAAGCTTGAGGGCTTTTGCACATACTAAACATAAAAATGTTTGCCAGCCATTGTCTGAACTGCAGTGTCTTTCAATATACCTACTTGAAATCAGCAGAAATACGGTCTCCATGATTTTAACCAGGCGGATGTAAAGATGTTTCATCTCTGAAAACACCATGCGTGGGGCAGAAAGCAAACCTGCTTCTGAAAGGCCCTTGGGGCATGAGGATAATAATAATAATAATAATAATAATAATAATAATAATAATAATTTATTATTTATACCCCGCCCATCTGGCTGGGTTTCCCCAGCCACTGTTTGGTTTTGGTTTTTGTCCTGCAACAACCATTCTTGAAGTTCTAGGTCAGGCTTCCTCAACCGCGGCCCTCCAGATGTTTTGAGACTACAATTCCCATCATCCCTGACCACTGGTCCTGCTAGCTAGGGATCATGGGAGTTATAGGCCAAAAACATCTGGAGGGCCGAGGTTGAGGAAACCTGCTCTAGGTTTTACAGCCCCAGAACATGGTCGTTAGCAGTGCTGTCAGAACGCAAGATCTTGGGCTGCAAAAAGCAGTCAGCCCCACACAGCCTTGTGGAAAGGGGGACTAGCCTGGGGGGGGAGTGGAGGGTGAGCAGAACAGACCACTTTGGTTCTCCTTGCAGTCATTTGAGAAGGAGTGTTTGCATATTTGAGCACCCTTGCTTCAAAGGGATGCCCTAGCCCTACTTTGGAATATCTTCTAATTTTTATGGGGTTAATTAGATTGTGCAAAATTGCCTTGGAAGAATGGGAAAGAGCCAATAAAATGTTAAAGACCAATTATGCTAATAAGGTGGGCACCATTTCAGACAGATTTCGTGCTTTTAGTATGGAAGGTGTCCAAGTTAATTAGAAGAAATTAAAATTTCTTTTGGAATAGTTTTTGCTTGCTTTAGCTGACAAGAATTTAAAAGTTCAAGTGTGTTCCTGTTTACAATGATCACCTTTAAAATCACACAACTTGATCTGGTAATATAACAAAATTACTGTAGTCCCTAACTGTGTGTTTGTGTGTGTTTGTGTGAAGTTCTTTCTCTTCACTTTGTATGCCAAGTATATATAATATATATATGCATTATAAGTAAAATGATCAAAATATTACTATTATTTTTAGTACAGTTACTATGCCCAGTTTGAGGAGACTGGGTGTTTGGGTTGAAGTATTATTTGGCATGATTAATATCTATAAATAGAGTGGTATATTTTTTTTTAACACGTGTCATGCATTCTTTCCAGACATTGTTTTTTGGAAAATGCTTCAATAAATGAGATTTGATACAGAGACAGTATAGTTCAAATAAACTGCTCTTTCTGGTACTACCTTTTTGGCTTTATCAACCAGCTGTGTCTCACTGTAACTGCATTCTCTTGTCATGGTCAGATCCCCTCCTGTTGAGATTTAGATTGTCAATTACTTTTCTCTTCTGCAGAGACGGGGGCCTATTAGAATGGTCTGCCGTCGAAGACTGATGGAACCAATTGGCTTCCAGGAGACTCTGGGGTATTTTTTCTGCTGAGAGGTTGAGGTCCTGGTCTATCTTTGCAATTTAGGATTTGCCCTATGTTCACCCCTAAGGGCTTTGCCTGAGCCCAAGTAGTACCATGGTATACCCTGGAGTTGAGAGCAAGAAAGCAGGTTAGAATATGATTATAATGCAAGTAGAAGAAGAATTGGAATGAATGCAGTTGAAAGCAAGTGTGTGCTCATTGTAAAGCCTATTTTGTGCTGGTGAAGGCAGTAAAAAATTACTTCTCTGCCTCCATCATCCTTGGTGTCTCATCCAGCAGAGCTTTATAGGATGCTTTTACATATTGGCCTGAAGGATATGCTGGAACTCTCAATGCCCTGCTGTGAATTATTTGTAAGGCATGTTGAGGATATGATTGCTTGTATCCATAGAGACCTAGATTTCACTATTATAGCAGGCCAGTTTCTAAGAGTATCCAGAACACTATTTTGTCAGATGTTCATGGATGAGTTTCAATTAATAAGGCTTGAGAATGTGGATGATGTGCTTGGAAAGGTGTAGGTGTTCTTTCCCCCTTACATGTTATGACTGATAACATCCAGTAGGGAGGGGATGGCCAACTAGCCCAAGAAGATAATTAATGCCTCTCTGAGAGAGGGAGTAGTCCCACGAAAGAGCCAGCAACAAGACTACTCATTAATAAAATTCATTAGACCCAAAAGTTATGTATAACTATAGACTGGTTGCAAATGTCCCTTTGCTGAGCCCGGTTCTTGAGTCGGTGGGCACCAGCCAGCTCCAGGCACTCTTGGGTGAAGCTGATTTTCTAGATCTACTTCATTCTGTGTTTAGGCCTGGTTTAAGCACTGAGGCCATCTTGTATTATACCTTGTGTCAGCAGAGAGATGGGGGAATGTGTCCCCGTTGATTGTCCTTGATCGCTTGACAACTTTCCATACGATGGTCCATGATGTTTTTCTTGGGAGCACCAGTGATAGGATGCTTGTATTCTGATTATGTTTTTATATGATTATGCATTTTATTACTGTATTTTAATTGTAAATCACTCTGGAGCTTTTTGAAGAAGGAAGCAACTTGGGAATTTTGTAAACCATCAGAAAAGAAGCATCTGGTTCTGTTATGAATGTTGTCATGGCCATGTAAACCAAGGTGGAGGCTAGATTTTATTTTATTAAATGAGAGCCAACTTGATCTCTGATACAGGGACATCACTTTTAAAGAGTAGTAACCAGAAGGCAAAGGTGCAAAAAGAAAATTCTATCAGGCACTGGAAATGAGCCCTTCTTTAGCAAGAGGCCTCATGCAAATGTTTGCATACATAATGCTTTGATGTCTTCCATATTTCCAAGCCACCATTTTCTTATATTGGACATATTCCTTATCTATTTAATATTTTCACCCCACGTTCCCCCTACTGCACAGAGATCAGAGCAGTTAGCACAACTGTTTGACTGCCTGGCTGAGAAAACAGGTTCCTGGGTAGACTCTTCATTCTTAGTTAAGCGTAGAGAGCATTGCACATACCAATATTTTATTGAACAAGTGCTTCTTATTAATATGAAATTGGTGGTAGAGAGGGGAAAGAAAGAGTGATTACTTAATGTTTTGCAAGTACTCTAATTGCTTCACTGTGTTTGCTGCACCAGAATTCACCTGAGCTTGATGAAGAAGGCTACAGCATCAGACCAGACGAACCAGGCTATATCCTTCATGGTCAGTTTTACAACTGAGTTTGCAAACTCTGAAACAAGTGTGGGTTCAAGTGTGGCCACCTGCTGCCGTCCTCCCTACCACTGGATGCCCCTGAAACATCAGTATCTCAAGTTTATTTTATTTTATATATTTATCAAATGTATATCCCGCCCCTCCTCCCAAAGGAGCCTAAAATGTTCAAGAGGCTTTATGAATGAGAAGATAGTGGCCATAAGTAAAATTTAATTTTAAGCAATCATTATAAAAAGAAAAAAGGAGCCAACACTCATGCCTGGTGTTGGAGGCAGTGATGGTCTGGGTGGGGACCAAGAAACTGAAATTGATCCTGATGGAGGTATTCTCTGGAATTTGTAAATCTGTTTTTATCATTGTTGGCCCATGCCAATCAGTTCCAAAAGTTATATTTTGTGATTCAACAACATTTCTCTTTAACTGTGATCTACCTACCAAAGGAAAGCACTTTTATTCCTCAAGTGAATCTGAAGAGGAAGAGGAGGCACACAAGAAATTCAACATTAAGATTAAGCCCTTGCAGTCTAAAGATGTTCTTAAGAGTGCGGCAACCGTTGATGAACTGAAAGCCTCTATAGGCAACATTGCACTTTCGCCATCTCTAGTGGTAAGCAAAACTCTTTTTTTAATATGGTGATTGATTAGATTTTCAAAAGTTAATTTTGCTTAGCTTTCTTGTTATATTTGTTCCTTGTATTAGCATTTTTATTATAACAAATCTTGGTTTTATCACACAATGGCAAGGCTTTTCAGAAACTATTTTTGGTTCAGGATGTGTTGAAAAGTGTGTTCTGCATGTTGACAGGTTGCTTTTTTAAGTATATTGCTGAACTGCACTAGCAACTTTCTGCGCATGCCAAGTACATTTCAGTAAGCCTAATGTTTCTCATATCAGTGAATGGCACAGCTATTTTGATCCATGCCAAAAGAAAAAACATTTGCAGCACTTTAACAAAAAATAATACGTTACTAATTATAGATGACTTTACTTGTTAAAAATAGGGTCACATTTTTGTAGGTACACTTTAATTATAATGCCCACAAGCCAGATAGCCATATATTGATTCTGTGAGCTCAGGAGATGTCCTTGATATTTTTTTAGGAGAAGTAGACCCCCTCCTATGCTTTATGCTGAACCACCCTTTGAGACTTGAAAGCCAATCCATTATGTATGCTTAAAGGTGTAAAGCTGTAATTTGGCAATGTAAGATTCCATGTAAAGTCAGAATCTAATTTATTGGAAATAGTCTGGATTGTTATGTCATAAGGGGCAGCAGAGAATGAGTGAAGATGCTATTGTTTTGCCCCTTGGAGAAGGAGAAGACATGGCAAGTAGTTCTGTGATACGATCTGGAGGATTCCTCCACCCCCAACGGAATACAAGGCTGCAATTTGAAAGGAAATACTGGCACAGAGGGAGAGGTACTTCTTTAGCACTTTCCCCTCATACTATTTCCATTTGAAAATTTTGCACACAAGCAGGACTTGCACTCCTGTAACACTTTCCAGGGAGAAAGCCCCACTGAACACAGGGAGACCTCATTAAGCATGCATAGGATTACCCTGTAAAATGTTTTAAATGTATGAGTGAAGATATGAAGTGTGGACACAACAAAAGTGTTTGTCATAAAGAGAACAGAGCTGGGTAAGCTACTAGTCCTTGTGTATCCAATGACAGCAAGTAAGAAAAAATGTGTTTTAAATAATTTATTGACGTGAAATAAAAAAGAGTTTGCCAGCCATGAGAGAGAGCTTGGAGATAAAGGCTTTGGAGGACCTTCTCCCTTGTGGAAATTACTTGTGCAGTATCCATTTCCCACTGGAGATTCCAGAACTCATAGGAAAGCAAAGGAGCAGGGATGGAGACTGAACCCCTTTCAGGGCAAGCAGCAATTTGTATATTTCAGTGTGGGCTCTATCTCTTTAAAGTCTCATCTGACTTGTCTTTGTTAGCATGCAGTGTCTTGAAGCTTTGCAAAAAAATCTTACTCACCCCCTATAACTGTTCAGATTTGGAGGGTGGGAGTTGTAGGCTCCCTTGTTAAGGAGGTTAGGCAACAATGCCTTTTAAAAATTGTGTTATGTGTGGGGCCATAGTAGTGCTTGTGAGTTTTGAGGACTGTGGAATAAAAAAATGTGTAAGTAAAATCTCAGAAGTCACTGTTTTGTGTGCTTGTACATATGCTTGTACCATATTCTTTCTCTAAAATTTTACTCTAAATCCAAAGTAGCCCATGTGTTGTTGCACTATGATTCCCATCAGCCCCATAGCCAATGGTCAGGAATGATGGGAGCTCTATTCTAACAACATCTAGAGGATGTCAGATTAGCTACCTCTGCTTCTATCATCTGGAAATTTTAATGTAAAGTGAGGACAAGCATATATGACAGCTGAATCAAATCTATATAATTTTGTTCAATTTAGAGAGCATTTTGGGGGGGGGGGAGGGAAGAGGATGGATTATCTTTCCCTGCTAAAACAGGTTTTCTTATTTTGATAAATGATTTTGCATTGAGGGCCAGGGGCCTGGCATTGTTGAGTAAAACAGACTTATCACATACACAAACTGATAAATACATTGCAATACTTCCTCTCAAAGCTTTTGTATAACCTGGTCACTGGAGGTGCTGCTGAACACACAGCACCTGCGGAAGGCTGAATTTTGTAGCTTGCTAGGGGAAACCCACTTAGGTTGAGAGTGCTGCAAGGATCAACTTATTTTTGGAAAATGGGATGCTGCTTTAGTGACAAGAAATGCTAGAGATAATACTCTTGGATCACTTCTAAATCCTTAGTTTTGTTTTCCATCCAGTCTACCATTGTTCTAAAAATCAAGGGTAGACTGCTGTCAGAGGGGTGCACAAACAAAACGTAAATGTAAGACTTACTTACATGCTACTAATTCATACCTACATTGCAAATATCCCATTTTCCCCCTTGCAAGGAACCCAGGGTTTTATAGTTATGTGAGGTGAACAGTGCTTCAGGACTTTTCAGTACCCTCACAGAAGTACTATTCCTGACATTCTTGGGAGAAAGCCATGACAGAATATATCCTGGCAACGAAAAACTATAGAACGCCCCTAACTGATCCCTCGTCACAGCTAATACTAACTTATATCTATAATTAATTGCTGTTCTAAGTAATAGTGTTCTGTGGGTACATAACTGCTTAAAAGCTTTTCAGTTTACAATAGAACAAAATGAATTATCATTAGCTGTTTTTAAATTGTAATCAAATAAAGTTTTCCAATGTTGATTGACTTTTAGCAATTGCATTTTCATCTGATACTTAAGTTTTAATAATATGGAACTAGCTATATAATAGGAAGTAGGTGTCAATGTCAACTTTTGTTTGTTTATTTGTTGATCTCTACCCTGTAAACCAAAGCAAAAGAACCCTGAAGTTGTACTAAATTAAACCTCATAACGTGTTTTAGCAGTACTGCTGGGATCACATTTATGTTGTTTTTAAATTTGCTGTTGCATTCTGTTTTTTGCTTATGTGCTGTGGCGGTTGGTCTTTATTCTAGCAAGTGAGCTTTGCAGTCATTATGCAGTCACCAGGCTGTTGCAGCTGGGCTTGGAGGCAAGACAACAGTGCATTATATTGTTGTATATGGAAGCCAGGTTCAAGAGTTGATTTGTGACACTCATTTCCTGGGCTGTGGAAGATGTGGGAACAGTAAATCAGAATGATGGCTTTGTTGCGCTGCAGAAAATGCAGCTTCCTGATCTACTGATGTTGTACGTCTTAAGGAAGCTTGGCATGTAAAGCGGTAATGCTCTTTATGGAGAGCAGGATGCTAATAAGAATAACTGAACTAAATTGCTCTATAACTACACTCTTTTAATAAGGACAGAATATATACCAAGCAAATTGCATTGCTTTACATTCTTTTCTAAGACAGCAGCACTTCATGCTGTTATATTTAAAAGCAGTAAATTAAGTAAGATATTTTGGGTGTTTAATTCAAAAGACTGTGCTCTGATCAATAGAAGTGATGCCTTGTTTTCTAACACGACACTTGGTTCACAATAGTTGGATTCCATCTAGTGTGTGAAAGCATTGTATATTTGTTTTCCACATCCTAATATTGGCTAAAGGGTAAATGCCAGCACCCTCATAAAATCTTTATATTTCATCCATAAGGCACCTAGGGTGGTATATAGAGGACATGGCTGACTACTCTGCTCCTTTAAGCTTTTATAAGAGGCAGAGGACTGTGTGCTTGAGGATTTCCATTAGCTAAGAAGAGATGAGGTAGGAGCAAAGACGATGGTGGGGGGCAGTTACTTTAGTTACTCAATTATTGTTTCTGCTGTACCTGATAAGCATGAAGGTGGTCAAGAAACCAACAGGATAGGCGATTGCAGCTTCATTTTTAACTTTTATTGTCAATGGGTCTTTCTTTAAATTTCAAAACACTAACAAAAGTCAAGCAGGGTGGAAACTCCAGATATGATTGGCAATTCTTTCAAAAATTACATTTATTTATTATCGTGTCTATAGGGCTCCAAGGAGCTCTGGCATACATTTTCCAGGCCTGCAGGACCTGCTGTTGCCCTTTTGTGTAGGGTTTCACTGTCCCTCTTCCACCCTCTTTTGGGTTCCTTTCTTCCAATCTGTCCTGTCATCCTGTTCTATAGGCCTAGAATACCTTCTGTTTGACATTTTTATTCAGCGAAGCCAAGTTAGCCAGACCTTACATTCATTCCACCTGATTCTCCTTAGCCTAGATCCTCAGAGGTATTCTAACAAGGCAGAACAAGCATGGTGGGGGCAGCATCATAGCAGACTCTACCCCAACTTTCACAAGTTCATTTAGAGTTACTAAAGTGAGCCTGATGCACATGGCATTTGTGCATGTGTACGGACCTCTTTATATGACCGGGAATCCTTCAAAGGCCGGGTTTCGAATTGTGTAGAGACATCACTAAGCACATACACTTACTTCAGATGTTGAAACATGCTAGAGGTAGAGACTCCCAGCACATAGTTGGTATCCCCCACCCCCAGATAAATTGCATTATTCAGTTATATGTGACAGTAGCACCTATGTTATTTTCCTGTGCCTGCCCCTGTTCGCAGAATAAAGCTAGGGGTGGGATGGTCTTTCCCTGTGACACAGTTAATTTCTCTTGGCACTTTTGTCTGCTCCTGAATCAGCACTGGAGCCAGGAAAGAAGAAAAGTGGATGGAGTAGTGAGGCACAAGACAAGCAGCAGGGAGGGTTCACATTCACCGATAGGACTTTTTCTCTTCTTTTTTAGTGTGTTTCTTTTTTCTTTTTTTTCTTTTTTTGATATATAGTTACTTCTTCCTCCATGTCAATTAAGCTAATAGACTTAGCAGTGCTTTGCTCTGCCCTGTAACCTGCTTTAGCCAATGGCCATCTGCTCAAACACCGAAGCATAAAACAGGATTGAGGCACTTGGAGGCGAGTAGCATTTGCTGGATATTGCAGTGTCTCAAAATAAATAGAATAAGGAGGACAACCAGGAGTCCAGATAAGAGGCAAATGAGAAGTTGTTATCAGAAATAAACCAAACCTCTTTTGGAATATGAATTGCATATTCTTTAGAGGATCCCATAAGGTGTTAAGTACCTTCAGGGAGTAACCTGCTGTAGAGCTGGAAAGCAGAACCAAATTTTTTTCCTTATATAGGAGGGATTTCTATGCACTTATCAGACTGGCTTTACCTGCCAAGCTTCCAGGTGGTGCTTGGTTGGAGCTCCTAAGAGCCGAAATGGTTCCTGCTTCCTTTGTGGTGGGAGGTGGTAGAAATCCCTTTATTCCTTTAGTTGCTGCCTACAGGTATCCCCTCACCCTTCCTACCAACACATCCTAGGCTTGGCAGTCAGGTTGTGGCTCCAAGAGTGAGGATAGCGATCTGAGTTGGGTAGGTGTGTACCAGAATCTCTTGATGCTGATGGATGACGGGCAGAAGGAGGCTGGGTGTTCCACATGATCTACTGCTTTTGCATCCCTGACCCACAGGGTATGTGGCTGTGTGTGGAACCCATCACAGAACTCTTTCTCATAGAACTTTCTTGCATGCCCATAGCAAGCATGCATGCTTAATGGAGCAGCACATTGGAGGATTGAGGTAGCAAAGATAATACTTCCTGAGGTCTACAGCAGGGGATGGAAGGGCAGGTCCCAGGGTCAGTCTTAGGACAAGAGGAAATAGGAGCTTCAGGGACCACTCTGGTTCCTCCTCTAGAAGCTCCTCCAGAGCTCTTGTACTTCCCACAAGCGTGCAGCCCATGGGTTCCAAAGAGGCACCCCCTCCCCTTGGTGGGGAGGGGCAACCCCCAAAGAAGCAAGCGAACACATTCCCCTCACTGGCTACGATACTGCCACTGCGCAAAGCTAAGCCAGCATGTTCCCATTGACCCTGGCGTTCATTCCTAGCCAGGCCATGCAGGGTCTGAATCCCCAAATACAGGAAGTGGCAGACGGGGAAAGACTTACCCTGCTGGTTCCTTTGGAAGTTTTCCTGGTGCTTTTGGTGAACGCCGCAGAAGCCACCCAGAAGGAAGCAAGAATCGCCTTCCCACAGGGTCCTCCATGGGCGTAGCCAGGATTTATGTTAGCAGGGGCAGGGCGCAGAACCTCAGTGAAGTATTTTTGTTGATTTACTTGATCTTATCAGACTTGGCCACACCCATGGGGTCCTCCTTAGGCATTGCACCTGCCTAAGGCTTTGAAGACAGAGTGGGTAAGCCCAACTAAGGGCAAGCTTGTCCATAGGCTGGCAAACAAGCTGCATTGCCTCCCCAAGAAAGCAGTGGAGCTGTTGTATGTGCCTGTTCATTTATTATGTCAGCTCCTAAACTGGGGAACGCCCAGACGAGGAGGCTTTTCTTATGTGACCTTTTCCCAGGTCAGGATGGTCCAGGTAAAGGAGGTTTTTGAGGAATATTTCTTTCTTTATTCAGCTCCCCAATCACTTCCAGTCTTGTTCTGGGGAGTATGGAAAGGCCATAATTTTGCTCTGCTTTCTGGCTGCAGAGGAGGTGCCCAGCCTCCCAAATAACCTTCAGCATCCTCTGAGAACAGCAGTCCACAGTAAGAATTTGTTTTTTCACGACAAGAACCTGTCTTGTGAATCTTGCTTTATTCCATGCCTTAAGTAGATGGCAAACAAACAGTTTTTGATTGAAACTGAGGCTTGGTGAGAGGTGTCTTCTGTAGTATTTGATGGAGGAACTACTCAGAGCCTTCTGTTGAGTTGTAATAGGTCTCTTATTAGATTACAAAAGGAAGCTCATTATTCTAAATGTATAACCCACAAGTTTTCTACTCATTTAAATAGGGTGGGGGTGATAGTACTAGCCCACTTAGGCAGAAGAGAATGCATGTATCTTCAGTTACTTAGTGGATCACATCTATCATCCCTATTTTCTGGAAATGGTTTATTTTATTATCCTTATTAGCAAAGTAAATCTGATAATGGAAGCCAGGATAATGATTGGCATTTTCCTGACTACTTCTGTTCTCAAGATAGCTACCAGAATGATGTCTCAAGATAACTGCCAGAAGAATGTTGCAGTATTTGGCTGTATACAAAGCACCTGTAACATCACCATCATAATAGTAATATAACATTGAAAGTTTGTTTTCAAGTCAAATAGCTTTTCACAAAAGTAAGAAGCCAAAATTGTTGCAAATGCCTGTTGTGGAGAGAATAAAAACAAGTCCACACTTTTTGGAAGGGTACAGCTTTTAAAGCCCATCAGGATACTCAGTTTACTGCAGTATAATATTTTAATGGAAAATTGATTGTGGGGTTTGAAAATATAGTTTCTCTTTATTTGGTGTACCAGCAATGTGTAACTGGGCATTTACAATGTAAGACTGCAACTGTATGCACTCTTATTTAGGGCGTATGTGTCATTTATCTCAATGGAACATATTTCTGAGTGAGTATGCATAAGCTGGGATCAGACTGTACTTACATTATTGGTTTACACTTCTGTATGAGTATTTACTCTATTTTGTATATGATAACCTTTTAGGCATTTCAGAATTTGTTAGTTTGCTTGTAATCCAATCCTAAGCATACTTTCCTATAAGTAAGTTTCATGGAAATAAATCCCATTTTACTACTGAGCAGACCTGCTTGGACAGGAGACTGGGATATGCCATTTCATGGAGAATGATATTCTATGCATAAATGCTGATGTTTTTAGAAAATGCTTATTCTCCCTCCCTTTTCTCCATTTGTTAATGCATTCTATAGAGGAAAAGTCCGGTAAGAAATTATCTATCCCGTTTTCTTTCTTTGTATCTATCATTTTAATGGATTATTTGCATTAGGAAGTATTCACTTTATTTATCTTTTTTAAAAAACAGTCTATAAAACCAAGAATATAAAATGCAAAATCTTATTATTTACAGGTACTGGTAATTTTCCATTTGGCTTTCTTTATGAGTGGTGGCTAATCCCATTCAATTCATATTGCACATAAATATATGTAATGGTATGAAGCTTTAAACCCTAACAATGCTGGAATAAATGGGGACATTGCAAATTTCCACAAGTAAAGTATGAACCTCTGTAACTCTACTTTTCTTGACTGTTCATAAAATTGTTCAGCCATAGTATTTTGTGACCTATTATCATCATCATTATTATTTACTAAATTTGTATACTACTCTTCAGCTGAAGATCCAGGGCTGGTTTTTGTTTCATTTCACTGCATTAATTTCTCCAAGTTTTTTAGACAACATGAAGACTGCTATACAGTCTGGTTCAACCAGACATCCAGGACTTTGCTATATTGATATGCTAATTTGACCCCTTCCCTAAATTATGGAGACATAAAAGGGGGTTAGCACCTCCACCACTAAATTCATGTGTAAGCTTTTACATCCACAGTAGTTTTCTTTCGCTTTCACTGGGCTTATGACATCTGTACCCATCCTTCCAAGGAATACATGATGTGTACTTATGAGAATTAGACCTATTTGGTTCACTCTGCTTTGTGGTGGAAGTTAGAGCAAAAGCACAATTGCAGCAACAACCTGTACTGGCGTGGAGAGAATAGCATGACAGGCACTTTCATCTTGTTATCTGTAGACTCATCATGACAGAACTATTTCCTGCAATAATGTGCACACTTTCCGCACTTTCTGCAGTTCAACTAGCTACTATATGTGTGTGTAAACAGGCATCCACTCAGCTACCCCTTCCTGATACAACAGTTGCAGCTGAGGGCATGTAGCCCTCTAAACAAAGCTGAAATCTGCTGATAGGCTGTTTGGCAGTAAGAACAGGATTCAGTCCCCTTGGCCAGGAGCTAATCAGTGAATCTTAGCTTTGTTTAAAAGGCTATATATGTGCACGGTCTCAGCTGCTTCATATGATGTTCTGTAGAATTGGATCAGAGCTGGCCCACCCATGAGGAGACTCCCCCATGGGCACCCCACCCACACTAGCAGAGAAGGAGCTGTGGCAGTTTCTGGCTAGATCTCATGTGCTTTGCAAGATCCTGCCAGAGCTTGCCACTGCTTCTCAGGTGCTGCCACACAACCCAGGTAAGGGAGGATTTTGTGGGGTGGCAGGAGGGTGGCATGGCATGACACGTTCCTATTTTGTCTCAGGCAGTGAAGTGGGGCTACTCTGCCCCTGGATCAGATCCATGGTCTGCTTTTGTACAAATATAAAGTAGCCAGGAAAATTGTGTCCTCTTGGTGGGCTGAGACCAAAACTTTGAAAAAGAAATGTTGATGAAATCTGAGGCTAAATTAGTGGCATACTAGATATTTGCAGATTCCTTTCCCCAGCCTTAAATGTCACAGATAAGTAGAAGTGGCAAGCAGTTGCTTACTGGAAAGAATGAAAGGAAAATATGTATTGACAAATTCTTGGCTAGTGTGTATTGGCATTGTTCCACTGAAGTTACTGAAACTGTGTGAGATCATGAGCACAGTAGTATCCAAGCTATAGCCAAAAATAGCCCAACTCTCTCCAGAGAGCACTGCTGCTTCAGTTATATTTATTTATTTTAGAGGTTTACATACCACCAGTAAACAAAGTATCTAAGCGCTGAAGACAACACACCCATAAAAGAGCATAAATGCTATAAATTACTTGGCATTTCCTGGTTAGTTTGATTTGCATTGCAATATGATTCCAAACTGATCCTTGTGCATCTTCAGCTCTGTTGTTTTTATAATCTCATCTAAATCAATAGCCAAGAACATTTTTGAACATTTATGCACTCATGTTCAACAAGTGTCTCACCTATATTCCTTTATTTTGGCAGTCATAAATACATTATTACCAATTTTGGTACGGGGGAACTAAGAAGGATGGCTTGCCTAATCTCTCTTTGCATCCTGTGTACTTTTGTATGCCACAGCATTTCCTGTATTTATAAGAATTAATGTGATCATTCTTCGGAAAACTCGTGACGTGTGTGCCTGTTTGTCTGTATTTCTCTACTAATTTCTTGCTGCAAATAAGCCAACACAGTCGAACTCTAATTTGCCAATTTATTTTTTAACAAGGATTTACTAGAGAGATATGAGAAGGGGACCTTGAGGGCAGATTAAAATTTGCTAGGTTTCTTAACAATCGATGTCTCACCCTTCCATACCTATGGCATGTCTTCCTTTAGTTAGGTTTATGGGGTATCAAGGGGTCAGACTACAAACTAGGACAAGGTAGATCTGTGATTGGATAATCTTTTTTGTCAGCAGCTCTGAGTTGAGGGAGTATTTAACCGTTTCCCCCTGGTCAGTTCCAGAATTTGGAGTGCTATGTGTAGGCTGCCATTCTAGGTTCCATCCTACCAGAGTATCTAAGCTGGGCAGCCCCTTTGGTATTGCTGCAATAGGCCTCAAGGAGCCTCAAAGTTAACCATTTGTTTCCAAAATTTCTGCAGACATCTATATAGCTTACTCATTAAAGGACATCAGATAGGGTCGGGGTCTTCATGAGACAGGGGGAATCTGGGGAAATTGTTTACTTAATTTGTGAAGCTAGAGGAAGAGCTCATCATCCAAAGTCCTTTTTTTATTATTGATCTGTCACTCTCTGACTAGGTACCTTTCTCTCTTCCTTTTTGCTGATAACAGAGGCGCAGCCCGGTAAGACGTTGCATGACTTTTCGCGTTAAATCAGTAGCAGGAGTGACTGGGAGTGTTTGTCATCTGGGTTTAATTTAAATTAGTTTTGTGAACTGCAAGTACAGCAAATTGATCTAACTTAAAAGTAATTGGGTGAAAATTACTGTTCTTTCAGGGGTGTGTGGCTATCTGTAGCAGCCTTTTTCTATTATAGAAATACTGAATGGAACCATACTGGCACTGCTACAGATTCCACATAATACCTGTTCCACATTTGTAAAAAAATCCATTGTTTTGTGTGGCAGCACATCCTCTTTGGAACTCCCTGCCTATTGCGATCAAGCAAGTGCCTTCACTGTACTCTTTTCAGTGCCTGCTAAAAACATTCCTGTTTAGACAAACCTACTCCTAGATACAGTGGTGCCTCGCAAGACGAAATTAATCCGTTCCGCGAGAGTCTTCGTCTAGCGGTTTTTTCGTCTTGCGAAGCAACCCTATTAGCAGCTTAACGGATTAGCGCTATTAGCGGTTTAGCGGCTATTAAAGGCTTAAAGGCTTAGCGGATTAGCTGCTAAAAGGCTATTAAAGGCTATTAAAGGCTTAGCGGATTAGATAAAGGGGGGGGAAGCGAAAAAAAAATCTCAAGACTCGCAAGACATTTTCGTCTTGCGAAGCAAGCCCATAGGGAAATTCGTCCTGCGAAGCAACTCAAAAACGGAAAACCCTTTCGTCTAGCGGGTTTTCCGTCTTGCGAGGCATTCGTCTTGCGGGGCACCACTGTACTTAGAAAGCTGAGGTAATTTTAATCTGTTTTAGTATTTAAACTTGTGTATATTTTAAAGTAGGGTTGTGAATTTTCTTGATTTTATTGTTTATCTTTTTTTTAAAAAAAAACAGTCAAGCAATTTCTAAATTTTATTAAATAAATCAAATATTGCTTAGGAATTCTTTAATGTCTTTAAAGAGTAGTGGCACTCTTGAAACTGTCCTACACAGAAACTGTCCTCCTTGGAGAAATTGATCATTTTTGGATTACTTCATTTTGAATAAAGCAGTCTGCCAACTCTCATGATTGTTCAGAAAATTTTCAAACCAATTTCTGCATAGAACAAGGAAGCAACTATGCTAACTGAATTGAGCTATTGCCAAGATGAACTTCCCTGGTTGATTTTCTTTTTCTTTTGTTTTTGAGGTTCTGACCAGAATTTTTTCACACTTGCTATTCCAGAATAAGAATACATCCATATACTTCCTGCAATGTATTCTCTTGATGTGATAAGGCACCTGTTTAACAAAACTGTGCAAAAAATAGCTTGGTCTTACAGCTTACTATTGGCTTCAAAAGAGAGAATTTGATGGAACATTATTTGTTTAATTGGCACATGTTAACATCAGATATATCATAGGCCGATAATATGCCTAGCATATCCATTAGAATATGTTTCTGAGGATTGACTACAGAATGGATATCTTGGCAAGAATCAGCTAGTGACATGTTTGGCTATGAACCAATTCTCTTTCACCAGACTTCTGCCTACAGTGCTAACAATAATTTTGTTGTCCTTAATAACTCTCTTCCTTGAACTTTGGTGTTACTGTCTCTTCCTGTAGCATATAAGTATTCTTAGTGGAGATATTATTGCACAAAGCGTGATTTGAAAGGAGAAGTTTTTGCAAGAATTTGCCTAGAAAAATTTTTCTTTGAAAATACATGCATTTTGCAGGAACATTGTGTGAGTGAAGGATGGATGTTATGATGGTGGCAGAGATATGAGGATTAGTGGCTGACAGTAAATTTGCCATATCTTCCCTGTTGCTATGGCAAATACTGTTGACAGCTGTTCTGATACCTTTTGCATATTCAGACATTGTTTCCCACCTGCCTCCTACTTTCAGAAGTTTTATCTCCTTCCCCCTGTCCCCACCAATTGTTTCTTTATATCTTCTGGAATATTAAAGCCTGCTTGGAAACTTGTTTGATTTCAGTCCAAAGCCGGTGATCAAGTGTGTGAGACTATGTATGAGTGCATTGCGTGGACAGGCGGAGTCCCCAGGTCCCGAGCGCCCCCCCCCATCATGTGGAATAACGACTCAAGACAACGTGCTATGGGATTAAATTGGCCACAACTTTATTAAATTTCAAATGTGGGTAGACCTTGGCTCAGGCATTGGGCGTTCTCCCTCCCCAGTCCCCAGCCGGGGACCTAGGGAGCATCAGGGTTATCCAGTGTTTGTGTGGGGGATGGGCCGGCTCTGGAGAACATATGTTCAAGCAGAGATAGCCGCCCCCATTACGCCGCCGCCGCAGGGGAGAGCAATGATGACCTTTTGGCGTACAGTCAAAGCCTCCCTTCAGAAACCCCTTTAACGGCGAACCCTGGTATCACCGCTGCAAGAGGAAGATGGACAAAAGGATTCCGCCCAAGGCCTGATACTGCCAAAGTTGTGACGTTTTGCTACGGGAAAGGCGAAACCTGCCAATGCAGGGAAATTCCTTTCCAGCCCTTTGACAGCGACCTTAACGTAGCAGCGCCCGCATACCTGTAAGAAAAGTTAACCTGCAAAACCTGTGAAGAAAAGTTAACCTGCAAAATAAGGCATTAACTGAGGGTGGGTAGGGTGGGAGAAGCTCTGGAGCCAAGTGAGGATTCCCAGGTAAGATTGTGTGGGCAGGTAATCCCTCCCCCACCTGGCCTGATCTCCTTGGCAACGCTTCCCCCAGGTGGGATTGGACAACTGACTGGGGTAGGCGGAGACCTCCAGGTATCCCACCTGAGGGAAGGCAAAGCCAAGCCTATGCTGAATGGAGCCGCTCCAGATCCAGGGGCTGCGCGCGTCCACGCAAAGGTCGCTCCCCGTTTTATGCGGGGAGTGGTCATTCAGAAGTTCTAGAACAGGAAATAAATGACTTGTCAAGCTCTCTGGATTTGTTTGGCACATCATTGCAATTCCAAAATGTATGATCACTTTTTGTTTGTTTGTCTTGATTCAAAAACCTGAAATTCTCAGGCAGTGCATTTGTAGCAGCTAATCAAATATTCTGTTTGCCTATATATGGTATATGTGTGTGAATGAATCTGCACTGGGGTACAAACGTCCAAAATGAAGAATGTGAATCCAAGTTAATGTATATTTTATTTTAGCAGTGTTAACGCCTAATTCTGTTTTCTTTCTTTTCAACTAAGGCAAGCTGCCATTTATTGTACATGTCTAAAAGTATAATCCTATAGTCCTAAACTGTAGTTTTTGCTTTTAATTGTAGGGTTCAATTAAAAGGAATTTATCTAGTAAGTATATCTATTTACTGAATTTTGTTGGGACACAATATATCTCAGGAAGTTGGATATATTTAGAATCATCAAGATTACATAATTTTACATCTTAATTTTCAAACTCTAGAATCATTGGAACAACTAATTTTTAAGAGACTAAAGTCTATATATTGTTGATGGGATGGTCCTCAAAATGCTATGAGGACATTATTCCATGCACTAGTATTAAATTATGCATGAATCTATAATGTAAAATTAACAGACTCTGACAGTCTCAAAATGAGATGACGCATTTTAAATGAAAAGGCATATGGAGTATTTGCAATTGGCTGAATGCACAAACCAGTTCAACAGGGCCTAAAATTACAAGATGTTCGTAATCTGGAACGATGAAGGGTATGGCTGAAATGGGATTTTCTAAAGCTTTTCCATAAAATTGGGCCACATGAAAATAGGTTAATGGCAAGTCATGGAGTCAGTTTATTATCTCACAACAAATGCATTATATGTTTTTAAGGTAGCAAATGAATAATATTTTTAGCAAGTTATGTTCTGTTAAGAGACACCCACCATGGGTAATGTGAGGGGAGCAATTTGAAGCTGGAAGGGCATGCAGGGTTACATTGACATGAATTATGAAAACTGGTTCAAATTATTCTGGAAAGGGACAACATAGTTAAGCTTGGACCTAGTACTATATAAGTACTAAAACTAGTAAGAAATGGACTTGCGGAAGGAACGCTGTGGTGGCGCTGACATTATCAAATAGTTATGTGAACAAGTTTTCTAGAAGACACTATGAGAAAATTACCTTAAAATGGTGTCTTATGTGCCAGGTGAAGAAATAGCAAGGCCCAGGCGTTCAACACCTACTCCAGAGCTTCTAAGGTTAGTATAAATGTTAAATTATATTTTTAAAAAACCTCATTCAAGTCATGGATGGTGTGGAATCCTTGTACCCAAATGATGTACGTGCTCTTGTTCTGGCTTACCAAGTCCTATCTGTCTAGCCTGTGCACACCTCATTATAGGAAAAGGCAGACTCTTATCCTTCTGTATGGAATGTAGCCTACTGAACAAAGATAAGTCACATAATTGCTCCACCCACTTTTTGCCTCTGGCCCTGCCCACCGCTGCAATGCGGCCCTCAATTGCTTTCCTTTGAGGAAACGCTGCCTTGAACTGAAAATGGTTCCCCACCCCTACTGTAAAAAAAAAAAATCAACTCTGCCTGTCACCTCTGCTGAATAAAAGATCCTTGCGCGTAATTATCATTCAGCCTCTGTGTTGTGCTGCAGCAAAAAAGCCCCGGAAGATCCTGCAGTACTAGCGCCACTATTTGGTCCACCTCTGGAGTCTGCATTTGAAGAAGAGAAGTTAGAAGGTAGGTGTTGCCAGTTAACTTTATCAATGTACCCTTCTATATCTGACATGACGTTTTGTTTAATTTGTTTTACGTCTTTATTTCAAATGCCCGAGTTCTCTGAAGAGGTGTGGGCTACAAACTCAGTGAATCACATAAATATAAACTGTTTGTGAATGCAAATGAGTCTGTGAGTATGTATGTGTGCACTTGGTGAAATCTGCCACAAGTTAAAAAGGAAGAAAGAAGTGTTTAGCAATTTCTAGGCAACCACATGATGTTAATTCCCAGACAAGAAGGAACTAATATTTGTCCAGTGTTTGCTTTTCTGCCCTGTGGGGTAGTTGGTGCTAAGGGTATCTTGTCCCAAGCCTAACTGTAGGGTTCAGCTAACACCCCTTACAGTCCACTTTCCACAAGTGCTTCCTAGCCTTTCCCTGTCCTGGCCTTGGTCAAGAGCAAGCTGGGTTGCTGATTCCTATTATATGTGACCCAGAAAAAACATGGGATCAGGCCATCCGAGGTGAGAATGTGGCCGAATACTTCCTTTCCTCACTCATTAATCTGAATGGACAGACCTGCATGAAAATCTCTTGTGTTGATTCTAACTCAGCACTGAATTAGGGGAATGCTTGTGGTAATTTAGGTGTCACTGTAAAGCTTTTGTGTTTTGCATATGACAGCTCCAACCATGTTACTTTTATTGGCAGAAATCCTGATACCAGAAAAGCAGTTAACTTCCTCATTGGCTAGAGGCACCAGGAGGCCATTGATCTCTGTATCTTTCTCTCTCTCTCTCTCTCTCTCTCTCTGTGTGTGTGTGTGTATGTATGCTTGTTTCTGTGCGCGCGTGTGTGTGTGTGTGTGCGCGCGCGCATGCATCCAGGGCAGAAAGACTTTCAGAATGGTATTCACAGATTTGGTGGTATATGCATTTCCCAACACTGAAATTCATTTGTGGGTTTTGAAAAATGGTTATTAACAATTTATTTCCAAAAAATTCATATTCTCCTTACATTCTCTTCTCATTTTCCTCCTGCCATAATCTATCAAGTAGCTCCTACAGTTCAGTGTTCGATTCAACTGATGCTGCTAAAGAGAAGCTCTGTTTGGAATTAAGTTCTCATGTTACTTCTAGATTTGTATGCATCATGTTATATGTCTGTGACTTCAGCTCCCATAGATCACTCTGAGGTCTGGGGTTCTGTGCAGCCAGCAAGTCCAAGTGTAGAATCACCGAATTCATCACGACCTTTTCCATCTGGAAGTAAGTTGAGGCATCTCCTATTTGAAAAATTGTTGGGGTTTTTCATTTTGTTTTTCACTACAAAACACTGAAACGTGAGATGGAAGTGGCAATGTTGAGGGTTATTACTCATTATACTGTCATGGAAGCAAAGAGATATTAGTTGAATTATGCATTGGAAACGCAGCTTTCAGAAAAGGCAAAGAGACGATTCGGAGTCCCTGGGGAGAAAAGCCTCTGTGATCTCAATTTGCAAAGCTAAACCTGACTCCTTCCTATCCAAAAGACAAGTCACCTAGCAACCAGTGCAGCATGCCATAAATACACAAGCTCCTAATAAGAACCAAAAATTGGATTCGTGGATGTGGAAAAGCAGAATAAAACTTCACAACATTTATATTAAAACATATAGTTCACACTGGAGAATGGAAACAAAAAAGTTGTCATCTCATAAAATATCAACCACAACAAAAGGCAGGTGATTCCTGGTGCTTAGACTCTGTGGCATGTGCTGCCATATCATAATGGTGATGGGGGGAGAAGAGGGATTTATTTTTTTTACCTATCTTCTTCTATAGGGATGAGAAACCCTTTTTGCTCTCAAGAGCCACCTGCAGCAATAGGTAGAAGCTGGGGATGGGGAACTACACATGCACCCTTACACACAGTCGTGTGAAGTTTACTTGACTTTACCTCCCCAACACAGCTGTGCTTCCCAACCCTGTGACTGTAGCAGATACAGAGAAACGCAAACAGAATTCCACTCACACAACAGGTCTTTGTCCTTCCATTGCAGTCAGACCAGAGGGCTGCTTCTGAGGGTTCAGGGACCCTACTGGACAGCATGGAATGAAATGTGGTGGCTGCAGCTAGAGGAGGGAATTGGCAAAAATTAGGGGACTTGCCCAAGCAGAAGTGGCTTCCACTTGTGGAACAGACTTTGGATCTCAGCCATCATTTGGTTGAATCTCTAGATACGACTGTGAGTTTATATTTATTTATTTGACGAATGTTGTCCATTCTTAACTTAAAATTCTTCCATTTGGCTCACAGCACCTCCACCTCTTCCACCTAAGAATATTCCAGCTACACCTCCCCGCACTGGTTCTCCTTTAACAGTTGGAGTAGGTAAGTATGTTTAGCATAAATGACTTTTAGATGTGTAAGATCTCTGCTTTACTGCAAAGTAACTGTGTTTCTATTCAGTGCAAATTATAATTTGTAATGTGAACAGAATATGAAACCTTGTAATCATTTCTCAATAACGACCATCTAATTAGATGCATTTTATGCATATATGATATCTAGGCATTTAATATTTTCATCTGCCTTCAGATACCATGGCAGATTTTCTTTATTCAGCAAAAAAATAAGTACAAGCCTAAGTAGTGCATAATCTTTTTTTCTAAACCCCTTGAGATTTTTAAATGATTTCTGATGTCTGTGTTGTATTCAGATTTTGAACACGTTTCCCACTAAAGTATAGCTATGGTAGTAATATTTTGTATGAACAATTTGGCAGTAACCCTGTCAGCAAACTAATAATTTGTGTTATACCTGGTTTGGGTAAGAAGAAAAGTCGGAGGAACGTTAGTGAGCCCGTCATGAATCTCAGCACATTTAGGCCTAGATGTAATTCAGAATAATAAAGGTTATATCTTGGCAGTATGGTCTTCATACAGAACTATGAGTTAATGTAGTTAAAATGATATAGGAATGTTCTTGAAGCCATGTTTCTTCATGACTTGGGTCCTAAGTTGTTTCTCTGTTCGTGCAAGGTGAGATAAATCCACTCCTACCTTTGCACGAACAGAGAAACAACTTAGGATCTAAGTCATGCAAGGGCAGGAATGGTTTATCTCACCTCCCCCCTCCGTCAGCAGCCCACATGGTTCTCATACCTCCTCCATTCTCCAGGATTATATTTTTGGGACACAGGAGACTCAGAGGGAAGTGAGAGGTGGAAAACCCTGTTCTCTGAATGTGAACTCTTGAAAGGATCCTCAGGATCCAAGTGATTGTGGTACTCAGAGACAAGAAATAAGGAGCTTACCAGCATATAATTCATGTTGCAAGTGAACATCATTAGCTGTATGAACCGACTTGTAAATTTGAGCATGAATTGCTTTGCTTAAATGAGAAAACACAAAGATGGCTTCTAAAAAGATTAGCATACTATGCAACATAAATGTTACCTTGTACAACAATACTTGCAGACTTGATGTTTTAAGGGTATTTCTCTTCAACTGTCTATAACTTTTGAATTACAAATTGTGTCCTCTATTCATTCCTGTTTTATTTATACAAACACTGCAATTCCCAACTTCCAACTCTGTATCTATGCTGGGTGAATATAACGCAAATGAAATGCACATCCATGTGTGATCATTTATTCCCCAGGTGGTACTGTGCATTTTATGTGAATCACGAACAGAGCCAAAAAGAAAATAGGATTTTTTCCCTACCAACAAACCTTACATTAATTGGTAAAATAAAATTTTCTACATGACAATATGACATGAAATGTAATTTTCCCATACCTTTTAGATTGAATTTACAGATAAAGGTTCAACATACAGTTTTGCAGAGTCAAAGCAGCATGCAGCATTTGTGGACCAAAGAGATGATTGGACAGTCATATGCATAGACAGGACAACCTGCTCATTCGGTGGTTCTAGGACAATGGAAAGATTGGATATTCTATGGAAAAAATGCATCTCTGTTCACACAAGCATTCTCATTATGTGTGCATAGTATGGGGTTAGAATGGCAAAACTGTAACATTGGATGCAATCCAGGGGAAAAAAGCATTCTGAAATGCCTGCTGACTTCAGTGGGACATCAGTTCTTTTTTTAATAGGATCCAGTGAACACCTAATCACAAGACAGGACTTTTTTTTAATAGGATCCAGTGAGCACCTAATCACAAGACAGGATGCTTACTTTAAGCATAGAAGAGAAGTGGAAGTTTTGAGATCATACCTAGTGCTTTTAGAACAAGAGTGGTAATTTTCAGATGCTCCAAAATGCAACAGAGCTTATAATACACTCTTTATATATCCTTCATATAGCTTTTTTTTTTGGTCTACAAATTGCCTTCCAGCCATGGAGGAGAGGGGAAAATGCCAAATCGGTTTCCTTTCCATTAAGAAGATGCTCCATTTGCCCAGAATTTACAGATAATAATGATTGTTCAACTCAAGAATAGAGCCCTTTGATCATCTATATTCTCATTGGTCATGCTAAAATAATCCCACAGTGTATACTGCACAGCACAAAAATACTTATCTACATGCACGTCATCATGCTTGAATTTCAAATTATGTACTTTACCATTTTGTTACTAATAAAGGCACTCTGTTGTCTTTTCCCTAGCAAGCAGTTTTCCTAGATAGCAATAGCTCCATTTGGGTATATTAGTATGAACGACATACATAGTAGACAGCATATTTACATGCAGGTCAACATGGAACACACTTTAATATTTGTGTGTGTGTGTTTGTGTATTTATATATCACACCCTATTATGTAGATATTTGTGCACATGAATTATGTTCCTAGTAGCACCTTAAAATGCGTTATGAAAATGTCTGTGCTAGAATGTAGCTGATTTTAAAAGCCCCATACTTACGTAGAACATTAGTACGACTTAGCTGCTGTACAAGTTGATGTTAAAGTTTAAAATCAACTACTTTGACCACAGGAAATGACCAGACAGCAACAGAGGTCAAAAGTGACAAACTACCATCAATCAATGACTTGGATACCATTTTTGGCCCAGTATTATCCCCCAAGTCTGTTGCTGCTGACGCGGAGGATAAGTGGATCAGTTTTTCTGATCAGTCCCCGGAAAACGTAACTCCAGAGGTGACTTCACGGGAGAAGGTGGTGTCCCCACCTGTGGCATCAGAAACCCCAGATGAGCCTCCAGAGGCTGAAACCTCTCGCAGTGTTCCATCTCCACTCAATTTAGAAGAGGTTCAGAAGAAAGTTTCTGAGCAGACCCACGTTAAAGATGATAACTTAGCACCAGCAGCATCTCCTAAAGATTTTGGGGTGGGACAGAGAGCAACACCACCTCCCCCTCCACCGCCTACCTACAGAACAGTGGTGTCATCACCCGGACCCAGCTCTGGCGGTGGCACAGGAAGCACCAGTGGTATGTCTAAACAGCTTTGAGTGTGCTTCAATGTGGCCATGAATGCTGCCGTGTGAACACAAAACCTTTTTAGCTACTCTTAGTTGGTTGGCTTTTAAGCATCAGTCATTGTTTGATTGTACTGTGCCCCGTGGCTTCTTTATTTTCTTTTTATTCTGTGCTCTCGTGGTCCAATTTAACCTTGAACCCTTGATACTGTGTGTTCTTTCCCTGCCATTGCTGAATGTCTGGTGTTTACAGGAGAGCGTTATGTCTTTAATACCAGACATAGTTGGAAAAGCTATTACCTTAAGAGTTTAAGGTGAATTTATAAAACTTCCTGAGCTACAAAGCAACTAGTTCAAACTCTGTCTTCTCCCATTGTACAACCATGCTTAGCTTCTGCCCCTCAAGGAAAGGGCAGCTCCTCGTTTTTCTCCAAGAGGAAGTGATGATCAAAGATACTCCTTTTGCTAAGGAACTTCAGAATCTTCTTGACCTTCCTCAGAAAACCAGTGAAGCTTTTAATAGGCTTTCTTCTTACCCTTTCAATTTAGAGCTGGGTGCAATCTATGAACAATATGATGGAAATACTGTACCACAACTAGGAAAGATCTTGTGCTTGCCTAGCAAACATTTATTCTGCCAATTCATGGAGCTATCTACAGCTACTGGCCATGATATCTATATTCGGCCTCCACTGTTGGAGGCAGGATGCATCTGAAAACTAGTTTAGGAACACAAGTCAGAAGAGTGCTGATGCGCTCAGGTCCTGGGTTTAGGACTGGACGAGGTGGGCCATTGGCCTGATCCACCAGGCTCTTCTCCTGTTCTTCACTACAGATTAAAAACCATAAAGTTAATCTGGAATTTTCCATCAAAGAAATATTAAAGCATCTCAACAGCAAATTCAATGTTTTGTAAAGGTCGTATCCACACAATACAATTAATGCAGATTCAAGGCACATGGATTCCTCCAAAGAATCCTGGGAACTATAGTTTGTTATGGGTGTTATGTCTTCCCCCATTGCAGGTAGGAAAACAGATTTCATAGTGACAGGAAGAAGTATAGGTTAAGGGTTCTATTTTCCCCCTTCCTACCACAAAGGTTTAGTAGATATGACATCATGGAATCCCCTGTCTGTGACTAGCAAACATGCTGCACATCCTCCCACACACCTTAGGGCTGCAGTCCTATATGAACTTACCTCAAAGTAAATGCCATTGTACTTGAGATGATTTACTTCTGGGGAGATATGAATAGGATTGCATAATAAGTAACTTAGCTTTAAATGTGAGTGTGGGTGATGAATTAGCAGGAAAAAATGCAGCAGTAATTGTTTCATGACAACCTTGGGTTGCAAGATATGCAAGTGTGAAAGAGAGTCTTTGCATTGTCTACTGTGCATGCAGCTCTCTGAGAGCCACTGGGGGCAAGAGAGGTCATTTGGTAGCCCTTAGGCAGAGAACTTTTCATAAATCCAGTTAAGGATTTTCATAAATCCAGTTAAGGATACCTAGAATGATCTAGGCATGCATGCATACATGTACCATTTCTTTCCCAGGACTCAATCCCTACCTAACTTAAAAACCTACATGATGTAGTTCTGGTTTGGAGGAGTTTCAGTGAGTGCATTCTTCTTAAGATAGGTACTCAAACAAGTTGCTGAAAGTGGGAGAGCTTTCTCTGTGTGCGCTCTCACTAGAGCTGGTCTGTATATGGAAGATTATTTCCAAGTGTGGACAGCTGTCTTTAATATTCTGCATATTTTAGGCAGATGCAAGGCCCGCTCAGAATAATGAGTCCCAATACTGGGCAAGTATGAAGATTCATGCAACTTGTTTTCTTAACTCTTTACTAGAGCTCAAACAGGAAGCTGATCAGATTCAATTAATAACTCATAAGAAAGGTTTTAATTATCACCAAAACTACAACTTGATTAGACTTTAGTCTAATCAAGCTAAGAGATTCAAGATTAGCAAACTAAATGAATTTTAATTGAATTTATTCTTGCTATGAAATGCCATCGATGCAGAAAACATTGAAACCTACCTAGGTCTGATGCTGAAATGGAAGATTACTTTTAGCGTAGCTGCAATTGCAGCAATACAATGAAACCATATTTGTTTTAACTATAGTGATTTCTATCTGTGAATATATATATCTTCATATATATATATCTGCTTTACAAGGTGTTGTAAAGGTTTCATTTTTTAACATCTAAATGTAAAACTCTAATGTTGTTCCTGTAGTAAGAGGTCCTCTTTTAGTTGATCACTGAGGTGACAGATGGGTTCTTACAAAACTTCCATCTGTTTCACTGAAGTTTCATCGGACACAAATCTGGTAGCTCTATGAGACCTGGGTCACACATGCTGCCATAATTTGTTTTTCAGTAATCTGGGATTAATATTTGTGTAGTGCATGTTTTGCATAATTGGGGTTTTATGTTGTTTTAATGAGGAGGGGAAATAGTGGTTTGAGTGCACAGAACTTGGTACTTGGCACTATGGAGTTTTACATGCACCAATAAATACAAAATATTTTAAACGGCCAAGGCTTTTCCAAGAATTTACCTTAAGCAAGGAAGCATTTAGGGCATGCTTAGCAAATGCAGCATCATTACATAATCATCTAGCCTTATATTTTTAAAGCTCCATCAATCATCTTCTGATAGCTGTGTGTTTTGTGTGCGTGTTCCATTGACTGCATGAAGCATGTAATGCAGTCAGTGCTTACGATCAACACTGTAATGCTGATATGATAAAACCAACCCATACACAACTTGGATGTAAAATATCTTGTTTCACTTTTAAAGGACTGACTGACTTAGGAATTGGTGGTCTGTTGAATGTGGAATATATTCCCCTTCCTTTTTCTATTTGGAATATGGCTTTGCCTTTTACCATTCACAAATACCTGCCATTTTAACCTTGGGAGGAAGGAGGGACAGGTACAAAATGTCACACACCAGAATGGCTCAATAAAGAGGGGAGGGGCTTTGCTACCTTTAGCAGCATGAGAGCCACTGCAGCATAGCTCCTTCCTGCGTCACTCAGTAACATCTGTCATATGTTCACAGTATGTACAAGGAGCCCGTGCTGTGAGTCCTTCCCATGCTACTATTATTCCAACTTCCAGGAAGAATAATGCTAGAATGGGAAGAAGACACAGCAGGAATTCTTCCTGTGACAGCAGACTTTTGATGTTTCCAAGCAGGTGCAAAGGAGCAGCACTGTTGTAGCTTAGATGCCACTGAAGGTAACCTGGGCTCTAATTCAGTCATTTTCTATTGTTATCTCCTACTCTTAAGTTTAGAAAACATTTATCCTATTTTGGCATAGTAAATTATATAAGTTGCTATGGAATTGCTGAACTGTGTTTTGATACGTATCAATAACTATTAAACTGCCATAATCTTCCCTTTTGTAGTTTAACCTCCTTTTTTGTTCAATAGTCATCAGTGAGATGAGAGAGATTATTTTTCAATTTCTAAATATCTGCATTTTATTCCAAGTCGTTGTAACATCAGTCTTTTCACCATTCTAGTGTTCTTAGCTATTCTCTTATTTGCTAGCATCTTACAGTTACAATCACATGAAAATAATTGTGCCAGGCTTGTCTCTTTGTACACCATTGTTCCCTAAGAATAAATGGGTATTCCATTGTTACATCATTGCGTTCTGTTGCAGCACCACTTACGTTTGCATAACAAGAACACATTATGCTTTTATTGCAAGAGCATAATATGGAATGGGTAAGTTTCAGGAATACCCCCAAAAAACTTCAATATTTTGGTATTTTTAGACATCACTTTTTCATCTAAAGTGGGTTCACTTCAAGTGCTGCTTCCTCATTTAAGTTAAAGAAGTTTATGTAGGAGCAGTGTGTTAACTGTAGTCACAGTATCGTCATTGCCAAGAGCATGTGAAACTTCCATTGGCATAAAAGCAGGAAAATAAGCTTTTCTGTTTTTATTGTGACTTAGCAACTTTCTGATCTTATCCAATTCCCATCTACACATATGAATTGTCTTGTTATGCAACAGCTGCCAGCCTAAGTCAAAAACTGTTTGGGCAACTGTTTGCTTGATGGTCTGCTATGTGTTGGGGTTTTTGATAAAGGTGGGTAAGAACTGCAGCAAGAACAGCTCAACACCTTATTTATAGTGTACGTTTATTTCAGGTTCATCATCTCCTGCTCGACCTGCAACCCCGTTGGCATCCTGCAGCAGCCCTACTCCCCCTCCTCCTCCACCTAGACCCCCATCTCGTCCAAAATTGCCTCCAGGGAAGCCTGGAGTTGATGTGGTAGGTTTAGCTTCTTCAAAATTACTAATTAAATTGAGACAACATAACTTCAGCTCACCGTGGTACAGACAAATAGAGAATTCTTAATAAACAAATGGCTTCTGCCATGTCCCTAACTAGTGTCTGATTTCCTTCATTATTTGAAACCATACAGAGAATAATCTCTGTTGATGACGGTAAATAGGCAGATTGTTATGGAAAGTCCGCATTTGAAATTGCAGGCTAGTTTTGTTGGTCATGCCAGAAACAAGTCAGAATTATTACACCTGTGTAGGAGGTCAAGAAAGGTCAAGAAAGCTGCTGTGCCCCAGTTAAATTGAAATTGTCTGACACTAGTGATGACATGTATCTTTTCACATTTTCTGAAACACTTGGACTTGTACATATATAAGCACACCAAAGGGATGCTTCAATTTTTACTATTCTGACATGAAAAGCACTGTTTTGTCAGAAAAAATGTACATATTTGTTCCTGTCATGTGACAGATGTGCATATACTTTCCACTATGTATAAACACAATCTTGGGAAGTCACAGCCAACCATGGATTCCAAGTACACATTCACAAAGTGAAAGAAACTCATTTACCATTACCATCCTTGACCATCCACATGCTCTTTTCATATCTGTTCCTATGTAGCCATCCCTGCTATATATGAAAAGTAATCCATCATTGTGGATTCCAGTAGTGAAACAACCCAGTGATTTTATTTTGGACCATTGCTTAATTTTGCACCTGTCAGCTGTTTTTTGTGCACCATAGTTTGCAGTTTCAGATGCATCCCCCAAAAGTTACATTCTGCAGCATGTTTCTCATGTGCACTACAAATATAGATCACATGCATTAGAGAACTCAGTAAAACCTTTGGCTACACAACTGGGCTAGTAATCAATAAATAGCAGCTGAGAAATCAATGGATCTTTTACACTCAGTGTAAAAGGACTAATTCTGGGTGTTCTAGGGGCCTTAGAAGATAGTGTGTGCAGTTATGAGTATTCTTGCTTGAGTTCATGTTCAGAAATGCACTGTGTGTATCTTTAATCTTGTTTGTGTTTGTCTACAGTCCAGACCTTTTAGCCCTCCGGTTCACTCTTCCAGCCCTCCTCCGATAGCACCTTTAGCACGTGCTGAAAGCACCTCTTCCATATCGTCCACCAATTCCTTGAGTGCAGCTACTACTCCAACAATTGGTAACGAAAAGCTTTTCTTTGTTTGAAGAATAGTTTCCATGAGTGGAATGGCTTGAATATTTTAATTTCTGAAACCCTTTATTTGGTTTATATTTTCCTTTGTTTTCGTTGTCATGGTCATGTTATGTTAAAGCACTTTTTAATGTAAACGAGAATTGCACTCTTGATTAACTGTAGACTGCTGTAACTGCAATGTATATTTGTGTATAAAATAGCAGGGACCTGAAGGGATGCATAGGCTCCCTTTATTCCCTAAACTGTGCCTTCCCCCAATAATTTCCTAAATTCCGCTAAGATCACGAAGCAGTTTTCATTGGGTATCGGAGACTTTCCAAGGGGAGATCAGGAAAGTGGAAAGAATGGAGCTCATCTGCTGGCAGGTTTTCTATGCTGAAAAGTTATTCTACCTACAAACCAAACTGCTTTTTGAATTGGAGGAGGGAAATTCTAAACAGTATTTTAGTTTAGTAGTATTCAATGCAGCAACAGTTTAGTATTCAATGCAGCATTTCCTGGAAGTCTCTTAGAAGCCAGTGGAGATGTGGAACAGTCATGTTTCCCTTTGAATTCTGACCACTATAGATAGAAAATGTTTTACAGTACTGTGTCACTCCTGTGGCTGCAAAGCAGGACGAATAGTCTCACAATTGGGCAATAATATAAATCATTGTTAGATTAGTTAGCTGTAGCAAAACTAGATAAATGCAATAAAAATGAATAAAGTTTAACACAAAGTTAATCTTAGTAAGGAGAAATAGGAAAGGATAGCAGGAGCAGAAAGTATACTCTAGAACCAGATATTATTAAAAAGCAATGTTACAAACCAATTGTATTTGCTTCTTGGATTGCAGAAACGGTACACATGAAAAATTTCAAAAAGTTCTAAACTTTTTCAAATCCAGTTTCTTAGAAATTTGAAAATATGGAAAGTTGTACTGAAAACATGTTTTTTTCTTCTTAAGCTGAGGTTAGATTACACTTGTCAAAAGTGATAAATGTTTTGTGGCTGGCAATGCCTGGATGTTGATGCTTTTCATTTTTTGCTTCATTCTCTGGTCTTCCTTTCTGCTCCCTGCTCCACTTCCTTCTCAGACAAACATATATTTGAATTCTCTTTGTCATTCTTTATTTCATTTACAATACTCTTCATCTTCTTTACACCTTAAAACCACCTTCTTCTCTCTGATATAGTTCTTTTGTGCTGCAGACTCCTGGTTTTCCTTTTTGACCTGCGTCTCTTTTCATCAACGCTTCTGCTCTTCTACAGACCATCTCTGTCACCTTCAGTTCTCATTGTATGCCAGGTTGTTTTCTTTTATTGGTTTTCCCTTCTTTTACATCCCTTTGGACCCGTTCTGCTATTAGTCTAAACTTTCTTTCTGTAGTGTTCCTGCTGTGTGCCTCTTAACCTCAATTTTTTTATCAAGCATTTTCTAATCTGTGTAGACGAGAACGGGCACTTGATCTGCTGTTCAAATTGTCTTTCTGACTATTCTGAATGAACTCAGAATGGCAACAAATTGGATATTCCAAGAAAGGGGGAAAAATCAAAAATCTGAGTGAGCTGAAATGGATATGTTTTGTCTTCATTTGAGTAATAGACATTGAGCATACTAATGACTTCCCATACTAGTGGTGTTTAGTCTTCACTCAGTCATAGTAATTCATAGATACTTGTTTTGCTTATTAGAAAATGAAGATGCTGTCAACTGGGGCATATATTCAAGCCTCCAGTGATAATTTGTTAAATGCTGAACCTGGTTTGAAGTGCTTTCAGCTTTAGTTTGTCTTTTTGAAAAACCGTTCACTCTTGTTTCTTTCTGCCTATTGTGTGTGAAATGGAAGTGTGTGGGGAAGAGTGCTTAATGCAATTTTCAGACTTCATGTTTCCCTTTTCGTACCTATGTCCTTTGTTTCTGCTTGCTGTTGGTCAGTGCAATGACCAGGGTGATATAAATGCATATCAGTCAAAGTACTGAATAGCATTTCAAATACTTAACTAACAATATTGTATTATCAACTAAGAGGCTGTGTCATCAGTGGCTCAACTCCTTGTATGTGAAGTATTATGTTCCATGGGGTGGTGTAAATTGTCTGAAACTGATGTCGATCAGTAGTTTTTATGACACACTGTTGTGTGTTCTTATCAGTAACTGTGTTTCAGAACATAAGGTTCCAATGGAATCAAGCCCAACTGATTTGTGAAAAGGGCTACTTTTAAGTTGAAACGTTAGCCTAGGTTTTGTGCAGGTAAAATAGGTGATGGGGAGGAAAACACAATTTTCTGTTGAAATAATAATTTCCCCCCTATATAAGCATGAACATGATGACTCTGTCACTATGGACATTTTCATTAATGGATGTAAAGTTCCTCTAGATAAATTTTGTTGCTTTTAAAAGAAATAACCAATGATCAATAGAGACCATTGCTGGTTTCTGTTTGGTTTTAGGATAACAATTGTGAAAGTCAAGGTGAATTAGAGTCAGGATTATTCTGTTGTTATTCAACATGATTCCACGAATCTAGATAGCCTTCAAATTGATATTCATAGATGTGGTAACTACAAAAAATGTCGAACCATTTATTTATTTTAAAACATAATATTTATATTATGCCTATTGTAAAGTTACATGTCTTTTCTAAAGCTACCAGTACATCCAACTTGTAAATACAATATTGGAAAAATCGGATGGCAGTTCAAATATAAACAACCATTAAAATATCCATCAAATCAGTATCAAACAAGGGTTGCCTGAAAAGAAAGGCTTTATATAATCTTTCTAAAAGCCTGTGCTTATGAGCTCCAGCAGATACTCTTTAAGTTTTTTTTTTTTCAGTGGATGGAAGTAACCAGTTACTCAATAGCCAAGGACACTCTTTCAAACACAACCTTTTAAAAGTGCTATAGATTACCCCAAAGCCTAATATTTAACCTAAACTTTAGAAGCAATGTGAATGTGCAGTTGTGATAGGGTAGTACATAATCCAGGTTTTAGGTGGCAGCACACTTAAAACATTACAAGCTTTGAAGGCCACATGCTTTTGACTAACCATTCAAGAACACGAGTAGGCCTTTGATTCATAGTCTTGACATGAACATGATTCATTCGCCATATATGATTTTTAGAGAAATTGCTCTTACGTTGAAGTTGATTGAGTAATCAGGCATTTTATTAAAATTATCTAAGTGGCCTTTTTTACAGATGGCCTTGGAGATTTCACCACCCTTGTTGGGGTGAAGAGAAGCTTTAATACAAAATGATTGAGAAAACAGCTGAAATGGCTAATAAGGAGTTTCTGGTTTGTATTTGTACATCCCAGCTATTTTTAGTTATTGTGTATTTGTTCATAGTGACTAGCCTGAGCATTCTTTATGCTGGCAATATGAAGGTCTTGTCATGAGCACTATAGTTGGACTTCCCACTGACTGGCCTGATTTGCTTGTCACGCTAAGCTATACCAAGGCTTAGTGTGAGTACACGGGTTCCCAGAGAGGAGCTTGCAGCTGCTTTGCTGTTCCTGAGTTCTTTTTGCTGCCACGTAACCCTGATTAGCACATTGCTCAAACCTAGGCATCATGGTTATGGTCCCTAGACTAACCACATCTAACCCTTGGTTACAGCTCATAGCTAGTCTGGAGACAGCCTGGTCTTAAGTCCGGGTGCAGAAGACATGCTAAGCTTAAACTTGGTTTAGCTCAGCATGGCACATTAGCAAAAAAGACCAGGGAGCAGCAAAGCAGCTGCAAGCTCCTTTCTGGGAGCTCACACAGTCATGCTAAGCCATGGTTTGGTTTAATGCTATGTGCAAGCCTGTTCACTTTCATAGCTTATAAAAAGAGGCTGCTTGGTTTATGCATCCTTTTTTTTAAAAAATCTGAAATTAGGATTCGCTTCTAGAGATAGCCAAGGAAATAGTCACACTCTTAGACAAGATGAACTATTTCTGGAGTGTTTTCTTGAATGTGTTAAACACAGGCACAATTTTACATTAATATTAGATCAACTTGTTTTGTCCTTTGATATTGTTGGGTGTCTGTGTCTCTGTGGGGAGAATTGTATTCACTGTAGTAAAATAAAAGGAAATCTTTGTTAAATGCTCAAATTCTGTGTTCTCCTCAATGCTCTCCCTGAGTAGGGACGGAGGGAAGGACCGTATTCCCCACAGGTACCTTAATTTTTAAAATCTCCCTTTAGTTTTCCATATTGTGAGAATATATAGGTAGCTTCCAGAATTTATTGGCTTCTGGAACAAAATAATGAGAATTTTTTCATCTACTCCTTGGAAATAGGAATGCATGTTTATTGGCAACAGAGAAAGCTCCACCTGTCCCAAATAGGCAAGTGGTATTGTCAGATCATGTGTTGGATGAGACTGGATTGTGCCAATCTGCTCTTGTGGCCCATAACAACTAATGCAGTAAATTATGCTTAATATGCTGAATGGCTTGGCATGTAAAAAGCTTCCAGCTCAAGGCAAAAGCATGGCAGGCGTTTACCATGGAGAGGGAACAGCAATTCCTGTGGGACATGCAGAGCTCAGGTGCTAATGCAATTTCAGACCGATTAAGCCAGGGCTAGTTTGAGTCCTTGGTTTGTATCCTAAACCATAGGATTCAAAAAATTGTGCTAAAGATCTGGCCTTTGTATTTTTCCCTGTTTCAGAGAACAATGATTAATGGGTTACAGTGATACTATTAGGCTTGAACAGGTTAGCAGAGTAAAAAAAAATGGGAGGCCATTAGCAAGAAGCAATGGGTCCCAGTTATAGCAAACTCAGTTTGAGTTCAGCATTGGGAAATACCTCTTGATTGTAGGAATGATTGGACAGTGGAACACGATTGGTTTTTTAAGAGGATTTTAGCAAGAGTAAATGACCCTTTGCCAGGTATGCTTAGAGTGTAGGGAACTTTTCCTTGTTGCAGTAGCCCCTTTTAAATTCTATGGATCTAAGACAAGAGTAGTCAACATGGTGCCCTCCAGATGTTGCTGGACTCCAGCTCCCATCAGCCCTAGCCAGCATGGTCAACAGTCAGAAATGGTGGAAGTTGTAGTCCAGCAACATCCAGAGAACACAGGTCCTCCATCCCTGGGCTACAGTCACACTTCAGCAGGTAGAGTTTCTTCAGCACTCCTAAACTGACTACCCCTGATTTAAGACATGGAAGGGTTTGGATACTCATTATAAAATTCTACATGAAGAGTAAGATTATGATAAGCCTTATTGAGTTCAATATGACTTACTCCCAGTAAGTGTCCCTACGATTATGGCCTAAGTAGCTCGTAAGAAGCACAATTTCTCAGCCTTTGTGACTTCCCTGTGTGCAACTCTTCCAGTCTCTAAAGGTTATCCCATATATGGAGAGTTTGTCTGAGGAAATATGACACAAAATTATTTCATTTACTGTTTGTCTTTTTTGTATTTGTTTTTGGGTTCTTGTGGTGGTTGTTGCATATGATTTTGATAATAAAAAGAGATGTGTCCACCATTTCTATGTCTATGATCTTTTTTTCATTGTAATGTTTGTGGTTTGGTTGATAAACAGCTACTTGATTTTCATTTGGAATTTGTGTTTTCATTGTTTTTCTTTTACATTTCTTTTGCTCATGGGTTTCAGAAGATGATGCTTATGTTGACAAACTGCTCACGTTTGAAAGGCATTGTGAAACTCCTGCAGGTACTGTACTAGCAGAGTGGTTTCAAGAAATCTGGATTTAAAATCCTAGCCATTGTCATCTGAATGCTTCCTTCACTGCCACCCTCACCACCATGAGTGTCAAGTGCATACAAATATATACTTATATGTAAAAGAGAGGAACTCATGCCAAACTCAGAAATGCAGCATATAGCATGCCAGTTTCCCAATGGCAAGAGTTTTGCAGAGGTGATAAATTTTTGACTTGTGGTTCTTTTTTATGTAAGGGATAATGCTACTACTCAAGAGCAGGTCTTTCCCATATGTATATTCTGTCTACCCAGCTCGACCTTTATTTTACAGGACTAGGCTTCCAAGGAAGCTTACAAGGCCAGATGTTCTTAGCTTCGGCAGTAGTATTTCCTTAGGTGTTTTTAGTTTGTTTTACATGTACCCTGGACTCTTTAAACTATTGTGAGTCAAAGTAACTGGTAATTTTTGACTAGGAGAGAGAGAAGGGTAGCTTTAAATATTAATTTATTGGTTCAGTTTGGAATTTTATCAAATAATATGGTTCAATAAAATCATGCACTTAACCAACATTCCAGAAATCCTGCCCAGTAGTTAGTTAAACCAGATTTAGCACCTTTAGGGGAAACTGTCAAACCAGAGATAAATGCCGCCTTTGGAAGCCCACCCATACGGGAGATCCATGCAACATACTTTCAGAATTATAATGCATGCTTATCTCAAGAGCATGTGAGTGCCAGAATCATTGCCATGTTTTCCCCTTACCAGCCTTTTTCTTCAAGACAGGTTCATGTAATAAAGTTTAGTGCTACATTTTCAGATGTTGTTTTCATACCCAGAGGCATCTTCCAACATTACAGCAGCATCTTTAAAATGGAGACAAGGCCTTGTGTGACAAATTCCGCCCAAAGCTAGTACAGCAAAAAAACAAACATACTAATAGTCTGTTGCAGCAACAGAACACTTCTCACACCCTCCACGCACAAACACGTAGGCAGCAATCCAGTGGGCAAAAATTATCTCCATTTAGGATTCCATAGCTTGCCATTTTTTTACTTTTTTTTTTTTTTGCTTTCTGTTTCCCAAAATAAAACAAGAAAATTGTTTTAAACTCCCTTCTACTCCCCCTTGCACGTTAACAGCTCACAGCGCCTCTTCCTCCCCTGTAGTGAGATTAATAACCTGCTTTTGTGACTTACACTTATGTCCTTCTCTCTCCCTTCTCCTTAACCTTTCCCATCCCGCTTCAACTCCTGGCCATACAGAGAATGAACAGCCTTCCCTCGTCTGGTTTGACAGAGGAAAGTTTTATTTGACTTTTGAAGGTAAGTAGTGCATAGCATACTGGGTTGGAACTTTAAGCCCCCATTTTGCTCTTATTATTTAATAGAAGCCCTTTGGTTTCCTACAAACAAACAAACCCATTCTACCTTTCTGTATGGTAATGCTATGGCTACTTAGATGACATGACGAGTTCAATCAGAATCATTTTAAAATTTGATTTGTACAACTGTGTCCCTTCAATTGTTATAATTTAAAGGGGGAATGGGGAAATAATTGTTGTTGATTTTTTTGAAAAAAAATCTTCTGGAGTTACTGATTATCAAAGAACTTGACTCTGTCAACCAGGGCTTCTTTGTATACACTTTACAAGCAGTTTTTACACCTTATAGCGGCTACACATTATAAATATAAGTAGAATGTTCTATTATCCTGTTATCCATTTCTAGAGTTTTCCTTGCCATAATATTCTTAACCATGACAATCTCCCATACCCTTAATAAATAGAGTATTTCAGAGAAATATGAAAAATACATTCGTATTTAGTGCTTGGATCATGTATCAAGACCGTTTGACGGGGGGTGGGGTGGATAAAAATAGTATTACAATCTGAATATTGGTCAATTAATAAAAGTCCATTATCCCTTTGGTACTTCAGTGGTGTCATTTTAACGTTTATGTAACCTTTTTCCAGCTTGGCTATACAGGAGAGTTAAAGCTTTCCTATATTAAATGTTTGATTTCATGAACCTGTTTTATTCTGTGGCAAATATCCCCTGGAGTAAGAATTGGTTGGCACAACTCAAGTTGTTTTTAGTACCCCAAAAAAGTGTTCCAGAGCATTGTTGAACCTCCTGAACCATGGGAATGTACTGCAGAGAAGTGGCGCAGAATCAGCACAATCACCTCCCTCTACCTTCCCTTTGCAGAAACTACACTACAGGTTATCAATCCCTTTCCTCACAGAAGGGGCTCTTCCCTGAATGGAAGGATAGCTTCTTAACCTTTTTCTGTGGAATTGCTCCACATATCTTGTTACCTCTAATTCACCTCTGGGGATAAATTTATAAGAAAAAGAAAGTGTACTAGAATGACTGAGTTTCATATGAGCATGAAATGTTGTGGTCTGAAATGGAACTTGTAAGTCAGTTAGCCAACAAGGTGCCCTCCAGATGTTCTGGACTACAACTCCCATTATCCCCAGTCATTGGCCATGCTGACTGGGGCCGATAAAGTTATAGTTCAAAATGTTTGAAGGGCACCTGATGAAGATTGAGAAAGCTAAGTTTGATGGCTCTGGAAATATTTTTCTGTTATAAACTAGGTAAAGCGAATGCATATTTCCTTCCCGTTAAGTCAGCCTCTGCCTAATCTTAACCAGTTACTGATAGGTCTTTATGATTTGCAAATACTGATACGATCCTTTTAGTTTTCTAAGTTAAAGAAATACCCCCTAATGGTTTATGTACCTTAAATGTACTTCACAGAACTAACATCATAGTACAACTATTCTGCTATCTGTAAAAGTTGTTGCCCATCTGCAAACAGTTGTTTTTTTAATCAGTCTTGGGAAATTGTCCATATTTGGTGCCGGTAAACTTTAATTTTGTAGGAAAACAGCTGTGGGGGGCAGCTTTAATTGACTACATGTTTCTCTCAGCAGTTAATTGTTTGGACCTATACTCAAGCTGGGCTTGAGAGTCCTGTCAAAAGTAGCACTGGAGCTCTAGAAGTTTTTGCACCTGGTTCCCTCCGTGCTTGTTTTTGGTGCCATAATGCCAAGGCGCACTGCTCTTTTAAGCAAGTGGCGGACCCAATCTTCCTTTGTGGACATTGATTTTGACCTGTGCCTCTGCTAATTTAGTTTTGTGTGTTTTGTTACATTTTATTTTTTGTGAACCACCTCAAATTCCTTCAGTAGACAGAACGGCAAGATATATTTTGAATAAATAAATCAATATTGCCCAAACATGTGTAGAACCAACCCAGGGAATCCCTGTGGATTTGGCTCTGTGGATAAAGAACCTATCAGCACATTGGGGAAAGGCAGCATTCACACATGCACACTCCCAAGCAGACATTGATCCAGCACACTTTTAGTGCATTTGAATAGGGCTTTCATTTCTGCCATTCCAGCCTGCCTTTAAAAAGCAAATATGGACAGTGGTTTGACTTCTTGTATTCACAAAGCCTATGATTTCCTGCTAGTGATTTCATGATTTATAATGGTGTTCTTGAAGCACTTGCATTGTTAAGTAAACAATTTCTGTCTGTAGGTAAGACTTATCTACATTTTTTTTTGGTTTAAATTTGATCAGTTTCCATATATTTTTAAATTTTGCATAATCAGCTCATAAAAATACAGACAAATCTCTCAAAATAGGAAATGCCTTATACCTCAGGCTTGAGAATTTAAAAAATGGCCAAAATGCTAAGTCTTGTCACTAGGGCAAAATCAACCACAGGTTAGTCCTAACCCTTCTTACATTGACTCACTTATGGTTGAATCTGAAAGTCCTAGATTATAAAATATAGTTTTTAAAAGGTTTTCATCAGGTGCCAAAGAGGCATCACATAAACAAACAAACAACAACAACCACATCAATAAAGCCTGTTCAATAAAGCAATTTCAATAACCTGTAAACAAACCCAGTAGAAAAACAACAAAAACTTCAGCAGCAAGTACAATAAGAGCAGATGGTGCAAATTACCAAAAAGCTGGATTGATTTCTTAGTTTCTAATTGGATTTCTTTGACAAAGACTCCATTCAGCATTGACAGAATAAGTTTATTCAAGGCAAGGGGAATAAGCCACAAAGTGTTGGGTATTTTCCTGCAATTGCCCGTTTGTGGGAGGAGGAGTGGAAGAAAGGGAGTGATGGGAAGTAGGTGGTAAAGAGGAAGCCTGAGGAACTAAGTGAGGAGGACAGGATCCTGCAGATTCTGAAAAAGTTTACCCCAACCCCCCCCAAAAAAAAGATGGTGCTGAAATCCCATCCCAGCAACTGCATCTGTCTCACTATCAGAAGCTGATGAATATCTATGGCAAAGCAGGATGTTTGTTTGGATTTCTGCAAAGCTCAAGTTTATGATACATTTGAAGCCAATTTGTATCCTAAATAGAAGTTGTCCTTAAGGTAGAAGCCTGGTAGTTGGTGCTGCTAGACTTTCTTATAGGGTAGGGTCACCAGATGTTCCCGGGGACAGTCCCCGGATCCACCAATCTGTCCCCGGACAAAATCTGTCCCCGGAATGTCCCCGGGGACAGCAGAAAATTTTAAGCGTGGGAGAACCTAAGGCAAAGGAAATCATTGTACTGGTGCTGTGTGTCCCAGTGCATGTGACCCATTGTCTAGGCCCAGCAGAGGGAGGAGTCAGCCTGCATTCACGTGGGATCTGCAAGTTGGGATGGGATGCCCTTTTGTACTAACTCTGCAATTGCTTATAAAGGCACTGTTGTTGTTCAGATGCCAAATGCAAACTGAGCATCATTGGGCAGCCTGCCCAATGACCATAAGTTTGGTGCTACATGAAGCTCTCAAAACAGCAGCCTAGGAAGCTGCTTTATACCAATTTAGTTTGTTGGTCTATCTAGCTGTGATTTGGAATGGCTCTCCAGCATATCAAAAAGGGCCCTTCCTATTTGGTAATTGTAGTTCATAGTGTTTAATGTTTACATTAAGCCACTGCCATTGTGCTGATGGCACCATTGCTGTCTGTTGAAAACAAGCCAGTGTTGTGTGGTGGACCCTCTTGGTTGCAGTTTTAGAAACTTGACAGATTCACTCTGTTTGGATAAAGCAGTGTAATACAGAAAGTGAGACAGGTGATGTTTAGTTTACAGAAAAAGAGAGTCCCAAGCAATCAGCAGTAGAGTTTGATCTCCCATCCTCTTCTTTAAACTACTGCCTAAAAAAATCTGCTGCCTTTGCAAACCTGCATCCTAAGTAATTATCAATCTCCAACTTCATTGTACTGTAATGTAGTCCCTAGTCAAGCCTTAAAGTGTAGCCCCTCTGAGTCTGTCATCTGTTGCTGAGTTTTGTATGACACGTAACAAACTGATGCTTAATAAATACTAATACTTTTTAGCCCAAGGAGCATATTTGACAGAAAAGTAATCTCTCATCTACAGATACATTTTGTGATACTTTATTTTCCCAGCTTTTATGTCTCTACTAAAATAACCCATGCCTCTGAAGCGCTTTGGTTTGTCATGATTGTAAATCACACTACTTGCAAATATCACATATGAAAGTTACATTAAAATTGCTGCTTCTGCAAATGTATCTCTTCACTTGTTGGGTAACATTTTAGAAAAGCTGTTTTCCATTTAGTGTGAATGTATTTCATAATCTCCAATAGTAACAATAGTTGGGTCCAAAATATTGGTTCCCTACTTTTTCTTTCTTCTGTGAACTTAATTTAATGCTTAGAAGACATATTCTCAAATCAAGTGCTTTGTGAACAAGAAGGCTGGTGTATCAGTTTATGCTTATTGGGTCTTCAAATCTTATTTAAAATGAAGAAGGGTACTTAAGTCTATGGGACAGCAACTATATCCATCTGAAGTGTGCTGCCTAGCCTCTGCTTGACAATTTCAAAGCTTAAAGAGGTATGAGAAAACTGGCATCTATGGCAGCTCATGGGGCTGGCAGGTCAACTCTGAGTAAGACCTCCCTCATCCACAATTTGATTATGGATGAGGAGGTTGATCCGGTTTGTATCACTGAGACTTGCGTGGATGAGCAGGTTGGAGTTGGTCTCACCGACCTGTGCCCATCTGGGTACTCAGGTTAGCATCAGGGCAGACTTTGGGGGGGGAGGGGAAGTTGCTGTGTTCTACAGAAATTCTCTCCCTCTCTGTTGTCTTGCTTCCCACCTCGCTGCTCCGCTTTCTCCTTGCCTAAGCTTACACAGCTGGGCTCAGAGGTGGTGTTGAGGACTCCCAGACTGCTGGTTTTGGGGGACTAACATCCATGCTGAGGCGAGTGGCTCTGGGGTGGCTCAGGACTTCATGGCTGTTATGACACCCATGGGGCTTTCTCAACATGCCACCGGTCCAACACATGTGGCAAGCCACACTCTGGACCTTGTTTTCTCAACTGCGCAGGAAGAGGGTGATCTGAAAGTAGGGAGCATTGAAATCAGTCTCTGGTCATGGTCAGATCACTTCCTGTTGAGATTTAGGCTTTCATCATCTTTCCCGCTCTGCATGAGGATGGTTTGCCCCTGGAAGCTGATGGACTGAGTGAGCTTCCAGGCGGCTCTGGGGGATTTTCTAGCTAATATGACGGGCTCCTGTCAAAGTCCTGCCTGACCTCTGGAACATCTGAATGGCTCAAACTGTTGATGCACTTGTCCCTGAGCTGCTCCTCCTGCTTCATGGAGCCCATTTGGCTCCCTGGTATACTCCAGAGCTTAGGGCAAGGAAACAAGCTGGATACAACTGAAAGTGGAGGAAAGATCTGGCTGAATCCAACCAAACAGTGGTGAGGGCTCATCATTGAGCCTACCTATTGGCAGTGAAGGCACAGGAACGAAGGCATCCTTTGTTACCTCCACTGCATCCTCACTATGCCGCCTGGCATAGCTTTTCTGGGTAATGCAGGCCTTTTAAAGTCTGGCCTTAGGCAGCTGACAGAACGACAGTAGCTTGCTGTGACTTGTTTGCAAAGCATTTCTAGGGCAGCATGGCTTGCATCTGTTACAGCACATGAATCCTGAGTTGTGTCCAGAGCACTGTCTAGTCTTGTTATGTTGGATAAGTTTCAGTGAGCAAGGCTCAAGAATGTGGGAAGGGTGCTTGGATAGGGTTGCCATATTCCAAACAGTGAAAATCCAAACAGCAAATTTGATGCTGCTGGCATGGATTTTATGCTGATGGATGCGGTAATCCAGATATGTCCAGGAAATTCAACACGTATGGCAACCCAATGCTTGGATCAGTCAGGGCGACCACTTGCGCTCTCTACCCTTGCCCCCTTTGGCTGATAAAAACTAGCAGAGAGGGGACAGCTGTCTGTTTGATAAGCAATTGCAACATAGAGAAGATAGGATTGCCTGCAGGCACTATAGCAGATCTCCACTGTGTGCCCATGGGCTTCAGACTTGGAGGAAAATTTCATCCTCTCTCTTTTTAACCTGCTCTGCACATGTTGAAATAACCATTGTTTTTCCTGTACATAGCTCATGGTTCTGACCAAAAACAAAATTTCAGGTTTAAATTCCCTCTTGTTGTTTGTAAATAAATATCACAGCTTATACAATTCATAACACTGATATTAAATATAACACCATGTAACCACTCACATTCATTCAACAACTAAACAGGCAATTTTATGTTAATTGATACTGTTATTTCCATGATGATTGCTTCATAATTGGTACACACTTGAACCAATTAATTTTACTTAGCCATGTAATTTTATCTTGACTATTTTGAATTGATTTATTCACAGCGTACTCTGAAATTTTGCTGGTTCTGTCTATCTCTGTTTGTCCCTAAGCGATAAAAACATAACAGTATAAAATTATAAAATTTCAAGGTTACAGAACCCCAGTTCCTTAACCATACTTCTCATTTTAACAAACTTTGATGTGCTGAATGTTGTTGTGATGAATGAACCTGTCATATGAGCATCAAAATACATTTCAATGTCCGAGTTTATTTTCATATTTTGTGTAGTATTTTGAGTTGTATAATTGTGATATTAACAATGAGCTTTTCATTCTTAGCTCTTCTTTATTAATACTCTTCATATTCACAGCACAATTTGTAGGAGGACATTTTGTACTATTAAAGCTATAATAGATGTACTTTGTACCTGTCTAAAAGGGATGGCATGAATAGGCTACAAGACAGAATTTACGCAAGAAGCTTTTATTACTTGCCTAAGGGCCAAACCACACATGATGGGCAATTCTCTAATTTTTCTTCCTTGTTGAGCAGCTAGGGAGCCAAAGCTTTGAGCAGAGAACCAGAACAGGGAGGGGCTGAAGAATGATTTCCTTTTCTACTGCTTGTTTGCTCAGAATCTCCCCCTGGCAGGGAAAGCCCAGGTTAAAAGAGCAATTTTCAGCAAATGGCAAGAATGGTTAGGATTAAGCAGCCTCTCCTTTCCATTTTCCATTTCAGCTTCCCATGGCTGCTTCTTATTCAGGAAGAAAGTGGGAGGGAGAAGCATGGAACTTGCTATATATCCATAACAATGATTTACTTACATACATGATAGTTCTCCCTACATGAGAATTTACAGCCTTGTGATTTGGATCCATTTGTTCATGCTACACACAGCACTGGCAAAGGTTGCTTAAAAACACAAGGCGGACATGCCCCTGTGAATGATGTTTTGAACTATTTGCACCTGCTATGAACTGCAAGTCTATAATCCTTTTTGTTTGTTGTTGTGCTATGAATCTGGATGTGAAAGAGAGGGGAGGCATGAATGCCTATGGTCTGTTTAAGACCACTTGTGCATTAATTACCTAAGAGTGACTAAATATGACCCAACTTTAACTGTTCTTTAATTGTTCTTCCAGGTCAAGTGTCAATTCCAGAACAAGCCAGGGTGATAACCTGGATAAATATTGTTTTTGGGTGTTAGATTGCTCAGCAGTGAAAATGGTCCTGTAGTCTAGGTTTCAACTGTACGTCTGTAAGATGTAAATCAGAGTTATCTATCTTATTGAATAGCTGTGAGGATGATTAAGGATTGCAAATCAAGGAGAATATTCTGCATGATGACTAAAAAAGCAAATGCAGGCTACATAAACAGAAGCATAGCTTCCAGGTCACAAGAAGTAATAGTTCTGCCCTATTTTTCTGCTGGCCGGCCAGCATTTGAATAACTGTCTTCAAATATCTTCAGGGCCCTCATGCAGAAGATGGGATGAACTTGTTCTCTTTTGTTCCAGAGAGTAGAACTAGAACCAATGGGTGGAAATTGCAAGGGAGCAGATTTTGGCTAAACATTGGGAGAAGCCACCTAATGGCAAGAACTGTTCTAGACTGTTAGAACAGTAAGGACTGGAACAAAGACTGCCTTGGGAGGATGTGGCTATCCATTGGGGACACAATAAATGCTTCGTGCATTACGCAGCCTGCATTGTGTAGGGGGTTGGACTAGATAAACGCTGTGGTCCCTTACAACTCTGTAATTCTATAGTGTAAATAAAGCATAAAATGAAAGTTTAGCAAAAAAATTACACTTGCCTAAATCTATCAAGAAAAATAGCTATGGAGAAACAACTTCTATCCTTTATAATTTCTTTGCTAGATCTAAAACTACCTGGACAAATTGCATAGGAATGCACATTCAGAACCACATGGGCAGATTGCCGAGGGATTCACATTCAAATATACTTTAGCAATATACGTATGGATGTAAGGCATCTAATGTACAGCAATGCAGGTGGGCAACTTCACTTTCCAAAGTATTTGTCTAATCCTATAGGAGTTTCTTGCATGAGATTATAAGTGGATCAGGGCCACTTGATTACTGTTCTGTACATCTACTGGATTTTAAATATGTACTATAAATAAGGATTTAGACCAAGCTGTGGGTTAAACCACAGAGCCTAGGACTTGCTGATCAGAAGGTCAGCGGTTTGAATCCCCGCGACGGGGTGAGCTCCCATTGCTCGGTCCCTGCTCCTGCAAACCTAGCAGTTCGAAAGCACGTCAAAGTGCAAATAGATAAATAGGTACAGCTCCGGCGGGAAGGTAAACAGTGTTTCCGTGCGCTGCTCTGGCTCGCCAGAAGCGGCTTAGTCATGCTGGCCACATGCTGGCCAATAAAGCGAGATGAGCGCCGCAACCCCAGAGTCGGTCATGACTGGACCTAATGGTCAGGGGTCCCTTTACCTTTACGGATTAAATATAAGGTTGGATAATTTGGCACGTTGCTATCATAACTGGAAATGACCTATTTATTGAGGGCAGCTAGCTTAATTTGATTTACAAAGGTCATGCCACATGTGTCCTACTGAAACATTTACCTTTTGCACTTGGAGAAGTGACACTTAAAAATGTATTACAGTGGTAACAGCTGAATTTATAACATGGGCAATAAGCAGTGACAACCCAAGCACCACTGAGATGATGAAAGTAAATTACACCTTGATGGTTAATGTGACAAAATAAATTCTTGGGACGTTGGAGACAGAAAAAGAGACAGAACCAAATAGTTATTAATTACTGCTTACCACACATCAAGGGACGCGGGTGGCGCTGTGGGTAAAACCTCAGCGCCTAGGGTACCACTGTAGCTATCAAAATTCTGCTAGAGCACCTAAGAATTCATGAGGATATTGGTCCATGTCAGTACTGTCATTAGGTACAGTATTGCATAGATACATGTGGGACTTTTGTAACTGTAGACTCTATTGTTCAGCCTCATTTTGAGCGGTTGGGCTGAATTTCCAGCAGACCCATCAAAATTTACCTCCTTGTGATGTATTCTTTGATCTTTTCCTCTTTGAAAACCAGGAAACTGTTCCCTTTGGACTTTGGGCATGAAAATAAATAGTTGCAAAATAATAGCTCCAAGCCTGTATAACCCTCTTGGGACCAATATTCCCTAAAATTAAATCGTTCTTTGTTCTTTCACTGCTGAAAATATGAACCTTGTGACTCAGAGATTTCTCAGAGAATGAATGGAGGTGCAAGAAGGGTTGCAAGCAATCTAGTAGAGCATAAAAATGTAATAATAAAAAGAGGGAAAGTAATTAAGAGAATTGGCTTTGTGGTGGGAATGAGCCAAAATATAGCGCTCTTTCCCCATGGAAAGCCTTCTCCTGCATCCATGCTGATGTTCTTTTAGGGAAAAATGTCTCCCTCTCTGTGTACTTAACCTCAGTGGATTACAGTCTACTCTATCTCTTTCCAAGGGTGGGACAAGATCAAGGTTCAGTTATGTTGTGGTTCAGATCACTTTGTTAAAGTGACAGTTGCAGCATCAGTTTAAGCAAAATGATCAGCAAAGATATCACAGTTCAGCAAGATCCCTCCCTTCCTTTTGCAACTTCATTGACAGGAGGTTGAGGGATAGCAGCTTTCCAACAAAGGACCTGTTTTTTTTCTAGAGGAGCACCGCTCTTTCAGAGTGAACGTCACACTCCCTGAAATTTCACCTTTTGCTGCAAAATACAAGCCCTTTGACATTTTCAGCTTAACTCTGCTGTGTGGATTTCCTTATTAAGGGGAAATGAGTCCTAAAGCTTTTCTCATAGCATTGAAAGCTGTGTGCAATGAGCGTATGAAGGGGAAGAGTTTCATGCCCACTGTACTGCCTCCTGGCTTACGTGCATTCATCATGTGTCTGTGCACACACAAGTCAGGACCCGTAAACAGTGGGCATGATCCACCCTATCCTTCGGCATGGCCCTTGTACATGGTCTCTCCTCTGTGCTGTGCCTCTTTTCACATCCCCATTAATGTTACTGGAACTTCCAGGCACAGGCAACAACCAATTTGTGTGTGGGGGGGGTATGTTCTGGACATGTTGGCAGAGCCCGCGCAAGCATGTCCTGCTCCACTCCTTTTTGTGTCATTTTTGGGTCCGTTCTGGGTTCAGCATGATGTCTGTGTGTGTGGTCAGGCATGTATCGGATGCGCCTAAAAGGACTGCTGCCAGTAAGCCAATCTAAGGCTTGCATTTTATATGCCTATATGCCTACTGCAGTATATAGCTGATATACTGCTGTAGCCCCTCTCTGAAAATTTCCTTCCTGATATACTTCTGTAGCCCCTCTCTGAAAATTTCCTTCCTGATATACTTCTGTAGCCCCTCTCTGAAAATGTCCATCCTGATATACTGCTGTAGCCCCTCTCTGAAAATTTCCTTCCTTGATCAGCTATTTAAACAGCTGCAGTAGAAAGAAATGTGATATTGTGAAGTGTTCTCCATTAGCCCGACTAGGACACATATGCATTTGGCTTCGCCCCTCCTTGTATTGCTTCCTGTAATGGTCCCTCCGCCTCATCATTATGTAACTTCATTATGTAATAATATCGAAGTCTGTAGCTGGATATGTTTAATTTCCTCTTCCCATTCCTTTCTATCCTCTCTCTTAGTTTGTAAGTCATTGTTATAGCCTGTAACCCACCTTGAGTGCTTTGGCCAGAACAGTAGTAACTAGACATAAGCTAAATTGCAACCTCTTCCTTTGAAGACTACTCTAAATGGGTGTGTTTTAAATAGACGTTTATGGCATGAAAGTGCCCTTAGGATGTTCTGCTGTTATACATGGCCCTTTTATACACCATGACTGGGACAGTTTCCACATATCACACAGTGCTGCTGTTGGAGGTGGAATCACAAAGGCCAGTCATCATCTGTCCTCTAGCAGAAGAGTGCTAGAGAAGAGACCTGCAAGCCTCACGCAGAAGCAACATTGGAGCTTTCCATGTGAAGCGTAATATCTGCACATTAAATTTCATGGTGGTTGAATATTCATCGAACCAAGTTCTGTGAATCCCAGGGGGGGAAATATATTCCCTATATCTTCTCTTTGTTTCAAATCAGAAGAACTTTTGATAGTTTAAATATTTGACCAGAATAAGGACAATTTTCAACAATACAATGATAGAAAATATAATGTAAAACACACTAGAAAATGAACTTTTTTTGTAATTATCATATTTATCCCTGGTATATCATAAGGGTGTGTGGTTGATAATGACTGAAGAGAAGATGACTATGCAGAGGTGTTCTTCTAAAGATGGGTTTTCTTTTTCAAGCGTGTTGGGGAAACATTTTCCCAGGTTTTGTTAGCCACATTAAAAGATTTTAAATTAAGCAGGCTCTCCTCAGACTAATATGCAATATTGATCATGACACCGTGTGAACTGCTTGGGGGAAAAAGGTCTCTGACTGCAACATCATGATGGTAATTGTTTTTCTTGCTGGCCTCCTAACTCCTGCCAGAGCTATTTTCCAGATATTTTGCATAAGTGGTAAACAGATAACCCACAACCTGCTGCATACTGAATTATTACAACAGTAGCACCATATAGCAGGGTAAAAGAAACAATAGTAAAGCTTGCGTATATATTACAAAGCATTTAGTGCTACTTTTTCTATCTAAATAGACAGCCAAAATTTTTAAAAATCTCTTTTGAAATGCACTCTGTAAGGCAATTCTATATGTATTCATATCCTCTGGAAAGCTAATCTTTTCCCCATGAGGTATGTTTCTGTGGGTTTTGGTGAAAAACGCAACAGAGACTAGGAAGTGTAATCTGATTTACATGGTGGATTTATTCATATGATGATTTCTACTCAGAAGGACCTTCAGGGCGTTCCCCCTCCCCAACTTTAGAAGAAGAAGGAGAAAAAATGTCCCGATCATTTATGGAAGTAGCTTATTTAGAAAGTTGTTTGGTTGCTACTGCAGACAAACGGGCTGAATGCCATTTTAAGCTCCTGGTTGTGAATTGGCATGATTTGTGGGAATTGGTCTTGCAGGCCAAATTGGGACTTCATTTACCACACCAGCTAGAAGCCCCTCGCCGCTGCCCTAGAAGGGGGGAAGAAGGGAGTTTCATTGTGATCTTTCCCCCTCAGACGATTCTTGTTATTATGTCCAGCTCAACAACAGCTATATTTTACTTAAGCATTATTTCAGCATGTGGCATTGTACTGGTCATATGATTCACTTAAATTTACCACATTCTTTGGCACAATCCTTTGAAAGTTGTTGGTTTGGGGAAAACTTTTATTTACCACATTCTTTGGCACAATCCATTTTACAATACTTTGAAACTTGTTGGTGTGGGGAAAACTTTTAAAAATAGTTTTATTTTGCTGTTTGTTTAGACCCTGTAATCTGACATTCCTTTGGTCTTGATGGATGTCTTGAAGAAACCTCTCTCTCTTTTCATCATTAAGCTCCAGAATAGACCTGGAACCTAGTTGGAATTAATAGACTGGTCCTTTCTTCCATATTTATATAGTCATGGTGGGAATAGATATAAAAAAGGCACTTCAGAGGAAGAAGCAGTGGAGGCATGTCCATTACACTGAATAGGGCACTGCCCCACGAACCTCAGCCAGCCCCTCTTACAGACTCTGTCATTGACTACAACTCTACTTATTGTATGTCTGCCCTACCAGTCCTGAAGGGCAAAAGCCACCACCAGAGGGAAGTCTAAAATATGCTTCTTGCAGTTTGTTTACCAAAGCTCCTCTTTGGATTTCAACCTTTCTGTCTTAATGAGAGATAACGTAACCCTAACAGCCTATGTGGAGATTAGTTGTGTTCCAGTGAGAAATGAAAACCATATTTTTTTCTAACTTTATAGTTGTTTGCACAATTTTTCTATTCTCTGCATTCTGGAATACCTGTTGAAATAAAGGGAGAATTTCATTGGATTTTTGCTTTCTTGAGCGACTAAATATATTGTTAATCCTCTGGAGACTTACTGTATTTTTCCATCTATAAGACGCCCCCATATATAAGACGCCCCCTATTTTGGGGGACTCAGATTTAAGAAAATGGGGGGAGATACCCCATGTATAAGATGCCCCCTCATTTTTGACATTATTTTTTAGGGGGGAAATCTAGTCTTATACACAGAAAAATACAGTACTTTCCAGAAAGGCAAAACCATGGGGGTGTGATATCCGAAAACACATATCTACTCTGCACATGACTTAGACAGATAACACCAATGGTATTGATCACGTCTGCTCACAGTGGGAGAATACATGCAATTATTTTTTGTTCTTTTGTCATTGTAATCGCTGTTTCTTTTGAGCCAGACACAGATAAAGCATCACATCTTCATCAGCTAGCTTTTGGTTCAGCATGACTTTCTGTTGAGCATCTGCTGAGCATATTTCAGTGGAAATAGGGGTTCAATACACATAAATAAAAATAAATTTCCCTTGTGCCTAGGCTGCTGCTTTTCCCCTCTTACGTCAGTGTGAGATTTGAGAGTTAAAATGTGTGCAGGCTTCCAGAATGATCACACTAATGCTTATTTTATCAAAATGTTTGGGATATTTTTGGAGGAGACTCTTAATTCATACAATTTTAAACTATTGTAATACCCACTGAGCAACTTGCAATATCTTTGCCAAACATTAATTGAAGGCATAAGGCAATTGTTGCCAAATATGTTCCTCTGTGATTCTATTCTGAGTAAACAAGGCATTTTATCTACACTTCAATTGAATACGTGAAATTCTTGGTTTTTCCCTGCAGTCATCTACTCCTCAAAAGGCCAAACTAGGTGTGATGAGGCTGCCACATGTATGTTATCCATACGTCTGCCCTGTTCACCTATAAATCATGGTTAGGAGACATTATGTGAAAAGGAGTGCATGAGGGAAAAGAGCAAAAGTTGGCTCTCCTCCACTTTATATCTCTGTACTCCAGAGCTTTCATTTTCTTCCAGGTTGGTTTAGTTCCAGTAGTAGAACTGGACAGAGAAAACAACTTAAAGCAATGGAGTCCAGCAACATCAAGTGGAAGAGAATGTAGGTTTTCCTTTCCCTTCCTGTGTCCCTTTTCTTCAGCACCCCGTGAGGGCTACCATATATCCGGAATCTCCCAAACATAACCGGAATGCTGCAGTCAGAAGCAGTGTCCAGGCGGAAATTGTTAAAATGTCTGGGAAAATCCGCACGCATGTTGATCCATGTCAGCAGTGTTGTTTTTGCCAATGTTCCTGAAAAATAACTCCAAAATGACATTTTTGTGGGGGAATTTTGCCAAAGAAAGCTCAATAATTTTGGTGTCTGGATTTTTACTTTTTGAAATATGGCAACCCAACCGCTGCCCCTCTTTATATGTGAATGGGACAGACATTTGGGCAGCTTGCCCAACATACCTAGTTTGGCCTTAATGCAGAAAGAGCAGTTTTATACAGAGCCTCTTTGGGACTTAATGGGATTCTTACTTAGCTGCCCAAAGAGGACTGGGTAAGTGAGACCCTGCATTCACCCACAACTGCCCCTGCTTTGTTGTTTTTTCCTTCCTTGAACCTCAGTAATTGTGTCCATGGGAAAGATCTATCTCTGGATAGGCAATTGAAATCAGATGGATATCCGCTTTCGAAGAAAAGTCCAGGCACTGAAATATTGCAAGTCACCAAACCGAATGAAATAATGAATTAGAAGGTTTCTAGTGCATTAAATAAACCCAGACAATTATCCACATTCTCAAGTAGCCATTTTAAGTGTTTGAAAAACAAGAACCAACCATGATGATCACCAGGATAGATACTCCACCCAAATGGCTCCCCTTTTCAACAAACAAATATTAATGTTCCTGATGAACTCTGCCTTTTCAGTGCAGGACTGCACATGTACCCTGTTTTAAATGAGGACGTGGTCTTCCTGCAAGTTAGCTATTACCCCATACAGTCAAAGGTACATCTTTTACCCCCTCCCATGGTGGGGGCGAAGTTAGTGTGAGACAAGGGGCACCTCCAGACATCCTCTTTATTAAGCCCCCCCCCCTGATTTTTGTGTGTGAAGGTTATACAACACCCACTGTTTATTGAACATTCATCCTGATTTTTTGTGCAGGTTATACAACTTCCTGTCAATTATCATACACTTTCTAATGCATTTTCCCCTTCACTTTTCTTACCCGAAAAGACTGCTTGTTGTTTTTATTTTTAAAAAGTGGGTTTGTTGCACAAGTGCGTTTTAATCTACCTGAATTGCACAAATCTAAATTTTCCAGTGTGTAATTGAACCCCTCCGGCAAAATAGTGACAGTCTGGGAGAAAACTAACACTACACTAGCACCAGTGCTAAAAACATTTTTAAGCCGTCTTGCTAACTGCACTGCATCGCCTGCGCTTCTTGTCTCTTGTGTTCTGTCTTGATGGATTCACTGGTTTCAGCTAATTTTTCTTCCCAGGAGTTTCCTTTCAACAAAATTACATTGATTATTCTCTTATTCACTGTGGGTGGATTGCTCTGGTGCTGAAGTTCAAAACTGTGCCTGGCTTGCATTAAACACACACACATATACACACTGCTACTAACAGTGATTAAAAGCTTTGGTTTTGATTTTTGCTTAGAGAAAAACGTAAGTATTTTTTTAGACCAGAAACAAAGTTGACGTAATTTGCCAGTAGAGTGCTTGATTTATAAAATGACTGCTTTTTGCCTTCTCTTTGCATTTCTCTGCATTTCCCTTGATGGAGTTGACTTGATGCAATCGAAAAGGTTTCTGTGTGCATAAAAAGTGACTATTTTTCATTGGTTGCAGGCTCTTCTAGAGGACCCAGCCCCTTAACCATGGGTGCGCAAGACACTCTTCCCGTAGCTGCAGCTTTCACTGAAACAGTTAATGCGTACTTCAAAGGAGCAGATCCTAACAAGTAGGTATCAAATTGTTTGCCCTCCATCTCTTCCCCATACAATAATAAACAGTTCAGGGTTGGTCTTACACAGTTAGAGTATGCTCACCTTTACTGCTTACTCTGCATCCTGTGTACTCACACTGCTAGTTTTTCTCCCCTGAAACCAAATTCAGAACACGACCTTAGCCTCAACCCATATTGGTGCTGTAGCTTCTTGACAAATACTGTTGTTTGATGCATTTCCCTCTCTCAATTGAACTTCAGTCCAGCTGCATTCACTTAGTACTTTAAGAATGGCGTGTACGTTTGAGAAGGCAGGGAAACAAAAAAAGACTGCACTCCTTGGCTGAATCCCCCTCTCTGGTATGAACAGCACTGTGCAAATGTGGTTTCAAATGCAGCAGTGGGAAACAACCTCACTGAATTTTAAGCTGCTGATGTGAACATCCCCTTATTTGCCTGTAGGTGGGCCACACATTAGGGACTGATGATGTAAAACCAGCAACAAAGTTGGAGAAAATATTCTTTGGCAGCTGACAAATAATTCAGTAAATAAGTACAGTTGTACCTCGGGTTACATACGCTTCAGGTTACATATGCTTCAGGTTACAGACTCTGCTAACCCAGAAATAGTACCTCGGGTTAGGAACTTTGCTTCAGGATGAGAACAGAAATTGCGCGGCGGCAGCGCGGTGGCAGCAGGAGGTCCCATTAGCTAAAGTGGTGCTTCAGGTTAAGAACAGTTTCAGGTTAAGAACGGACCTGCAGAACGAATTAATTACGTAACCAGAGGTACCACTGTACTGAGTGGGGAGAGGGCACAGGGATCAGTTATTTTGCAAAAAGGGGACCCTAGCATGATGCAATCGGAGTTCTGTTGAATGCTTTCATAAATTAGGGAATGCTGGTATTACTGTGTCAAGAGAAAAAACCAGATGCTCCAGCTTCTCAATCTTCAGCGTGGTTGGGGTATTTAAATATCATCTGATCTTCAGTGAAGTATGACTGTAATCTGGTATATTGGTTTGCTGTATTTATTTCATTTCACAACTCTGTATTACTTTTCTTTTTCTCTGTTACCTGTTTTTTCGGTGCCTACACGTTTTTGTATGCAACAAAAAATCAAATAAAAAGTTTTCTTTCCTCCAAGTATAGGGAAATGTACCTGAATGAATTGTTCTCTTTCTCTTTCTGTACGTTTCTTTTGATATTAAAGATGCATAGTGAAGATTACTGGAGAGATGGTGCTGTCGTTTCCTGCAGGAATTACTAGACATTTTGCCAATAATCCCGCCCCTGCTGTTCTAACATTCCGTGTAACAAATTACAACAGGTTAGAACACGTCTTGCCAAACCCCCAACTGCTTTGCTGGTAAATATCTTTCTATTTTAACTCTTATAGATCTATAGGAGGAAGTTGCTTTTGTAACTTTCGCACAAGAAACTTTGCATAGATCATAAATGAGATCAATAGCATTCTTAATTTATAAATATCTAAAACCTTTCAGTATATTTTTGTATGTCAAAAACATACAAAAGTACCTGTGGAGTTTATACTCTGTTGTTGAAACGGTAACTCTCACAATGTTTTCTTTTATTGTTGTATAGTGATTTTACAGATGAGCAGCATGCTCATTTGTCAAGCTGTTGTCAGAAAGCAAACACAAAATGTTCATGTTGATCACCATCAGCTTGAGCATGGGTCATTCTGAAGCAGCTATAATAAATGACTATTTCGCTTTCCAGTTTTTGGCAATGCCAAATTCGGCACTCCTATAAGAAAATGGGACTGTTAACAATATAGCTAGAAACCTGCTTGCCATTCTTCAGCTTTTCACTGTGAATCATCTGATCGTTCGGCTATGTTTGCTAGCAGCCAATGCTGCTGAAGACTCTGAATCAGTCTCTGTCTCTCATTCTTTGCATTCAAATTTTGCCCCAGTAAGACCATTACAATTTGACATCATTTCTTAACACAATGAACATGCTACAAATATAACACACATCTGAAGGACATGTGGTATTTCATCCCTGATCACTGGACATTATGGTTGGTTGGGTTGGGGCTTGGGAGTTGTAATCCAATACCTAGCTGGGCCCCAGGTTCCCCAACCCTGCTCTTCATGTTATTACTTGTTGACAAAAGTTTTCCATTTACAAAATTAACATTTTCTCTCTTTTTTTCCTAAATGGATGCAGTGACAGTACACAAGCTGATGCCAATGCAAAGGAATTCTGGGTAAACATGCCAAATTTGATGACGCATTTAAAGAAAGTATCTGAACAGAAGCCACAAGCAACGTATTATAATGTGGATATGCTTAAATATCAGGTAATACCTTTTACAGCATATAATCTGGTGAAATGTTCAATGTGCATAAGGGCTGGATAAATGTAGTTCCTTTTTGTTAGTCATTGCTGGTTTCAGTATCTCCCCCCCCCAAAAAAAAAACTTTTTATGAATGGACATGCTGAATTGTACTAAAGGAAAAGTAAAAACAATGCAAAGTATATTCCAGGCCAAAAGAACCCCTTTTAATCTGAAAGTTTATAACTAGAGAGCCAGTGTGGTGAAGTGGTTAAGAGCGGTGGTCTCGTAATCTGGGGAACCGGGTTCGCGTCTCCGCTCCTCCACATGTAGCTGCTGGGTGACCTTGGGCCGGTCACACTTCTTTCAAGTCTCTCAGCCCCACTCACCTCACAGAGTGTTTGTTGTGGGGGAGGAAGGGAAAGGAGAATGTTAGCCGCTTTGAGACTCCTTAAAGGGAGTGAAAGGCAGGATATCAAATCCAAACTCTTCTTCTTCTACTACTACTACACTTTGCCTATGAAATCTTCCCTTTCTCTTTCTTATAAGGTATCAGCCCAGGGTATTCAGTCTACTCCATTGAACCTTGCAGTGAACTGGCGGTGTGAGCCTACAAGCACCGATCTACGCATTGACTACAAATATAATCTAGAGGCAATGACTACACCAGTAGCTTTAAACAATGTGCAGTTCCTTGTTCCCATAGACGGAGGAGTGACAAAACTTCAAGCTGTGCTTCCACCTGCTATTTGGTATGAACCTAAACTGGTCTTTGATCCTTCCCAGCGCTCACTCCAGAGATGCACTGTTCTTAATGGCTGAAGGTGGTTCCATATGGACAACCTGAAACTGTTTTTGATCAGCCCTTGTCATTATGTGATTAAAACTTTTGCACAGTTCTGTCTGAATAACTCTGTAGCATTTAGAACATTTGTATGCAAATGAGAAAGAGAGAAACTTAATGCTACAGCTTATCCACGCTTACCTTTCCTCTGCTCTTTCCAGGCATGGTCTGAGATTTAAAGCTCTGTGTCCAAGCACCCCCTTTTTTGTTTTTTTGTTCCAGAGCTTTCCCTGAAAAAACCCGTTCTGTAAAGCTCAATTGGAGCAAGCATCAACCTGCAGAAAACCCAAACGGAAGTTTGCTCCGATTCAGCTTTAAAGAGCAGGTTTTTTCAGGGAAACCTCTGGCCAAAAATCAAACAAACACAGGTGCCCTTCAGATGATGTTGGGCTGCATCATCCCTGACCTTTGTTTGGCCATGGTGGCTGGGGCTGATGGGAAACTGTAGAACAACAGTGTATAATGGGCACCAAGTTGGCTGCCCCAAGGTAGTGGGGATGCTAGCTTTACACAAGGCAAATTGTTATGGGAACTTCCTGCTCAGCACTGTAACAATAAACTGGGATGGTTCCTGAACTACACTGTTCTGTACTGACTTTCTATGCTGGATGATGCTAATTTCAGATTGCCTGCTTCCTGCAGCACTTAATTTGCTTGCTACGTATCCTGTCACTCCAAAACTCATATCAACAAGCTTTCTTTTGTTTTTAGGAATGCTGAACAGCAAAAGATATTGTGGAGGATTCCTGATATTTCACAAAAATCAGAGAATGGAGGTAATAAGGCAAGCTTACATGCTCCTCTGAAAAATCAGCCTCTTCGGCCTTATGTTTTCTCCCTCTACTCATACTAACATGTGCCCCACTTACTGCGTCATCATGTATAGCTGTCTTCTCACTCCTCTCTCACTGTGTGGAGTGAGGAGACTCATTGAACAGTGCAGCCATGGATAGTTTTTACATGAAACTGAATACAGTACAATAAAGCCAAGAGTCCCTGGGCTGTGCACTTATTTTAACATGTTATTGGGGTGAGTTAATTACTGAAATGTCATTGCTATTTATGTATTACGTTTATGAATTTATTTTTATTTTATTTTTTTTATAAGTACTGTTTCACTATTTCTGTGAACTGGTTTGGTTACAAAATTATTATGAATAATAAGCATACAAATAAATTGATGAGACTGGTATGTGCAGTGTGATTATGCATGTTATCTCAGAAATAAGTTCCGGGGGGGGGGGGGGGCAACTTGAATAAAATCTGAGGTGGGCAGGTAAGTCCCACCCTGCATAATCAGTCACAAGATGCTGTGCACACACAGCATTTGAATGCCAGTGTTCATCAACTGGGGGGGGGGTCAGCCCCCTCAAATATTTTATTTGGGGGGGGGGGTAAAGGGACCTTGGCCTCTAGGAGTTGGCTTCTAGGAGTCCCACTATGTTCAATGGTGTTTACTTACTCCCAGGTAAGTGTGCATAGGATTGCTGCTTAAAAACACCAGTTGCTCAGGAGGAAGAAGGGAAAGTGGTGTGATCTGGCTTTAACAATTAGCAAAATGAAAGCTTATCCCGCTGCCAGTGAGTCTCCTACATGTGCATAGGTTTTCTCACTGTGTTACATTTTTGTAACATACTTGCTGTATTTTCTACCTTAAAGGTGTGGGCTCTTTGCTGGCACGATTCCAGTTATCCGAGGGACCAAGCAAACCTTCCCCGCTGGTTGTGCAATTCACCAGCGAAGGGACCACTCTGTCCAGTTGCGATATTGAACTTGTTGGAGCCGGGTATCGTTTTTCGCTTATTAAAAAGAGGTTTGCAGCAGGTAATTTTTTTGTTTGTTTGTTTCTATAGAGGCGCCTTAAATTTTCTTCTTCTAAGTGGGGGTAGGGGTGTATCAGCAAAATAAGGAGCTGGGTGGTTAGGTCTGGAAAGGTCAGTGTCCAGGGTTGTTTAGTCTGGGTGCCTACATCCCATCATGCCATCTGTTAAAAGATGCATGCTTCCCATTGTAATAAGGATTTGGGGATGGGATGCTGGTCGCATCTTTTCAATTTCATCCTATAATAATAATAATAATAATAATAATAAATTTTATTTATATCCCGCCCTCCCCAGCCAAAGCCAGGCTCAGGGCGGCTAACAACAAACAAATAATCAAACAATCAAATAATCAACATTCTAAAACATTTCATTATAAAATTAATTAAATAAATTAATGGCAAACCGTTACAAAGTTCTGTGCAGGTTGCCGAGGTGGAGTCAGGCTGGGCCCTGACCAAAGGCCTGGTGGAACAACCTGTCTTGCAGGCCCTGCGGGAGATGCTGTCCCGAGGGCCCTAGTCTCTGTGACAGAGCGTTCCACCAGATTGGAGCCGAGCCGAGAAAGCTTCTGGCTCTAGTTGGAGGCCAGCCTAACCTCTCTGAGGCCTGGGACCTTCAGGATGTTTTTATTTGCACCGAGGTTCCTCTGTGGGGTACGCCAGGAGAGGCGGTCCCGTGAGGCCAGGTCCTAGGCCGTATAGGGCTTTAAAGGTTAAAACCAGCACCTTAAACCTGATCCTGTACTCCACCGGAGCCAGTGCAGCTGGTATAGTACCGGGATGAATGTGATCTCGCAGCGAAGACCCTATAAGGAGTCTCGCGCACTTGCACTGAGTTTCTGGGCCGTCTCATGGCAGCCCAATGTGAGCAGTTACACAATCCAGTCTGAGGTGACCTGTCATGTGATCGTGCTAGGCTGTATGAGAGATAAGGGGCCAACTGCTTTAGCTTGGCGGAGATGAAAAATGCCGCCTTTGTTATAGCTGCAATCTAGCCCATAGAGAGGGAGGTATCAAGATTACACTCCAAACTTAACGGACGGTGCTGGCACTAATTGCACTTCGCAAGAGATGGGAGTTGCCCCCCAACTCATATCAGTCTTGGCCCCAGCCAGAGGACCTCTGTCTTCGAAGGATTTAACTTCAACCGGCTTCCGCGTAACCATCCAGCCACAGCTTCCAAACATCTGGTCAGTGTGTCTGGGGCCGAGTCAAGATGGCCATCCATCAACAGCTGTTGCCTGATGTGTTGCTCAAACTCTATTGAGCTGTGAGCGCACATGGGTGCATACATACATATGGCACCACTTCTTCCTTTTTACCACCATGGAGAATTCCTTTGGGATCTCCTGCCTCAAGAGCCACAGGTCTTGATAAGAAGTTATGGCGCAGATGGTGTGATGGGGTGGAGTCATGAAGCTGCCCTCCCAACAGCAGCATCACTGCAGTTTACGTAGAGAGGGGTGGGGTGGGGCAGAGCAGAGCAGAGCAGAGCAGTGGTGAGGTTGGGATGGCACAGAATGCACTACTGTGAGTGCCAGATTGGCTTTGCCAGGGCATATGTGTAGACCTGCCCAGGTCAGCTGCAGTGACTCTGGTGCTGGGAAGGCAGCTCCTCCCCACCACCCTGGCCACTAGTGTCCTATGAGGATGCAACACACATGTTTGGATTTCCTGTGCCTTGTCCAATAGCTCCAATATGAATAAGATATGAAAAGTTGTTTGATCTCTTCCCCTTCTTGTGCCCCACTGAGAGATCTCAACCGGTCTGAGGCACCTGGACCTAAAGAAGTAATTCACAATCTTTCACAAGGAAAAGAACATGCAAGCTTGATTTAGCAGTCATTCAGTATGTTTCTCAGGTTGTTATTAGAAGAACCTTCCTGTAAGCAGTAACTTGAAGACTATTGCCAGGTGAAAGATTTGAGCAATTTGTATTATTAGGTGAAGTCAAGAATCTAGATTTGTTTCAACTGCAGTAGAGGGACAGACCTGAAAGTCCACATTTCATGATAATGTCATCAACCACCTAGGCCGCACCTTCACTTAAGTAATTTAATTGATAGGCCAGTTTGCATGTAACGACAAGCCATGGTTAATGGCTTATTAGGACTGAACAGTAAGTGGTGAAGACTTGGCTTATCAATAGGTCTGAACTTGGTGTTGTGGCTTGTTTTGCACTAATAAATCATTATCAGCAAGTCATGCTTTCATTTGTTAGAGAGAAACAATCCACTGGGCTTGGCTGCAACAAGCCAAGTCTTCATGACTTGTTGGTCCCAGGCACTCCAGGGGAGAAGCAAGGTGGGAGTGATTGGTTGGTGTGGAAAAGCATGCTGCTCAGACCTGGTAAGCCATGAACAGTGGCTTATTGTAAATTGCCATGTTTATAAAAATAAAGACGAGCTTTATTAATGTTATGAAACTTTTATTTTAACATACCTTTTATCACTTTCCTTTCAGGAAAATACCTGGCAGATAACTAACAGAAGTTTATGCAAGTATGTGGAAAATCCATATAGCTGAGGACTGCTGTGGGTGAACGGGTTTTATACGCTGTTTGAGGAAAAACTAAATCCTGTACTTGGGACATTTCTGTTGGAAGTGTCAGCAACTTTCAACATTTTCCCTCAGAAAATGCCATGTTGACCAGTCCTACAGTATTTACTTCTAGATGTAATATTGTTAATGTTTTAAATTGTAATTATTGTATTTGTAAATTGTACTCATTCCAGTAAGGCTGTATTTTGGCAGTTAGACACTTGAGTTTTAGCATTTTACCATTCATGAAATGGGTGTAATTTAAACTGTGGTATATAAATTTAATAGTAGTACTGTTGAATGGCGCAATGCTTTCAGAGGTAGATAACATTTTGTCAATATATACAATCTGAATACCATGCTAATTGCTGTGAGAAAGGGGGTGCCTCAAAAAAGAAAGTTTAACTAAAGACCTGCAAATTCACTCCGTTTTTCTTTTAGCCCTTAGTATGTCATATAAATAGTTATATGAATGAACAGGTCTATCTTCTAAGTATTTGATTGATTTAACTCCAGAACATTTTCAGTAAATGTGGTGGTGGTTATAGCATACTTCCCCCAATGACAGAAATGTATCTCCCCCCACCCACCCACTTTTCCATTGTAAAAACAAGTTGATATTTTTTTAAGGTCTGGATATAAGTTATTGGATACACTTCCATTGTGATGAAGCATGTGTTGGAAAAGCTTTCAGTTCCTTCCTCTTTGTCTGACATGATCAGATGTGGCAGTAGGGGGCTGTCCACTAGAAACCTCCTCACTATGCAAGCCCTATTGAATTGAATGAAAGCACAGCCAGGTAGCGAAGCAGTTCCAGTTATTTTCACTAAGTCTTGCACAGGAGAAGCCTCTGGTGGGTTGGGCTCAAATAAGCAGTTTAAAACACAAATGTGATAACTTTTGACAAATACATCTTTATGTGGGTATAAAAGAGACTGTGTTTTATTTCAGCAACAGTTTTTCTTCCAGTTTGGTAGGCATGCCTGTTTATTTTTACAATACCATATGCATGCAGATTCCTTGCTAAGAAAATTTACATTTCCTAGTCAGAGTCTAAGGTACAAGTGAAGGGAGAAAGAGCTCGAAAGTAATGTATTCATGTGTGTTTTAATCTGTAAAGGATTGTGTTGTGGCTTCATAGTGAGAAACCGTAGCTGCACTAAGTTTGTGTGGCAGAATTGGTGGCACAATCATTGATCGTACTGGATTCTCAGTTGCCCTGCCGATATTTAACTGCCAGCATATTCTGCTTTCTTCAAACAGACGTTTTGGGTTTTAAGCTTCTAATCAGTTTTGAGGTATTTCTTAACATCCATCGCAAAGGAGAGTGCAGCACTTTTTAAAGAACAAAACTGTCCAGTTCTCTTATGTTGCTGAAATGCTTGCCAGATATTTATAGTGTTTTAGTTCTGCTGCATTTGTTCATTTGGCAGCTAAGCTTGCAGCCTGTACAGCAGGAGCTAATGAGAGGGCTCACTGGAGTTGTGCAGAGGGTCGTGAGACTAGTGGATAGTATCCATGCTGCTTTTTTTGTACACACAACTAGTATTTTTTTACATTGAGGTCTAAGTAGGTTGGCATCCAACTGTCTCATTTGCATGCGAAAATGGCTGTGCTTGAGGAACAGCTGTGTCTGCATTAAAGCAAGCAAGCAAGATCAGAGGCTGTCCTGGTAGGAAACCTGGTCATAAATTATATACCCCTTTGGAAACAAGCATGGGAAATATATATCCTAAAGTGGTAGAAGCTGAAATTTCATATATCATCAGAAGGGAGAAAACAACAGAGAATTTCTTTTAATATGAATCTTGGATGAGAAACCTGAGGAGCTAATTTTGAGGAAAATACGACACACAATATAAAAAATATAACTACTTTTCTTTGGCCCCACTGGTTTCTCTGTAGCACTGATGTTGATTTTGTGAATTGCTAGAACTCTGTGTGGCTTGAGGTGGAAAACAGTCTTATATTGTACTTTGTGTTCCTAAAAGTTGCCATGTTAGACGTGTGTCTGATCTTTCTATGTGAAAGTAAATGTGGCCTTCTGGTGACATCATCATGATGCTTATTACAAAAGGTGGAGTGAGAGAAAGCAAGTTTTTGCCTTGCTCTAATGGATGGAGAACTTTGCTTACACTAATTTTTGTTTTCTTCCAACATGTACAAGTTACCAGGCAGTCACATAATTGTGAGCTTAAAAAAAAACCACTATAGCTAATGTCATTACTGTCCACAAAAAGTTCACAAATTCTGATTTGAATTAAAAAGTTTTTTTCATGCAAATAGCACATGATGTGCATTTGAAAAATATTAGTGTGCAAATTCATTTTCAGTGCTGGAAAGAAATTCACCTTCAAAAAAAATCTAAAAGCAAACTAGGGATTTTAAATCTCTGAGCAGACAGGTAAATGGAGAGAAATATGTTCAATACAATTGAATTTGATATGTATCCAACATAAATATAGCTTATCCCAATCTTAGAAAAAATTCTGCAAACGTTCAAAAACAAATAATTTATAAATAGAAGAAAATATCTTTTTTAAAAAAGTTTCTCCATTTGCCTTATTTAGCAGTTAATGTAGCAGTATTCACATCTTCCCGCAAAAAGGTCCAACTAATGGCCAACATGCCCTAGCTCTTAATACGGTTATTTTTTCCAGCACTTTCTGCCACAGGGTGTGCAATATCAACTACTGGCAACCATGGAGTTCCATCCATATTTCTCCCTGTAACAACTCAAAAGTCCTGATCCACCAATGATATTGAAAAAGGGAATGAAAACATGTCCTGTCATTTAAAAAAAAAAAGTTATTCGCCAAGTTTTTGTAGTAAAAGAAGCTCTTGTGCAAGCTTTATTTGCATTTATGTGCAGCACCCACAGGCTTTATCAAAAGCTTTTTACTGAATACTGATTCTAGAAGTACATTTTCAATTATTAAAAATGCAGCCTATGCATGACGGCTGTGTTGCACACATTGTTTGTCTTATCAGCCCCAAGCACACACTTGTGCAAAGAAAGTTCTAGTGTACCTCTGAAACAGCTTCACCTACAGGGTCATCTTCAAGTAGTAAGCATAGCTAAGATACACAAGGAATTGAGTGTCATTATGGAGGTTACCCAGTTCAGAAAAGAACTAAAATCTAACTCCTTCATCTTAGCTTTTCTTGGGTGAAGAAAGAATTGGGGACTATCTGAGCCAGTTGTGATAAGTACAAGTCATCAGCAGGGAGAGTGAAGAGGATTCATGTATCTGTAGTAACTGCTGATGGATTACACTTTCTCATGCAAGGCATATTCAGAAAGGCCTACTGTTTCATAAAATAAAACAAGCAGAATCAAAACACAGCATGCCTTCCAAGCAAGCTATTCAAATGGAAACAGCTTTCTATATTGCATGCAAAATTTGGAAGGGAAACAATAGGTTTTAAAGGTATAAGTAGGGCTGAAATCTTATGCACACTTACTCAGGAGCAAGTCCCATTGAAATATGTGGAACTGTCCTTGCTGTAAATATGCATAGGTTCAGGCTGTAGAGGTTTTCTAAAACTATATTAGAAAGTAAAGCATTATTTCTATACAAAGTTGAGATTACATTTCTACCAAGTCCAAGTTTATAAAACATTAACCTAGTATCTAGTACTTCAACAGGATTAATGAAGCACATGAGGTGTGTGGTGGTTTTTGTTTTTGTTTTAATTTGATACAATATTAAATATTCAGTAAGCCAACTAAACTTCAATGGGCCACCTATTTCTAGATTTGTTTTGAATCAATTTATTTGAATGTAATTTTTTTTAAAAAAAATACAGAATTCAAACAAGGCTTTACTTTCATGGCCTAATGCATGAATAGGCACTCTTAACAGTGCAATCCAATACACATCTACTTAGGCCCTCGGTGAGGCTTACTTGCAGGTAGGGGAGTATAAAATTACAGCCTAATTCATTCTTCTTCGTGGCTTCCATACCATATTTGAAAATGTCCCTTTCTTTTTAAGCAAAGTGGAAAACATTCCTGTTAATTTATATATGCCACACAGTTAACACCTATAGTTAACTCATAGTTTATGCTATTACCAAATTGCAGAGCATTCTTGCCATTCCACATTTCAGTTGTTTAGGATGATCTTAGTGGCTGTAAACTTTCTCCAGTGCTCATACTACGTATTAAAGCATGTGTCACACCTTTTAAAAATTGTTCCTTGACCCCCAGTTTGCCTTTGGCATGAAAACATCTGATGGAAAGGGATGTGTGTTTTAAGTTTCTGCAGTCTAGGTTTAAAGAAAAAGTCAGTGCTGTTTTTTACTTAGTTACTTGATCCTGATTGACATGAAGACTTGAGAGTGAGGATTGATCCTATCTGTGCTTCCCGCCCCCATACGTAGAATACTACATGCTGCATGGAGTGTACATTTGTAGAGCCATACATATGTATGACATACCAGTAGTATGGGGCACATGTGACCCTGAGCCTTGCTCTTGTCAGGGACTTAAGTGAACTGGTTCTTAGAATTGTACTTAGGACAATCATAATATTTTTGGTGTGTTTTTAAGACCCTAGGCGCAGCAGATCTGTTGTTTGGTTCTGAATTATTTAACTGAGCTGAATACTGTTTTACAGGTAAGCCAAATCAAGCATCATTAGCTAAGGTATACACATTTTAAAGGCGAATGATGCTACCAAGTGCTTGGAAGATGAAATCTTACCTGCTCAGATATTTATTTATTCATATCATTCATAAGCCACTTTCCCAATAATTGGTCCAAAGTTGCATACATAGTTAAAACTATGTAACAGGCAAAGTTCTAATTGACTTCATTGGCAGAATACACTTAGTTCCATCGAAGTGGTCAGCTACTAGTTATAGAAATGATATCTCAGAAGAAATATATAAAATCGTAACAAAAATACAACCTAGTTGTCTTTTCTCTCTTTTTATACTT